ACGTCTTCGGCCCTTGGCCAGGTTGAAGCCAGCTTCATCCACAAACACAAGGATGTGATGGGTCTCGTTTCCTTCCAATGCCATTATTCTCTACAATAGCGTAAAAAAAGAAAACATCAAATCAGTCATACAGAAGAGTCATACACTACAGTTACAGACAATTACATAGGAATGTTCTATGTTCTCCACAAGTTCAATATACTACTGGCCACTACTCCAGTGGTTCCAAACCTGGGGTACATGTACCCCTATGCAGAGGTACTACAGGGGGTATTTGACAGAAAGGGGAGGGGGGAAATCATCAATGACTAGACTTACTGAAATGTTACAGTAAAACCCACAGTATTAGATAGATTTACATGGGAGGCACTAATTGCAGCTCTTTGACCCCTTTTCTTATTGTATGTTATATTCTTCAAAATAAGGATTATAATGATAATTGCATCATACAGTAAGCTGCAGTTTTTAGGCGAAATGTTGAAGTCAGATAAATCAAATACTTCCATACCTGGATTACCTGGATACACAAATCAGGTAAAGTGGGTACTGAAGCCAAAAAAGTTTGGGAACCACTGCTTAATTGTAACAATGTTATAATGATGGACAACCAGTAACTGACTTACATGTACATACTGGTACCGCAGCTCTTTCACTCTATCAGAGTTCCTCTCAAATGGTACCCTGTAAATTTGCTTCATTGTCATCTGATGCTTCTTCAATATCCGGTCTATTGTGGAGATGCTTATAGAGTTGACATTTTGGAATATGGCATTGTCTTGTAGGATTGCAGCGCGGATCTGTCTCAATGTGATGGCATTATTTGCCATCACCATGTTACAGATCTCTTGTTCTTGTTGTTCATTGAGAAGTTTTCCTCTGCCACCTGTGCAAGGTTGTCGTCCAATCCTAGATATAGAAGTCAAAGGACAACACTCCATTCGTAATGTATACCTTACGTATTCCTTACAGAATGAGTTACCTATGTAATTGTATTGTTGTTTTACTTACAGTAACTTTACCACAATTCTAATGCATCACTGCACAGTGACTGGAATACTACTGTAAACTGTATCATCAATACTGTAGAAAATAAACTATTCCATAGTTTATTTTCTCCAATGTTTTTCTTGTCATTTTTAGTATCATAACATCCCATTGAGGTAAGATATTACTGTAGGCCTATCACACACACACACTAAATGAATAGGTAAATATGTAAATAAATATATTTCTTGCTCTATGCACAGTGTCCTGTCCTATACAACATATAATTCCATCATTGACTGACTACATACCTGTTTTCCCTGTGAAAGGTTTGGATGATGGAGGAGACTGTTGAGCGAGGCACATTAGGCTGCACTCGGCGACCTGCCTCCGCCATTGTGAGGCCATGGTTGATGACATGGTCTATAATTGTGGCCCGAATTTCATCCGGGACAGCATGGTGTCTTCGTGCTCCTCGGCCTCTTCCCCCTATTCCACCACCACGCACCCTTACTCCTCCTCCTCCTCTTCTTCTTCCTCTTCCTCGAGCAGGCAGTTGCCCTTGTTCATTTACTTGGCCAGGTGCCTCCATGTTCAGAAATTGTACTGGTCCTGCATGGTCAAGCTCTTTACATACATGTTTGGCAGCATTCACAGTCATGGACAGCACCTGTCAGGTAACTAAACATACTGTTTGATTGGTCATCTGAGATGTGTGAAACTCCTCCTTCGTTAGTCAAGTTCTAGTTTCACCTGACTGTCAATTGCTGTAATAAATTTATCAAATGTTCCAAGGGATTCATATATGGTATTCATGGTATTATGTTCTTGACTAATTTTGACAATTGAACAGACTATTGTGCATGTGATGACTTATACAATGAAATGACGCTGACACGTTTTGGAGCGAACAACCATTAGACTGAGAATCAACAATCAGTTTAGATCAACAAGATCTATTCACTTGGAAATTGTGCTAAATGTAGGCTACCTGTACTTAATCATTTGCAAAGATGTACTGAGACATTGAGACATGTACTTAGACATTTGCAATTTGATGAAATGAATGAGAAATTAAATTCTGTTGTGAACAATTGCCAAGTGGTTTGGAGGTTTGTCCATGTAGTTTAGAGAATGTAATTTCTGTTTCAAGAAATGAGCCAAACCAATGGAGAAAAACTGTAATACATGTCACATAACAGTTTGCAAACAATGTTTTGCTTTCTTGAGTAAGGCAGCTCCAAAATGCAGGTGTTTCAGCCTAGCTCAGTGCTTTCTGTGGTGGTGGGGCAGCCAGCGGAAAATACAGAACGTAGGGTTTGGTAATGTTCTCTAGTTGCGCCGTGATTGGCTCTGTCTTCTATCACTCATGGGGGCACTATAACCCCTTCCAAATCTAAGGGTAGAGCTTGAAAATACAAGCCCCTTGGGTGCTGCCATAGAGTTACATTAGAAGTGCCCATCTAAGAAGACTCAAGGTCATTGGCTACAGATAAAATGACGTCAAATCATGTTATATCTACAGTAGTTTTGATAGGACTGATCATGTCAACATCATACTTTCAAAATCTTAGCTAGCAAGCTAACAGTCATCAAAATGAATCAAGTCGACAATCTACTGGCAAATCCTTTTTAATCATTGTCATATGAAGAGAAATAATGAAGAGAAATTAGATAGATAAAACGTATCGGTGCTCATCAGCCATTGGACATAAATATTACACAACAAGTTGGAAATCGCAAATTCAACAATGAGTGGTTTGGAAGGAATTAGTGGCTAACTGCAAGCATTGCAAAGCAATCACTATCCTGCTGTTCAGTGGAGTGGCTGTGTGGTCCCAAGTCTCGGTTTAAGGGTCTCTTTTCCAAACTTAAAATGATAAACATTCAACATTGGCCATGCTGTCAATCCATCATGATTTCTGCCACGCTCAAAACAACTGGAAACTCTGGAAGAAAACTAGTTCCGACTGGGAAAATATGTAAGTCGGGAACTCAGGCCTCTTTCTAGAGCTACGACCTGAAGATCACTGATGGTGAAAGCACCATAGATCCAGAGAATGCCAGACTTTGATGACAAAGTTTAATGACAAAATTTGCCCGCGAAGGACTGCCGCACCTCCTTCCTGTTCAAGTGAGCACAGCACAACAAGGTGAGAACAAAAATGTATTGTATGCTACTGCATAAATTATGTAATATGCCAGGGAGATATGTATACTGTAGCTAAGAAAGTAATACTAAGTGTATGTTGTGTAGTAAGCTGTTAGTAGCCCATGTACCTCACCCTAATAATTTGGTCTATTTTCCCCTCTTAATTTCACCTACTGTTCTGACTTGGTGGTGCACATGTAGCCTATAACCTGTTTTTTAGAAATGTAATCATCGAATATTGTAAGAGCTTTCATTGTCTGCTTATATGCCCACTTTATTTATCCTACTGTTCTGACTTGGTGTACAGGGAGAACACTGTAAGGACGGCCCATGTTCTGAATTCTGTCGCTGTACATTTCAAAAGTGCTGAACAAATAATTATATTGACTACGTCCGTCCTAGCTCGCTCATTAATGTCTTAATCGAAATTATGGATTGCCTCTTACCTGCTCATCATCCCCTTATGCCATAGTTTGTACATCTCAATTGTCAGTAGAAACCACATTTGTTTAAGCAAGTCAGCCATTCAGCTATGTTTTTTTTAAAGGCAGTAAATGAGGCTGAATTAACTGTTTTGTTGCCAGACAACTCAGCTGATAGCCAGGTGTAGCAGTGGTAAGGTGTTGGGACTGCTGTTGGGACTCTGCTGTTGGGACAGCTTTATGTAGTCCCTAACAGTTTGTGGGCACCGTTTGTCACCTTTATAGTGCACTTAATGTATTGTTTAGTATTGTGTTGTGTTGTGTTGTGTTGTGTAGTGGCTTTGCTGGCATTCATCTAAACATTTATATTTTTAGTTTTCCCCACCAAGATTTTGATGCTATAATTGCAACTGTGCATAAATAAAATATGCGGTTTTCCCCACCAGAGATGTGTTTCCATCAAATTGACCTGTTGTGGGTAAAAGTCTGTGCTTGATGACATAGTGCACACAAAAATTACTTTTGCGGTTAAATTCCCATGTACCGAATAGAAAATATAAGTTAAATGGGTTTCCATCGCATTCTCAACTCTATTGATGGATTTGTCATAAAACATTTTGCGTTATATAGCGAATATGCCCATTCTGGTATTGGCATGTGCGCTCTAGACAACAGTTTGCAGATACAGTGCAGGTTTAGCCGACATGTTGAGATTATTATGGACAAAAGAGTGAGATTATTTTTATTTGTCAAATGGCAGACAAGCATCAATCATCATGTCACCAGAATAAGACCCTCGATATTTATTGGAAAGGTGCATCAAGCTCATCATCTTGCACTTTCACCACCCTGTGAAGTTCATCATCATTTATTTATTCTGTAGCCTAATAAAGGGCACGCTTTCCCAAATCATAGTGGGAGGACCATACATGTCATCCCGTGACTCCAAATGTACTTTGATATTATATCAATATTTGCTCATAAAAGCGTTCCCACCCTAATTTCTCACAGAATTAATTTTACCAACACAACAATATCTCACATTGTCTTGCGTATTTTGTTTTGTCAACATTTGGAAAGTTTACTGACAAATTTGCTGTTTCCATCAGGCATGTCATTCATTTCTTTATCCGACATACTTTACTCGCATAAAAAGGTTGGATGGAAACCTAATTAGCTGTCTTGACAGTACTGTAGCAACACGCATCGTATTCTGTGGTACATGCTGCCATCCTCTGGATAAATTCTGAACTGCATTGTAGTTGATTTCCATCTCACTTAAAAATATTTAGGTAGCCTATTCTTAAAAGACTTCAACTAATTTCTAAAACTGTTTTACATTGCAAAGAATAATTTCAGATAAAAAGCTGAAAAGCTACTGCTAAGAGTCGATTAGTCCTAATGCTGTCCAATCACAATTTATGACGTACAACTCAAGGTATGAAAAATGGCGGACTTGTGTAGTGAGTTTGGCGATTTAGTTAAAATAAAAAAACAGCTGATCTCTGTGATATCGCTTTGTAAAGAAAGAGGACTTGTACATAGCGTGAAATGGTAAGAAGCTCTTCTTGATGTTATGATCATTGTATTTCTTTCAGTGAAGAATGGCTTCAGTTGGTGAACTCACAGTTGTTAGCTAGCTTGCTAATGCTAACTAGCTAGCTAACGATTAACTTGCAAGTCTTGTCAAGTCTAGCATATTTTTTTTCAGACTGGTTCAGACTCTTATTTTCTTAATACAGGTTCATGTTGAAGTTGATAACACATTGCGTTAACTACGTCAGTGATATCACCGATGATTGTGTGACATTATTTCAGGGCTTCAGAGTTGGCATTTGCCCTGGACCCCCTTCCCAAGAATGAATTACCTCCACCGGCAGCTTTTACTGAGGTTTGTGTCTAACTAGTGGCTAAAGTTCACGATAATATTTTCCTTGCTAATGCATGAACAAATTGCTGATCTTTTTGAATTGGAGGCCATTTGAGTGGTATGTACAATCTCTGTTATCTCTCTCTATCATCCTGGTTGTAGGAGGATGCTCAGGACCTGGATGCTCTTGGCCTGGCCAAGTCCTACTTTGACCTGAAAGAGTATGACCGCGCTGCCTACTTCCTTCGGGGCTGCCGCAGCCAGAAAGCATACTTCCTGTACATGTACTCTCGCTATCTGGTGAGATGGTGTTTCAGCATTCACAGCAACGTCACCTCTAGAAATCTAGTTGTCAAAATGGGAATAGAGTTAATTTTTCCAGAATCCTTGCAACTCCTTCATGGGGGCCATCCAATGTAGCCTGTCATTTCAGTAATGTTGTCAAATTCTGACACTCATCTGTTTCCTTGGTTTCCAGTCTGGAGAAAAGAAGAAAGATGATGAGACGGTGGACAGCCTTGGTGAAGAGCTAAGCTTTCTATGTCACCAAATAAAACATCAATGCCATCTAAATCAAAACTGTGTGTCTAGACAGAGTTCAATGTCTTAATTGGTTGGTTTTTCCTGCTGTGATTGGCTGCAGGGCCTCTGGAGAAAGGTCAGGTGCGTAACGAGGCTCTGCGGGAGCTGAGGGTGGAGCTGAGTAAGAAGCACAGTGCTGGAGAGCTGGATGGATTCGCTCTGTACCTGTAAGCACATCACACTATCACACACACTCAGTGGACCTGCGCACCATACACATGCTCAGTGAGTCTTTAACCTCACAAACCTGTGTGTGTAGGTATGGGGTGGTGCTGCGGAAGCTGGATCTACTGAAGGAGGCGGTAGATGTGTTTGTGGAGGCGACCCATGCCTTACCTCTACACTGGGGAGCATGGTTGGAACTCTGTAACCTCATCACCAACATTGACATGGTAATACTCACAAATCACCCAGATAATTTCTCCTCTGTACCCACTACAGTAGTTCCCAGATCTACTGGACTACATTACATGTCAATTAACTTCTACAGAATATTAGTGATGTACTTGTGGCTCCTCTCTTCTCTCGTCAGCTGAAGTCCCTGTCTCTGCCAGACTGCTGGATCAGAGACTTCTTCATGGCCCACATGTACACAGAGCTGCAGATGATCAAAGAGGCCCTGCAGAAATACCAGAGTCTGATTGAGTCCGGCTTCTCCAAGAGCACGTATATCGTCTCACAGATCGCTGTGGCCTACCACAACATCCGAGGTCTGTCAAGTCAATAAAGTAATATGAAGAAACATTCTGCTATGTATTTTCTTTCTCCTATTCACTTTCACACCTGTGCTTTTCTTTGTCGTAGATATTGACCAGGCTCTGGCTCTGTTCAATGAGTTGCGGGAGCAGGATCCCTTTCGCATTGAGAACATGGACACGTTCTCCAACCTGCTATACGTCCGGGTGAGACCCCAATTAATTGACTGTCTCCATCTGTCGGGCTCCGTCTTTGTGAACCTGCGTCTGAGACTGTTGTGTTTCCACAGAGCATGAAGCCAGAGCTCAGCTATCTGGCCCACAACCTGGTGGAGATTGACAAGTACAGGGTAGAAACCTGCTGTGTCATCGGTAAGGATTCTGCCACTACACAGCTAAACGGGATGGAAAACCACACCTCTTCACAAGTCAAACCCCCTTACCAGAACTCTTTACTATGTTCAGTAATCACAGACAGACCTTTCAAGGCTCAAGCAGTACAACCAACTCTACCTACAACTGATATGTTATGTTTCTAACCAGTGCATTCTGTCTGTCCTGTGTGTAGGTAACTACTACAGTTTGCGGTCGCAGCATGAAAAGGCAGCGCTGTACTTCCAGAGGGCTCTGAAGCTGAACCCTCGCTGCCTGGGTGCCTGGACTCTGATGGGCCACGAGTACATGGAGATGAAGAACACCTCCGCTGCCATCCAGGCCTACAGGTCAGACTGACACTCCACTATGGCCCACTGCCATCCAGGCCTACAGGTCAGACTGACGCTCCACTATGACCCACTGCCATCCAGGCCTACAGGTCAGACTGACACTCCACTATGGCCCACTGCCATCCAGGCCTACAGGTCAGACTGACGCTCCACTATGGCCCACTGCCATCCAGGCCTACAGGTCAGACTGACGCTCCACTATGGCCCACTGCCATCCAGGCCTACAGGTCAGACTGACACTCCACTATGGCCCACTGCCATCCAGGCCTACAGGTCAGACTGACGCTCCACTATGGCCCACTGCCATCCAGGCCTACAGGTCAGACTGACGCTCCACTATGGCCCACTGCCATCCAGGCCTACAGGTCAGACTGACGCTCCACTATGGCCCACTGCCATCCAGGCCTACAGGTCAGACTGACACTCCACTATGGCCCACTGCCATCCAGGCCTACAGGTCAGACTGACACTCCACTATGGCCCACTGCCATCCAGGCCTACAGGTCAGACTGACACTCCACTATGGCATGGCTTAGAGCTGGGACAATAAACCAAAAATTATGGATACCGACCGAACCAGTCATTTATCGAGGACTTTTTACTGATATCGATAATAACGATAAGTCGTTTTTACTAGAGAAATGTGAAGTTTGCTAGGGCTATTTCGAACAGGACAATTTATAGCTACAGCATTCAAAATAGTAGTCGTTTTAAGGGTAATATAAAGAAATAACTGGTGCACGCCACGCTGTGGCATTGCTCATCCTATGGGAATGAGAGAGTTGTGCTCCATGGTTTTATATTTCTGTGTATGTTTTCTTTGTTGATCAGGCATGCTATAGAAGTGAACAAGCGAGACTACCGTGCCTGGTATGGTCTGGGACAGACCTATGAGATCCTCAAGATGCCCTTCTACTGCCTGTACTACTATCGAAAGGCCCACCAGCTCAGGTGTGTGTTTGAGTAAAAGCCAAGTGAGAGGGTTCTCTTGTCAGTGGGTGCATGGTATCGTGTAGTAAAGTGTATTACCCCGTGTAGCTCAGTTGGTAGAGCATGGCGCTTGCAACGCCAGGGTTGTGGGTTCGATTCCCATGGGGGGCCAGTATGGAAGAAAAAAGAAATGTATGCACTCACTAACTCTGGATAAGAGCGTCTGCTAAATTACTAAAATGTAAAATGTATTACCAAATTGTTACATACTGTAGTGTAAATGACGTGTCACTGTGTCACTGTGTCCCTCCTCAGGCCCAATGACTCTCGTATGCTGGTTGCTTTGGGAGAGAGCTACGAGAAACTCTCACAACATGTGGAGGCCAAGAAGGTTAGCAACAGCAGCATTCTATCTCTGCCATTAGTTTTCGTTTTCCTGTATTTTTAGAATGTAATATTTTTGCCCCTGCTGTAATTTGTCATTAAGTTCTATTCTTTCTTTTTATCCAGTGTTACTGGAGGGCTTACTCTGTGGGGGACGTGGAGAGGATGGCCCTACTGAAACTGGCAAAGTAAGGACATCATAGCATGTATATGTGTGTGTCCACTTAATGCTGTGTTGTTGAGACTTATAGTCCCTAATACATATGTTGTTTGTTGACAGACTTCACGAGCAGCTTAATGAGGCTGACGATGCGGCCCAGTGTTACATCATCTACATCCAAGACATCTTCTCCTGTGGGGTGAGCAACCCAACTGTATATGTATTTTTATCTCTCTGAACAAAAATATAAATGCAACAATTTCAAAGATTTTACTGAGTTACAGTTCATATAAGGAAATCAGTCAATTGAAATACATTTGTTTGGCCCTAATCTATGGATTTCACATGACTGGGCAGGGGTGCAGCCATGGGTGGGCCTGGGAAGGCATCGGCCCACCCACTTGGCAGCCAGGTCCACCCATTGGGGAGCCAGGTCCAGCAATTAATGAGTTTTTTCCCACAAAAGGGCTTTATTACAGACAGAAATACTCCTCAGCTCATCCTATGGGAATGAGTAGGTGTGTCCAAACTTTTGACTGGTACTATATATATATATATATATATATATACAGTGGGGGAAAAAAGTATTTAGTCAGCCACCAATTGTGCAAGTTCTCCCACTTAAAAAGATGAGAGGCCTGTAATTTTCATCATAGGTACACGTCAACTATGACAGACAAATTGAGGGAATTTTTTTTAATGAATTTATTTGCAAATTATGGTGGAAAATAAGTATTTGGTCACCTACAAACAAGCAAGATTTCTGGCTCTCACAGACCTGTAACTTCTTCTTTAAGAGGCTCCTCTGTCCTCCACTCGTTACCTGTATTAATGGCACCTGTTTGAACTTGTTATCAGTATAAAAGACACCTGTCCACAACCTCAAACAGTCACACTCCAAACTCCACTATGGTCAAGACCAAAGAGCTGTCAAAGGACACCAGAAACAAAATTGTAGACCTGCACCAGGCTGGGAAGACTGAATCTGCAATAGGTAAGCAGCTTGGTTTGAAGAAATCAACTGTGGGAGCAATTATTAGGAAATGGAAGACATACAAGACCACTGATAATCTCCCTCGATCTGGGGCTCCACACAAGATCTCAGCCCGTGGGGTCAAAATGATCACAAGAACGGTGAGCAAAAATCCCAGAACCTCACGGGGGAACCTAATGAATGACCTGCAGAGAGCTGGGACCAAAGTAACAAAGCCTACCATCAGTATCACACTACTAAAATAATAATAAAAAATAAACAAATGAAAATATATTTTATATTTGAGATTCTTCAAATAGCCACCATTTGCCTTGATGACAGCTTTGCACACTCTTGGAAATATAATTTGATTTGAAGTGTTCAGAAACATTATTTATAATAAAAGATACTCAAATGACACAATACATTATTTACCATTCATTTCTATTGGGCATAACATAACAAAGTGCAAATGCATCCAACAAGTTTGTAGTCAAGCTTAGTCATTGCGTGCTAGGAATATGGGACCAAATATTCAACTTTTGACAAAATGTTATACACAATAGTTGAATTTGTCCAAATACTTATGATGCCTTCAAATGGGATGACTAGATAAAGTACTTTAATTTCTAAACGGTAAAACATATGTATGAAAATACCCTAAAATGAAAGGTGACATTCTGTACTGTCTCCTCATGTAAAACATTTGATCGCAAATTCAAATTGCTGGAGTATAGATCCAAATTAAAAGCATTAGCTTCACCACCTTCCGGAGACATTTGAAACCCCACCTCTTTAAGGAATACCTGGGATAGGCTAAAGTATTCCTTCTAACCCCCCCCCCCCCCCCCCCCCCCCCAAATTGTAAAGTGGTTATCCCACTGGCTATAGGGTGAACGCACCAATTTGTGAGTCGCTCTGGCTAAGAGCGTCTGCTAAATGACGTTAATGTGCCCTTGAGCAAGGCACTTAACCCTAATTGCTCCTGTAAGTCGCTCTGGTTAAGAGCGTCTGCTAAATGACTAAAATGTAAAATGTAAATGTAACTGTCCAAATAAATACGTGGGGGATTGTATAGGTATGTTTAAGGAATGTGTGTACCATTGAGTCAGTCTCTATGACCAGTCCTCCTGTGTCGGCACAGCTGGGGGCATATTCATTACACCGATTCTGTTGCAAAACGTTTATTCAAACAGAAGTAAACTGTGAGGGACCTACCTGAATTTGTCCAATAGAAACTCTTGTTATGCTCAGTTTGCTTCCGTTTGGTTCTTAAACTGTAAATGGTTTCCATAATGAATATGCCCCTGGAGTTAGTGTGAAAATCTGTGCTTACAGGAGCAGCTGGAGCATGCAGAGGTGAGCACGGCGCTGCGTTACCTTGGCCAGTACTACTTCAAGAACAAGCTTTACGACGAGGCTTCACTGTGTGCACAACGCTGCTGTGACTACAACGACGTAAGCACTGCCTCTAGTTGAACTGTTGTCAATGAACAAAAATCATAATATTTCGATAAGATGGACACTTCTATCTACATACACTACTGCTTGTCCGGTACAGCTAAAGTGTCAGTCCTGTTTGAGTTGAAGACCACAGATGTATTTATTTATGGGGCTGACTGATTGCTGTGGTGTCCCTCTACAGGCTCGTGAGGAAGGGAAGGCTCTGCTCAGACAGATCTCCCAGGTCAGAGACCAGATGGAGGCCTCATCCACAGACCTGTTTGGACCGCTGTCCTCCAACAACAACACCCCTGTTAGGAGGGTGTCCCCCCTCGACCTGTCTTCCTTCACCCCCTGACACACACCCCTCGACCTGTCGTCCTTCACCCCCTGACACACACCCCTCGACCTGTCGTCCTTCACCCCCTGACACACACCCCTCGACCTGTCGTCCTTCACCCCCTGACACACACCACTCGACCTGTCCTCCTTCACCCCGACACACACCCCTCGACCTGTCCTCCTTCACCCCGACACACACCCCTCGACCTGTCCTCCTTCACCCCGACACACACCCCTCGACCTGTCCTCCTTCACCCCACTGGCTAGCTGAAAGCTCTACTTCACTTTGACTCTAATAGGACAACCTCATCTCAGCCTTATCCTGTTGGCTCCGTATCCAGTTATGGTGAATTAGTACTTAATGCCATATCGAGGGAGACTCATCGAAGAGATTGCTGTTCGTAAATGTCAAGTCTTATACATAATGTAAATATTTTCTGTGTATGTTTACATGTAGTCGGCAGTGCAGGAGTTGCCACCCTACTTTTGAATATGAAAGAATTATCTGAACCATTGAATCTGGAGTGTCATTGGATCAATGGAAACTGCATGCTCATGTTACTTTAAGAATAAATTGATTTCTTACAAGATTGAGGAAACATTTTATTACAATATTACAGTTGCACCACTCAAAGTATTTTGAGATAATGAAAGACAAGTTAACTGGACAAACATTGAAAGCAAAACATTTACATGAATGAGAGAATGTAATTTAAAGAAATGTCCAATAGTAACATGAACTCTTAAAGCACTTTAGCAGGAGGTAATATGCAAGAAACGTAGTGTGCATCAGCCCTCATTCATTCACTCAACCAACCATTTACCCAACCAACCATTTACCCAACCATTCACTCAACCAACCATTTACCCAACCAACCATTCACTCAACCAACCATTTACCCAACCAACCATTTACCCAACCAACCATTTACCCAACCAACCAGTCACTACAACTAAATTAGAATTTCAAATGTTATCCTGCATTTTGACAAACATTACTCAATTTATTATCAGATCAGAAACTGAAAAGTTGTAGCATTGTGTTTAATACCCGAGTCACTCCAAAAACAAAACTTTGTTGCATTCTATAGGAAGACAGCTTAGCAGTGCAGATACTGTAGTAACACTTCAAATAAAAAAGGTATTTGAAAAACACCATTACAAATAAGTAAAACAGTACAGATTTACAATTTGGTTTGCATAATGGTAGAGGATAAAATCAGCACTTGGTGACCCTGTACCTGCCAGAGGGGCAGGGACTTGGGGGAGGGGACTGTTGGCGGGAGCGAAGGATCCGTGAGTAGGGTGTGGTTTGATCTTCACGGGGGCGTCCCTGTCTGTTTCGTGACGGGGTACGTTGTGAGAGAAGGGAGCGGAAGAAGGATTGTTTCTCTGGGGGCTGGTTCTCAGCGTTGCCTGCTGCCCCACAGCCCCTCTTCTGACAGGAGCCGGGAGTAGCAGAGGCTGAGCCACAGGGGGGCATCTGACCCATCTGGGCCAGGGTCTCTGCCTTCCTCCTCAGGTCTGCCTTGATCAGCAGCAGGCCGTTCTGCAGCTCTACCAGGGTCTGGTCCTGAGGGAGGGACAGGAGGAGACAGACAGGAGTGGACAGGGTGAGAGAAGGACAGGGTGAGGGACAGAGAGTGAGGGAGTGACAGGGTGAGGGAGGGACAGGAGTGGACAGGGTTCTCTTCTTTACACTGTGGGGGGCTACTAAGTCCACCTCCCACATGTATTTCCAGTTGAATATGTGCCTTTTCAGAGTGACAAAAACACACCAACTAGCAGCAGCCCTTCCCTGCCTAGGATCACTAAGAACAAAGTGTTCCCTACCCTGCCTAGGATCACTAAGTACAAAGTGTTCCCTACCCTGCCTAGGATCACTAAGTACAAAGTGTTCCCTACCCTGCCTAGGAATAAAGTCCTATTGAATTCTATAGATGTGTACCTGTTTGGCCAGTGTGTGGTCTGCAGAGGCGAGCGCATGGCGCAGCCTCTCCCCGCCAGTGTTGCGGCAGCATGCCCTCTCTCCAGACTGCAGGTTCAGACCCAGCCTCTGCAGGTCCAGACGCAACTGACGCAGGTTCTGCAGCAGAGGCACAAACATGTTAAAACCCCAGCAATCACACCTGGTTATAGTATTTAATACAGAAGGTACGGGGGTAATGTGTGAGGAGACTAGGCCCCTGGCTGGAGTACCGACCTTCTGGCCCTCCCCCAGCTTGCGGTCGGCAGCGTTGGTCAGGGCGTCGGAGGGCTCTGGTGGCGTGAGCTGCCCCTGGACGCGCCTCAGTTCTGAAAGAGAGTTACAGTTATAAAGACCCATGTCATTTGCCAATCAATCATCTAGACTTCCCTCTTGTCCCGGTACTCCCTCTTCTCTTACCTTGTGTTTTCTCCAGCAGCTCGGCCCTCACTCTGCTCAGCTCTCCTGTGGTTGTGGAGGCCAGGCGCTGGGAGCGACGGGGAGTGGGACCCTCATCCTCTCCTCCCAGGGCTAGGGGTGGGAAGAGGGGGAGTGGGGCTGGCTCTGCTAGGGACACGCCTCCCCTTTTCTCCAGGCCTGCAGTCAGTGCCTCAATCTGTTCATCACGCTCCTAGGATGGGGAGGGAAGGTGGAAAGGAATCAACCATCTGTAGCATGGAGAACTCCTCTATTCTAAACCCACTGAAAGAGCTGATAACTCTTCATCTACAGACTGTCCCATCCCGCTCACCTCTATTTCCTGGTTGTAGTATCTCTTGAGGCTTTTCTGCAGGTTGTTGATCTTGTCCTCAAACCTCTCCTCCATCAGAGCCTTCTCAGTCTCCAGGGTCTGGCTGAAGTCCTTCTCCATGCCAGAGATGACCTCCATCATCTCAGAGAACACCTGCTCTCTGACGGTGGCCTCCAGCGCCTCCTTCTCCTCCCGCTGCCTCTGCACCTCCCTCTTCAGCACCTCGATGGCCCGCAGCAGAGCCTGAACACAGCACAGACCCAGTCAGTCACCGAGGCCCAACACACACAAGTTGACATTTCATTCACAGGGGGTCGGAGAGGACATACATCTGAATCGAACATGGTGATGTCCCCGTCTTCATCACTGTCATCGTCATCCTCCATCAGAGTGCTGTCATTGGAGTGAGGCTGGGGCTCCCGCAGCAGGGACAGGATGTAGGCCACCCGGGTCTTAGTGGACGACCCATGGACCAGCTGAGAGGGAAGACAGGCGACAGAGGTCACAACGACACCCACTGAATAGCTCTCTGAAACCAAGGCTGTATTATTGACTGCAAGATGAGAGCTGTTTGTACCTGTGTGGCGATGGCAGAGAACTTGAGGGCCTGCAGGGTCTCGTCGTAGGTGGAGGCACAGGGGTTGATGTTGACCACCATGCTGGAGCGCCCCCGGCCGCAGAAAAAGCCCTGGAGAACCCGGGTCAGTTTACTGTCTCTGAACGGCACCACCTGAGGGGGTCGCGACCTGTAGAGACAGCAGAACACGTCACCTGGACAGTACAATGCTGGGATGCATTTCATTTACATGTGGTTTTACGGCATGTGATGAATTCCTCTTGTTTAGATGTGTGTGTCCTACTTGTTGTTCTGGTTGTGCCTCAGAGCAGCGATACAGCGGCCCAGGGTGTGGAGGGAGGTGTTGATATTGTTAGCCTCCTTCATCCTCTCCTCGTTGCGCTGGTCCTTACAACGCTCTGAGCCAGCCAGGTCACAGACAGCCAGCCTAGTGGGAGAGAATCACTATTATACTAAGGCCAGGTCACAGCCAGCCTAATGGGAGAGAATCACTATTATACTAAGGCCAGGTCACAGACAGCCTAATGGGAGAGAATCACTATTATACTAATGCCAGGTCACAGACAGTATAATAGTGATTCTCTCCCATTAGGCTGTCTGTGACCTGGCCTTAGTATAATAGTGATTCTCTCCCATTAGGCTAAGGCCAGGTCACAGACAGCCTAATGGGAGAGAATCACTATTATACTAAGGCCAGGTCACAGACAGCCTAATGGGAGAGAATCACTATTATACTAAGGCCAGGTCACAGACAGCCTAATGGGAGAGAATCACTATTATACTAAGGCCAGGTCACAGACAGCCTAATGGGAGAGAATCACTATTATACTAAGGCCAGGTCACAGACAGCCTAATGGGAGAGAATCACTATTATACTAATGCCAGGTCACAGACAGCCTAATGGGAGAGAATCACTATTATACTAAGGCCAGGTCACAGACAGCCTAATGGGAGAGAATCACTATTATACTAAGGCCAGGTCACAGACAGCCTAATGGGAGAGAATCACTATTATACTAAGGCCAGGTCACAGACAGCCAGCCTAGTGCGACAGAATCCCTACTACTAGCAACCACCAATGTCAAATCAGACAGAACAGTCAGGATAAGACAGTGGGTCGGAGAATGAGAAGCCTGGATGGGACGTACTCGCTGGTTCGTGTGGCCTGGCCCTGGTCAGCCTCTGGGTGGACGTGCAGGATCCGGATGGAGAAGATGCTGTGGCTGCGGCTGGAGTTGTGGTTGAGATGAGTGCTGGCAAAGCTCTGGTTCCTCCGGCCAGCCCTGAGCACTCTCCAAGCCTCCTCTGCACTGTGGACCTGCACCCAGGTGAGATCTGCACAACACATAAACACAAAGGTCAGTAAATGTGAATAAACTACAATGAAAAACATAATTAATATGATCTACATAATATAGTCACTACTTTTAGAAACAGAAAGCATGTTTTCTTAGAGAATCTGAATGCGTGTTACCCTTGACGTAAGGGTTCCCCTGCTTGTCATCACTCAGCCTCAGGATGGCCCTCTTCTTAGGCTGCAGGGAGGGCGGAGCCTCAAGCAGGTCATACAGGAACTCATTGTAGATCTCATAGAATGACACCCAGACAGAGAACTGCACCCCTTCCTCCAGCTCCTCCCCTCCACTGTGGGACAGGCTGTCGGGCTCCAGACACACACTGTCAGAGTCTGCTGGGAGAGAGATGGGCGTGTTGAGCAGTGGCCACACAACCTCCAGGATTATACAAAAGGAAAATACTCTACATACTACCACTGCCTATATAATAAAGCAGCTGTGTAAATGCTGTATAGGCCTAACTCTAGACTTCGCTAGGCGTCAGAGAGCAGAGTCATGTTACAGTCTGAACGCCCTCACCCTCTAGCTGGGTGGCGATGTGGCTGGTTATGGAGTGTCCACCGATGCCGCTGTCCCAGGTACTGGTGCCGCCTCGCATCCGAGAAGTCATGCCATCCTCCTGTGATAGAGACACAGGGAGAGGTGAACGTGGCATCATGTGACTTACAGTTGAGTCCAGGGTGATTTATGCTCCCGTCTCCCTCACCTCTTTGAGCAGACAGTCTTTGCGGATCTCCTCGGCCCGGACCTCACCGGCGTCCAGCTGGCGTACCTCCTGGTAGAGGACAGGCTTGAGGTCCATGGCTCCGTAGAGACGGCCCTGCAGCTTCCTGAACACAGACACCAGGGCCCGGGGCAGGAGGCCCGCCTCACGACCCACTCCTACAGGGGAAAGGTCACATCAGTACTTTGTGGTACCCATCTCCACTGTATACTTAGCAAACAGCTAAACCAAGAGAGTGGAAATGTCTAGCTTTCTGTAGTTACTTGGTGATATCAACTAATCCTATCTCACCCTGAATGGTGTAGGTCTTGCCAGAGTTGGTGACACCATATGTGTAGAGGAGCCGACTCTCTCCACGAAGCACGTCTCTCACCATCTCCTTCATGGTGCTCTCGAAAAAGTCCTGCTGTTTGGTCTCTGGACCAAAGATCTACAGAGGTACACATGAAAAGACGTCTGTGAGCTCTGTGTATATTATAATGTAGTACACGTGTCATAGTAGAGTCTTATCTCTCAGGTCTTGTGTGAAAGTGAAACTTACCTGAGAGAAGCTGAACTTGTGCGTGCCATGGGCAACACCCCTCTCTGCACTCTTCATGTTCTGGGAGTCTTTGGGGGCTTTCAGCATCAGGGTCTCTTCGTTTTGAACACACACACAGCCCTGAAATGAGAGGAGGGAAAATGACACCCGTCTCACAAGTACTTAAAAGTTGACATGGAGAATAGGATGGAATGATAATACAATAGAATGGCATGAGAGTGCAGATCGTACCTGTTCCTCTCCTCTTTCCTTCTCTCCCTCAGTCAGGGGGCGGATGCGCAGAAACACCTTCACTTTCTCAGTGTTCCCTTCATCACTGCTGCCTTGTCTGATCACTCCAGGCTTCGCCAACGCTTTCTGAATATTGGAAAGAAAGTGGTGATAGTACTGTAGTTCTGTGATGAACAGCATTGTTGAACATTTTCATACTGTAGGCCTATCACTGATCCTCTTTGTGTAAATCAGCTACACAGTTAGAACGTTTCAATGGAAATCTGTGTTTTTCTTGGTGATGTCATTCGGAAACACAATGTTAACTTTCATTGCTATGCAGACAACACACAGCTCTACATTTCGATGAAACATGGTGAAGCCCCAAAATTACCTACCCTGTAAGCCTGTGTTTCAGACATAAGGAAGTGGATGGCGGCAAATGTTTAACTTTTAAACTCGGACAAAACAGAGATGCTAATTCTAGGTCCCAAGAAACAAAGAGATCTTCTGTTGGATCTGACAATTAATCTTGATGGTTGTACAGTCGTCTAAAAAACAACAACTGTGAAGGACCTCGGCGTTACTCTGGACCCTGATCTCTTTTGACTAAAATATCAAGAATATTTAAAAAGGACAGCTTTTTTCCATCTTCGTAACATTGCCAAAATCAGAAACCTTTTGTCCAAAAATGATGCAGAAAAGCTAATCCATGCTTGTCACTTCTAGATTAGACTACTGCAATGCTCTACTCTGCGGCCACCCGGATAAAGCACTAAATAAACTTCAGTTAGGGCTAAACACGGCTGCTAGAATCTTGACTAGAACCAAAAAATGTGATCATATTACTCCAGTGCTAGCCTCTCTACACTGGCTTCCTGTTAAGGCTAGGGCTGATTTCAAGGTTTTACTGTTAACCTACAAAGCATTACATGGGCTTGCTCCTACCCATCTCTCCAATTTGGTGCTGCCGTACATACAGTGGGGGAAAAAAGTATTTAGTCAGCCACCAATTGTGTAAGTTCTCCCACTTAAAAAGATGAGAGAGGCCTGTAATTTTCATCATAGGTACACGTCAACTATGACAGACAAAATGAGATTTTTTTCTCCAGAAAATCACATTGGAGGATTTTTTATGAATTTATTTGCAAATTATGGTGGAAAATAAGTATTTGGTCAATAACAAAAGTTTCTCAATACTTTGTTATATACCCTTTGTTGGCAATGACACAGGTCAAACGTTTTCTGTAAGTCTTCACAAGGTTTTCACACACTGTTTCTGGTATTTTGGCCCATTCCTCCATGCAGATAATCTCTAGAGCAGTGATGTTTTGGGGCTGTCGCTGGGCAACACGGACTTTCAACTCCCTCCAAAGATTTTCTATGGGGTTGAGATCTGGAGACTGGCTAGGCCACTCCAGGACCTTGAAATGCTTCTTACGAAGCCACTCCTTCGTTGCCCGGGCGGTGTGTTTGGGATCATTGTCATGCTGAAAGACCCAGCCACGTTTCATCTTCAATGCCCTTGCTGATGGAAGGAGGTTTTCACTCAAAATCTCACGATACATGGCCCCATTCATTCTTTCCTTTACACGGATCAGTCGTCCTGGTCCCTTTGCAGAAAAACAGCCCCAAAGCATGATGTTTCCACCCCCATGCTTCACAGTAGGTATGGTGCTCTTTGGATGACACTCAGCATTCTTTGTCCTCCAAACACAACGAGTTGAGTTTTTACCAAAAAGTTATATTTTGGTTTCATCTGACATTCTCCCAATCCTCTTCTGGATCATCCAAATGCACTCTAGCAAACTTCAGACGGGCCTGGACATGTACTGGCTTAAGCAGGGGGACACGTCTTGCACTGCAGGATTTGAGTCCCTGGCGGCGTAGTGTGATACTGATGGTAGGCTTTGTTACTTTGGTCCCAGCTCTCTGCAGGTCATTCACTAGGTCCCCCAGTGTGGTTCTGGGATTTTTGCTCACCGTTCTTGTGATAATTTTGACCCCACGGGGTGAGATCTTGCGTGGAGCCCCAGATCGAGGGAGATTATCAGTGGTCTTGTATGTCTTCCATTTCCTAATAATTGCTCCCACAGTTGATTTCTTCAAACCAAGCTGCTTACCTATTGCAGAGTCAGTCTTCCCAGCCTGGTGCAGGTCTACAATTTTGATTCTGGTGTCCTTTGACAGCTCTTTGGTCTTGGACATAGTGGAGTTTGGAGTGTGACTGTTTGAGGTTGTGGACAGGTGTCTTTTATACTGATAACAAGTTCAAACAGGTGCCATTAATACAGGTAACGAGTGGAGGACAGAGGAGCCTCTTAAAGAAGAAGTTACAGGTCTGTGAGAGCCAGAAATCTTGCTTGTTTGTAGGTGACCAAATACTTATTTTCCACCATAATTTGCTAATAAATTCATTAAAAATCCTACAATGTGATTTTCTGGGGTTTTTTCCCTCATTTTGTCTGTCATAGTTGACGTGTACCTATGATGAAAATTACAGGCCTCTCTCATCTTTTTAAGTGGGAGAACTTGCACAATTGGTGGCTGACTAAATACTTTTCCCCCCCACTGTACCTACACGTAGAGACGCAGGCCTCCTTATTGTCCCTAGAATTTCTAAGCAAACAGCTGGAGGCAGGGCTTTCTCCTATAGAGCTCAATTTTTATGGAATGGTCTGCCGATCCATGTGAGAGATGCAGACTCTGTCTCGACGTTTAAGTCTTTCCTGAAGACTCATCCTATAATTGAGTGTAGTCTTGCCCAGGGGTGCGATGGTGAACAGAAAGGCACTGGAGCGACAAACCACCCTTGCCATCTCTGCCTGGCCGGTTCCTGTCTCTCCATTGGGATTCTCTGCCTCTGACCCTATTACGGGGGCTGAGTCACTGGCTTACTGGTGCTTTCCATGCCGTCCCTAGGAGGGGTGCATCACTTGAGTGGGTTGAGTCACTGACGTGATTTTCCTGTCCGGTTTGTCGCTCCCTCGGGCTCATGCAGTGGAGGAGATCTTCGTGGGCTATACTCAGCCTTGTCTCAGGGTAGTAGGTTGGTGGTCTGTTGATATCCCTCTGGTGGTGTGGAGGCTGTGCTTTGGCAGTGGGTGGGGTTTAAGTATGCTCCCTCTAATTCTCCCTCCCATCCCGGAGGACCTGAGCCCTAGGACCATGCCTCAGGACTACCTGGCCTGATGACTCCTAACTGTCCCCAGTCCACCTGGTCGTGCTGCTGCTCCAGTTTCCACTCTTCTGCCTGCGGCTATGAAACCCTGACCTGTTCACCGGACGCGCTACCTTGTCCCAGACCTGCTGTTTTCAACTCTCTCTCTACCGCACCTGCTATTTCAACCTCTAAATGCCCGGCTATGAAAAGCAAAGTGACGTTTACTCCTGATGTACTGACCTGTTGCAACCTCTACAACCACTTTGATTATTATTAGACCCTGCTGGTCATCTATGAACATTTGAACATCTTGGAGAAAAATCTGCCCTTAATGGCCATGTACTGTTATAATCTCCACCCGGCACAGCCACAAGGGGACTGGCCACCCCTCAGAGCCTGGTTCCTCTCTAGGTTTCTGCCTTTCTAGGGAGTTTTTCCTAGCCACCGTGCTTCTACATCTGCATTGCTTGCTGTTTGGGGTTTTAGGCTGGGTTTCCGTATAGCACTTTGTGACATCTGCTGATGTAAAAACAGCTTTATAAATAAAATTGTATTGATGTTTGTGTGTAATAAAGCACTTGTTGTTAAAAGATAGCCTATCTTATTGCTGTGTGACAAATTGCTGGAGGGCGTAACACCCAATAAATAACTGTCTAGCGTCTACCCTAATGCCCTTTGCAAAAAAAATGACAGTCTGGGAAAATGGAAACACTCAAACACTGTCCAACTTCACTATCTTATAAAGAGATGTATCAAGTGTTGCAGAATATTCACTGAGTGATGAAAGGCTTGTCCAAACAAGCCGTCACCACAATGTAGTGTTGTGCTGCCTATTAACATTACCTTCACTGAAGAATAAACAAGTACTGGTAGGCCTGTAATAAAGGAACCTTAAATATATATATTTTGAGTGCGGAGTGTTATGAGTTCAGTTAGAGCTAAGGCCTTACCTCTCTGATGGATGGCCGAGGTTCTAGTCCAGGGGAGATGATGGAGATCTCAGGCAGAGTGACTTTGTTCAGTCGTTGTCCCACCAGGCCTCCGATGTCAGCTGCCGTGGATTCAAACACAGCCATGCCCCCCTCCTCCTCGTCAGACAGGACTCCACATGGAGACGCCATAGACAACGCCATAGCAACTTGTTGGGTGACTGAATTGAGATTTTGGGATCACAGAGCTGTCAAGAGTGAGTGAAATCTACATCAACGAGTTTTCCAGGTTTACTTAAATTGGTGCAAAATAATCAACTTTCATATGCATTTTAGTCATTTAGACTTACAGTAGTGAGTGCATACATTTTTATCCGTTTTTCGTACTGGTCCCCCATGGGAATCTAACCCACAACCCTGGCGCCATGCTCTACCAACTGAACTACATGGGACTATGTATGTACAAGACCCGTGTAGCTCAGTTGGTAGAGCACAGAGTTTGCAACACCAGGGTTGTGGGTTCGATTCCCACGGGGGACCAGTATGAAAATGTATGCACTAACTAACTGTAAATCGCTCTGGATAAGTGCATCTGCTAAAAATGTAAAATAAAAGGCAATCTGATTAGAAGGGAACCTTGGATGACTAGAGGGGCCAAAAGTCAAGTTTGCTGGTCTGCAAAAGACAAGACTGGTGTTTATTCTAGAGTGTTAGCTAGCCCAGTTTGTTTTCAGATCTAAAAGTGGTTTCAAATCCAAAGTCCCACCCCATTTCCATGGCTCAATCCCAAATGAAATTATGCCATTACTGATTTTAAAAAATTACATTAGTTACAGGCCTGTTGCTGCAGAGTTGAAAATGTGGCAAAAACTTTTGAACCCACATAAAGCAATCCATTGGCTGGCTTGGTGATTGGCAGGTAATGTTACACGCAAGCAGACCGCTGGTTTGTTTAGCTAAACTGCCACGGTAACTAGTTAATAGTTTCTTAATTAAAATGTGTTACATCTAATTTACAAAATAAATATTAATACATTACATTTGTAACGCGCTTTTCATTGTACAATAATAATCTCAAAGTGCACTAAATAAATAAATGTAGTTAGCTAACCAGGTTGCCATTTGTCTAACGTTACCTAGAAAGCGCTGATTAACGTTAGCAAAAACAAGATAGCCTAGTTGCGACGTTTGCCATTTAGCTAGTAGCAAAGGTTTTCGCTTCAGGTAACGTTAGTTTCATCAAGTCAATGCTGAATGCTCTAATTCTGAAACAGATAAAATTACCTCGTCAGTCGCGGGGATGTAACGTTTTGAGCTATCTTCGTAAATGCAAAAAAAACTACCTTTTTAAACAAACAACTTGCTCTATCTATCTAGCCATGAAATGCTACCTGACAATGCCCCTTGTTTTGTGCACAGACACTTCCCTCAAGGCGTCCACTGATTCAACCAATTCAAACATCGCGCTTCACGTGCACAACCAATCACAGGATAAAGGTTACACAGACGCCACACAGACGCTGACCAATACGAAGCTCGTGGCTACAGACAAAAATTACTAAAGAAAATGCGAATTTAGAAAGTGTTTATTTGATCCTTTGAATGTTTTAGCTAGTTATGTGTGTGTTATGTTATATCTACAAATGTTCTAATACTGTTATCTAGGAAAATGTAATTGCATGGACCCTAGCCCTGGATTATAAATCATCCGGTTGTAGTCCAGGACTAGGTTTAGTCAAAAATTATGGAACTAATCTGTTATCTGTGGTTTAGTCTAGTCTGGGTCCGGGAAACTGCTGACAAACCAGTGACTTGGTGATTACAGAGCAAGCACGCTGTGAGTTCAGGGATGGGATTATCCCATTTCTGCCACCAGTGTAGCGATTCTGTTTTTTTTTAACAGAAAACGTTAACCAGGTAGGCGTCATCCCTGTAGGCAAATAATAAGCACACAGCCACACACCACCACTTCTATAAATGTCCCGACTCCCGACCTCTTGGTAGAATACATTTTTTTTTGTACTTGTTTTTTTTTTTTTACAAGGTGTCCGGTTGAGACCAGGTCTCTTTTGCAAAAGCCCTGCATTTTACAATTATACAACATATAACACATAGCAAATACACCAGAAAATTCTAATACAAAGAGAATAGAAAAAATAAAGCACTATAAAGCACACATGAAAAACAATCACATTCCTCAGCAAACAGGTTTTCAACATAGAGAAGAATTTTAAAAAAATCAAAAAGGTGTGGTAAAGTGTGACATCAATACAAGGTGAAATGTTTTTAATGTACAAAACAGTTGGAGGATGCGGGCATCGATCCCGCTACCTCTCGCATGCTAAGCGAGCGCTCTACCATTTGAGCTAATCCCCCGATATGACAGAGCCTGACCACGAGACAATTTAAACCTGTCGTTCTTTGACTCGTTGCTCTGCGGTGCTGTATATAATGGCAAAGAATACATCAAATAGCTCAGATAATGTATATATGATTATAGTTCTACACAGCGGCAGCCATAGTGAGTCTACGCAAAATCAATATATCCCTTTTTCTCTTTTTTAATCGGAATGATCTAACTTGGTTTACTGTAGACCGAGTGGGTGGGTGGAGTGAGTACAGTATCTGCTGTATAACAAGAAGATGGCGAGCGGGATTGGAAGTGAGTAAATGAGCCTGTTGTCAAATTATATGCTTTTTAATGCATGGCAACCAGATGTTCATGAATCGTTTGCACACTATAGTCTTGGGATTGATGTAACGTTAGACGGCATTGCAAATCGGTGAATTCTTAATAGCCTACCCATGCTGGCATGAGCTTTGAATGAATGGCTCACTCTTCCCTTCTCGCTAGACAACGTTAGCTGACCAGTTAGCAGAAGCTCGCTAGCTAGTTAGCTAGCTATACTAAGTCACCAGCAAAATATTGCTAGTAAGTTCATCCTTCCATATGTCTGATTAGAAAGGTGTTGAGATGAGTCCTTCATGACTTTTGAAACATTCGTAGGTCATTTTGTAACAGCTCTCAAGATGGTAGCTAGCTTTAGGAAGCGCAACATTTATTTTCACCCCTCCTCCATACAAACAGTGGCTTGCGAAAGTATTCACCCCCCCTTAGCATTTTTCCTATTTTGTTGCCTTACAACCTGTAATTAAAATTGATTTGGGGGGGGGGGGGGTTGTATCATTTCATTTACACAACATGCCTACCACTTTGAAGATGCAAAATATTTTTTTGTGTGAAACAAACAAGAAATAAGACAAAAAAACAGAAAACTTGAGTGTGCATAACTATTAACCCCCCCCCCCCACCCACAAAGTCAATACTTTGTAGAGCCACCTTTTGCAGCAATTACAGCTGCAAGTCTCTTGGGGTATGTCTCTATAAGCTTGGCACATCTAGCCACTGGGATTTTTGCCCATTCTTCAAGGCAAAACTGATCCAGCTCATTTAAGTTGGATGGGTTCCGCTGGTGTACAGCAATCTTTAAGTCATACCACTGATTCTCAATTGGATTGAGGTCTGGGCTTTGACTAGGCCATTTTATTTATTTATTTAATTAACTTTTTATTTCACCTTTATTTAACCAGGTAACCAGTTGAGAACAAGTTCTCATTTACAACTGCGACTTGGCCTAGATAAAGCAAAGCAGTGCGATAAAAAACAACAACACAGAGTTGCATATGGGGTAAACAAAACATAAAGTCAAAAACACAACAGAAACTATATATACAGTGTGTGCAAATGTAGCAAGTTCTGGAGGTAAAGCAATAAATAGGCCATAGTGCAAAATAATTACAATTTAGGATTAACAAATCAAATCATATCAAATCAAATTTTATTGGCCACATACGCCGAATACAACAGGTGCAGACATTACAGTGAAATGCTTACTTACAGCCCTTAAACAACAGCGCATTTATTTTAAATAAAAAAGTAAAATAAAACAACAACAAAAAAGTGTTGAGAAAAAAAGAGCAGAAGTAAAATAAAATAACAGTAGGGAGGCTATATATACAGGGGGGTACTGGTGCAGAGTCAATGTGCGGGGGCACCGGCTAGTTGTCACGATTGTTTACGGACGAGAAGGACCAAGGCGCAGCGTGATATGCATTCATATTTATTTCACGAATAAACACACGACAAAACAACAAACGAAACGTGAAGTCCAAGGTAACACACAAACATACCTTACACGGAACAAGATCCCACAACTAACTCGTGCCAAAAGGCTGCCTAAGTATGGTCCCCAATCAGAGACAACGAGCTACAGCTGCCTCTGATTGGGAACCACCCCGGCCAACATATATCTACACATCATAGATACTATAACAATGAACAAACACAACACGGAATATACACATCCTGACTCAACAAATAAACGTCCCTTGAGTCAGGGCGTGACACTAGTTGAGGTAGTTGAAGTAATATGTACATGTGGGTAGAGTTAAAGTGACTATGCATAAATAATTAACAGAGTAGCAGCAGCGTAAAAAGATGGGGTGGGGGGGCAGTGCAAATAGTCCGGGTAGCCATGATTAGCTGTTCAGGAGTCTTATGGCTTGGGGGTAGAAGCTGTTGAGAAGTCTTTTGGACCTAGACTTGGCACTCCGGTACCGCTTGCCGTGCGGTAGCAGAGAGAACAGTCTATGACTAGGGTGGCTGGAGTCTTTTACAATTTTGAGGGCCTTCCTCTGACACCGCCTGGTATAGAGGTCCTGGATGGCAGGAAGCTTGGCCCCAGTGATGTACTGGGCCGTACGCACTACCCTCTGTAGTGCCTTGCGGTCGGAGGCCAAGCAGTTGCCATACCAGGCGGTGATGCAACCAGTCAGGATGCTCTCGATGGTGCAGCTGTATAATTTTTTGAGGATCTGAGGACCCATGCCGAATCTTTTCAGTCTCCTGAGGGGGAATAGGCTTTGTCGTCCCACATGCCTTTTGGCAAACACCAAACGTGTTTGTTTATTTTTTCTGGCCACTGTTCCATAAAGCCCAGCTCTGTGGAGTGTACGGCTTAATGTGATCCTATGGACAGATACTCCAATCTCCGCTGTGGAGCTTTGCAGCTCCTTCAGGGTTATCTTTGGTCTCTTTGTTGCCTCTCTGATTAATGCCCTCCTTGCATGGTCCGTGAGTTTTGGTGGGCGGCCCTCTCTTGGCAGGTTTGTTGTGGTGCCATATTCTTTCCATTTTTGTATAATGTATTTAATGGTGCTCCGTGGGATGTTCAAAGTTTCTGATAATTTTTTTAACCCAACCCTGATCTGTACTTCTCCACAACTTTGTCCCTGACCTGTTTGGAGCGCTCCTTGGTCTTCATGGTGCCGCTTGCTTGGTGGTGCCCCTTGCTTAGTGGTGTTGCAGACTCTGGGGCCTTTCAGAACAGGTGTATATATACTGAGATCATGTGACAGATCATGTGACACTTAGATTGCACACAGGTGGACTTTATTTAACTAATTATGTAACTTCTGAAGGTAATTGGTTGCACCAGATCTTATTTAGGGGCTTCATAGCAAAGGGGGTGAATACATATGCACGCACCACTTTTCCGTTATTTATTTTTTAGAATTTTTTGAAATAAGTAATTTTTTTCATTTCACTTCACCAATTTTGACTATTTTGTGTATGTCCATTATATGAAATCCATTTAAATTACAGGTTGTAATGCAACAAAATAGGAAAAACGCCAAGGGGGATGAATACTTTTGCAAGGCACTTGCTTGGTATTCAGTGTGGTCTAACCTCCTCAGCTATTTATCTGACAGTTTATTTCATTGTAGTTGTACCTAGTTGACAACAATGGGATTTGTTTTGCGGGATCTTGGGACATCCTGACCTGTAAAATAGGATGTGATTACAAGAAATGGTCTTTTTTGATATTTCTTGTCCTGTACTGACTCTGTCCATACCTGTCCTCCCCCTCCACTCCTTATCTGCAGAACACAAGTTGCTCTCCATGGGGCCAACAGAGCCATGGTCGGTGAGGGAGAAGCTGTGCTTGGCCACCTCTGTCATGAAGAGCGGGGACCAGAACTGGTAAAGCAGCACATGTTTAGGCCTACATCATGTTACTGTTCTTATTTTTTTGGACAGACCAGTCGAATCTTAGCCAGCCACCGACTTTCACTGAGTAAAGACTTCCGGTAATGGAAACAAGCATTAGTCCATCTGTCACACAATTGATTATGTGAGGAAAGATTTTGGAATAGAATTGGTCAGTTGAATAGGAATTGTGATGATGCAATAATAGGATATCTATCCATACCCACAGGGTGTCTGTCAGTCGAGCCATCAAACCATTTGCAGAGCCAGGACGACCCCCTGATTGGTTCTCACAAAAGGTAGGATGTGCTCCACACACAATAACCTGATGATAGCATCTGAAAGAGATTTGCATTTGGTGCCCATGATGATGCAGTAACCTTATGGGTTGATTGAGTGAGAGAGGTGGCATGGGTCCTTTGCGTTAACTCTACATTCCCTAGCATTGTTAGTTTTCCATCGGTGTTCTCTTCCACTGCCCTGGCCTGTCAATAAACTGAGTACATATATGCAGCCTGTTGAAATAAAGGAAATAACTGACTTGTTCTTCTCTCTTCTTCTTATAGCACTGTGCCTCCCAGTACTCAGAGCTCCTGGAGACAACAGAGACCCCAAAGTGAGCACAGCAGTCACTGTTATTTTGATGTCTTTTTCTGTGTGGCTGGATCTGTGATTGTTCTGTTGTTGCATTTCCTATGATCAGAGGGGGGTTGGAGAACATGGGTAGTATGTTAGTGTGAAGGCATTGGTTTATGGATAACATGATCTTGTCTGGATGGCTTATGGCACGGTATCGCTCCCCAGACGGAAGCGTGGTGAGAAAGGTGAGGTGGTGGAGACAGTGGAGGATTTGATAGTCCGCAGGCTCACGGCAGAGAGGATTGATGAGCTGAAGAGACTGATCAAAGACACACAGGAGAAGCACAGGTATAATGGCCTTCAGTAGATCTTTTTTACATTTTGCAGACGCTCTTATCCAGAGCAACTTACAGGAGCAATTAGGATTAAGTGCCTTGCTCATCAACAGATTTTTCACCTAGTCGGCTCAGGGATTAGAACCAGCGACCTTTCGGTTACTGGCACAACGCTCTTAACCACTAAGCTACCTGCCGCCCTGCTACTTGATTGACCCAACTCTGATGTCAGTTGTTGATCTGCTGCATTCACAGGAAGCTGAAGACAGAGGCAGAGCTGATCCAAGCCGGGCACCTGGACTCCAAGCTAGAGGATCTATGGGGAGAGATTGTGCAGTATGACCCTTTTATCTGTCAGCCTTTGTTAATATTTCTGTATCTATTTACATCACAGGAGTCTGCTGAGGGGAGGACGGCTCATAATAATGGCTGGAATGGAGTAAATGGAATGGTATCAACCACATGGAAACCATGGAAACCAGGTGTTTGATGTGTTTGATACCATTCCTTTTATTCCGTTCTAGCCATTACTATGAGCCGTCCTCCTCAATTAAGGTGTCACCAGCCGCTTGTGATTTACATGTCTATTTGTATTTTTCTGAGAAACTTTACTTTCTGTGCCTGCCAGGAAGAAGAAACAGGAACAGGACGAGGCAGATGTGAAAAGGAAGGCCACAGACACAGCCTATCTAGGTAAAAGATAACCCACTTCATGCACACCACTAGCTGCTTTTGCCTATGGCTTTTCTTAATCTACTCAGTAAATATAACAATATTTTCTGCTATTGCTCCATGGGCACCACTTTGTATATGTCTCACTCCAAACCTTGTAAAACACAATATACCAGATAGTATACGGGTTGATGAAGATGTATTTTATGTTTTTTCAATGATTCAATAAACCCACAGGGGATGTTGAAATAAAAAAACATCATGCCAAGGGGTTTGGATGAGGAGCTCTATCAGAAAGTATATCTAAGGCTAAGATAGATTTGTACACAGCCACAAAGGTGTTCAAAGTAAATAGTAGATCAATTGTAGTGTGATTGGTCAAACTAAGAACAGTCTCACCCCGCTGCCCCACCCCCCTTCCAGCCAGACAGGCGGTGAAGAACACCCCTAAAAGAGTGCCCAGTGTGACCGTGCGCTCTCCCCCGGGGTGCGGCTCGCCAAGCCTCGAGTTCTGCCAAGGGGACACACCCCAGAACACACCCGAGGACCCCAGCACCTCAGTGACTGTGAGTCCCTGTCAGCTACAGGGGAACGGGGCAGGGGCAGGTAGAGAGATTATTGGAGTTCAGTAGAAACATTTTTGATTTGATGTCAATTAGATGTGCTGGAACGTGCTACACAGAATACCTTTTCCTCAGCCTGCCTGCCTGCCTCTCTCCCTTGCATGTTATACTCCCCCTGTTCCCTTTTCCCAACTTCATTTTCTCCCCTCCTCTCCGTAGGCACCAGGAGCAGCAGGGTTCATGCCCCTGACTGAGGCCTGTGGGCTGGGTGGTGCAGAGGCGGGCCTGGGCACTCTTCTGGATGAGTCCCCACAAAAGAAGCTCTTGGGCCAGAAAGCTACGCCGCCACCATCCCCTCTCCTCTCTGAGCTACTGAAGAAAGGCAATCTCCTACCCACAAGCCCCAGACTGGTATGTCTGAGAAGAAATAGTATTCCATAGAGATTGTTCACTTTCATAAGATTTTAAAATGTAACTACCCATAGCCATTTGAACATCTCAGACACACCGTCAGATGAATCCTCTTGCAGTTACAGAGTCCTTTTTTGTCTCATAGGTTGGAGAAGGTGACCTGCCTGGTAATATGACAATAGCACATGACCTACAGCTCACAGGCTCTGTTCTACCTGGCTGTCTGGCAACAGGTACACACACACTCACACTTGTCATTCCCTCCAGGGCTTTGCGATTCTGTGATCGCAACTTCTTTAGCAATATCAACAATTCCCCACATATTATGCAAGGGATTGTAAATTTGACCAATTACCACACTATTTCCGCTTAAAAACTGTCTGATCACCGCTTTACAAAAAGAGGGCTCGTAATTTTAACTAATCACAGGACTTTTAATGCATAAAATAGTTAAATCAAGCCAGATGTCAACAAACGTTTTCCCCGTCAGCGCATTTTTGTGACAAATTGGACAAAAATAATTGCAAATTGGCATGCAAAATATCAGAATTCTGGAATTCTGGAAGGACTGACTTATGCTTTTGCATAAACACCCAGCAGAAAGAGCTTGCTTCTATAATGTTTGTTTGCAGAAGTGTACCTGTCCATGTTTGCTAATGCTAGATTTAGGTAGTCTAATAGTTAAAATTGAGTATTGCTTAGCGTTGCATTTTGACTAGATCAAGGCTCTGCCTGGTCTCTCTGTACGCTCTGTGTGTGTGTGTGTGTGTGTGTGTGTGTGTCCGTGTGTGTGTGTGTCCGTGTGTGTGTGTCCGTGTGCGCTAGGTGCCCCTACACTTTCTCGTTTGCTGGAGGCTGGGCCTCAGTTCTCAGCTCCGCTGGGCTCCTTGGCCAGCAGCACAGACTCCTCCAGTGTCCTTCTCACTGCTGCTGCACCCCCCACTATGGACTCCCCCGCCTCACTACACACAGGTCTCTCCCTTTCCCTCCCTGCCTCTCTCTCTCTGCTTCTATACTGTACAATCACTGCCCATCCATCCTCTTCATTTTTTCGTCAACACTTCCTCCCAAGCATCTCCTTTGTGTCTGTCATCAGATTGTGGCCAGCAGTGTGTGATCAGTCTGTCACCTGAACATCAGACTCCTGTACATGACTTGTCAGTCCATCTCATCTCCTCCAACATGAACGTGAAGCACATCACAATGATTATGTCCTCCGTCTGTTGTCTTTACGCAGAGATTGGATTTGAATCATATTAGGCTGTTAGTAATACCTGTATATGCGTGTGTGTACAGGAGGGAATGAGGTGGGGGCCTCCCAGCCTGGCCCAGGGGAGGGGACAGAAGAAGACCTAGTGACGGTGTCCTACATGGCAGAAGAATTGGACCAGGAGACAGTGGGGGACATCATCGCCATCATCGAGGACAAGGTGCTCCTTCTCTGCCTCACACACCTAAAAACAGGGATTGATACTCACCTGTTCTGCCTATAAAGCCATAGTTATATCAGCCTCCTCTCCTTAATAACAGTACATAATAGGTCTTCCTGAGTCTTGAAGTGACAGGCTGTGACCTCTCATCCTACAGGGTGATGAGAATACTGAGGCTTTGGATGCGGCTGCAGTGGAGGCTGCTCTGTCCCTGTGTGAGGAGACAGGATACGCCCTGTCTGGCTGTTCGGAGCCAGGGCCCTTCAAGCCCCCTGAGTCTGACCCTTCTGGGGCCCCACACTCCTCCTCACACCTCTCCTCCCTCGCTGGCAGTCAGGAGGTGAAGAGGGAGGCCCTGGAGTTACGGAGTGGGAGCTCTGCATGTGACAGCCAGGACAACTGTCCCTCGGGGTACCCACGGCCCCTGGGCATCAGCGGCCTTCCTCCCTCCTCTTCTTCATCATCCTGCTCTTCTATGATGCTGGAGCACAGCCAGGCTATTGGGGGTCGTCTGCAGCCTGGGGCCATGGGCGGGGCCGATGGGGAGGGAAGCCCAGTCTCTCCCCACGCGACCATCAAATGTGAGAGTGAAGAGTGGACGCAGCAAGGAGCTGACACCCCACATGCAGGTCACTCATAGCCCTGGCACATCAGACTGACAGTCATACACAGAGGCTCAAACACCTGCAGCAGACACCAGCTCTTGAGTAAACACATTTTCCATCTGTTCTCAGCATCACTTCCTGTTTCTCTCTCTCTTTTCACTTTCTCTATCTCCCTCAGACTCCGAGGATGGCCCCATGACAAGAAGACACTCCAAGGTACACCTCCCCCTCACTGAGGAGAGAACAGGCTTGTGCTTGTTGTCCTTGTGTTAGAACCTGAGATCCACTGTCTCGCCCTCTCTCTCTCTGAACCTGTGTAGGATGTGAAGGAGGAAGAGGGGGTGAGCGACGGAGAGGAGGGGAGTGCCTCAGAGACTAAAGAGGGCCTGGATGGGGATGGGGGGGATGAGGAGGGGGACGGGGCAGAGGCCTACCTGTCGGAGGCAGAGGGGGAGACAGAGCTGGAACCCCCAGCCAGTGAGAGTGAGGACGGTTACAGTCTGCACACAGCCTCCTCCTCTCTGCAGCTTCACACCACTGCAGACTCTATCCCCAGCAGCCCTGCCTCCTCCCAGTTGTGAGTCACACACACACCACCAAGCATGTCTATATCTTGTCAAAACTCCCTCTCTCTTTTCCTCTCCTCTTCTTCTATTTATTTTTCTCTGTCTGTTCAGTTCAATGTGCAGTGAGGATCAGGAGGCCAGACAGGCTCAGAAGATCTGGAAGAAAGCCATCATGCTGGTATGGCGTGCAGCTGCCAATCATAGGTAAGAATCTCACTCATGGAACCCCGGTATATAACAGGACCCTGCCTGCACCATGCTCCAGGCCTCTCATTTCAGTTTTTGAAAGTTATATATTTGCTGTTTTCCTGATTCAGGTATGCTAATGTATTCCTGCAGCCTGTGACTGATGACATTGCCCCGGGGTACCACAGTATTGTTCACAGGTAAGCACTGACCACTGACACAGGGAACAGGTAAACACTGACCACTGACACAGGGAACAGGTAAACACTGACCACTGACACAGGGAACAGGTAAACACTGACCACAAGTGCTTTCTCTGCTGGCTTGGACAATCTGACCATGCTCCTCTCTCCTCACCCCTCTCTCTCGCTCCTCTCTCCTCCACCCCAGGCCCATGGACCTGTCCTCCATTAAGAAGAACATTGAGACAGGTCTGATCCGCAACACGGCAGAATTCCAGCGGGACATCATGCTGATGTTCCAGAACGCAGTGATGTACAACAGCTGTGACCACGACGTGTTCCACATGGCCCTGGAGATGCAGAGGGACGTCCTGGAACAGGTCCAGCAGTTCCTGGCCACACAGCTCATCATGCAGACCTCCGAGTCTGGCATCAGCGCCAAGAGCCTGAGGGGCCGGGAGAGCACCCGCAAGCAGGACCCCTCGGACAAGGTGTTCTGCTCACTGGGACTGCACGAGATAGAGGGTCTATAGATAGGAATGGGAGGAGAGGAGAGAGTGGGGAGAATGGAAAGTCCAGGAGAGGAAAGGAAGGTGAGAATTTGGGGAAGCAAGGAGAGCCAGATTAGGGATCCATTTAATCTCAGAGGAAAAGAAAAGGCACAAGTCTCTTACCATTGGAAGGCAGCGAAACACACTGTCCTAGATTTTATATGGGGGCACATGTATGTCAGCCATAGTGTTTCACTGTTCATTTTATCCATTTCCCCACTGACATCCTTCACTATTCTCCATTCTGAGTTGTCATGGATGGAGACCATACTGGTTGGCTTCAAGGGTTTTTCTTTATTTTGACAATTTTTTACATTGTAGAATAATAGCGAAGACATCAAAACTATGAATTAACACATATGGAATCATGTAGTAACCAAAAAAGTGTTAAACAAATCAAAATATATTTTATATTTGAGATTCTTCAAATAGCCACCCTTTGCCTTGATGACAGCTTTGCACACTCTTGGTATTCTCTCAACCAGCTTCATGAGGTAGTCACCTGGAATGCATTTTAATTAACAGGTGTGCCTTCTTAAATGTTAATTTGTGGTATTTCTTTCCTTCTTAATGCGTTTGAGCCAATCAGTTGTGTTGTGACGAGGTAGGGGGGGTATAACGAAGATAGCACTATTTGGTAATAGACCAAGTCCATATTATGGCAAGAACAGCTGAAATAAGCAAAGAGAAACGACAGTCCATCATTACTTTAAGACATGAAGGTCAGTCAATACGGAACATTTCAAGAACTTTGAAAGTTTCTTCAAGTGCAGTCGCAAAAACCATCAAGCGCTATGATGAAACTGGCTCTCATGAGCACCGCCACAGGAATGGAAGACCCAGAGTTACCTCTGCTGCTGAGGATAAGTTCATTAGAGTTACCAGTCTCAGAAATTGCAGCCCAAATAAATGCTTCACAGAGTTCAAGTCACAGACACATCTCAACATCAACTGTTCAGAGGAGACTGTGAATCAGGCCTTCATGGTCGAATTGCTGCAAAGAAACCACTACTAAAGGACACCAATAAGAAGAAGAGACCTGCTTGGGCCAAGAAACACGAGCAATGGACATTAGACCGTTGGAAATTTGGCCTTTGGTCTGTAGTCCAAATTGGAGATTTTTGGTTCCAACCGCCGTGTCTTTGTGAGACGCGGTGTGGGTGAACGGATGATCTCTGCATGTGTAGTTCCCACCGTAAAGCATGGAGGAGGAGATGTTATGGTGTGGGGGTGCTTTGCTTGTGACACTGTGATTTATTTAGAATTCAAGGCACACTTAACCAGCATGGCTACCACAGCATTCTGCAGCGATACGCCATCCCATTTGGTTTGGGCTTAGTGGGACTATCATTTGTTTTTCAACAGGACAATGACCCAACACACCTCCAGGCTGTGTAAGGGCTATTTTACCAAGAAGGAGAGTGATGGAGTGCTGCATCAGATGTCCTGGCCTCCACAATCCCCCGACCTCAACCCAATTGAGATGGTTTGGGATGAGTCGGACGGCAGAGTGAAGGAAAAGCAGCCAACAAGTGCTCAGCATATGTGGGAACTCCTTCAAGACTGTTGGAAAAGCATTCCAGGTGAAGCTGGATGAGAGAATGCCGGGAGTGTGGAAAGCTGTCATCAAGGCAAAGGGTGGCTATTTGAAGAATCTCAAATATAAAATATATTTTGGTTTGTTTAAAACTTTTTTGGTTACTACATGATTCCATATGTGTTATTTCATAGTTTAGTTATTCTACAATGTAGAAAATAGTAAAAATAAAGAAAAACCCTTGAATGAGTAGGTGTGTCCAAACTTTTGACTGGTACTGTATGTTTGCTAATACTGTTGAATTGCATTACAGACAAAGACACAAAATAGTTAAAACGCATGCAATGCACCTATACCTGTGCATGTATAGGAACAACGCAAGACAAAAGTCACAGAGTCCACGCACACACACACACAAACACTTTCTCGTCCTTCATCCTTTCACAGCCTGTGTCTGTTGGCTTTTTGTGTGTGGGTTTGTGTGCGTGTGTATTTTGTGTGTGTGTGTACCTCAGCTTGTTATATAATGTGTGTGAAGAGAGCCATGGCAGCACTCCAACCTGGTGTTCCTCTCCAGTTTCTCTAGCTCTGGCTGGTAGATAGCAGGAAAGAAGGTCACGGTTTAGGGAGACTTAGAATGTATTTTCGATTTAGCGCGACAGATCCAATTTTTATTATAGTATTTGAAACATAAGTATTTTGCTATGCTACAGAATTTCATATTTGGTCACATGGTACATATTTTAACTGGGATGTTTATATTTAGTTAATCACAAAAAAATGGCTCCAACAATCTCTTCATAATCCAAGTGAGGAATTGGTTTCCCACCTGTTTTAATAAAAGAAGTTGGCTCAGTTCTTGAAGCACTCCCGTGAGATGGGTTCTGTACCTGCTCCAGTGTGTTTGCCCACAGGGTTATATCGTATACAGTATTTCTAGTGTCCGTGAGTAGTGGTGTGCATTTATTTTATACCCTCCCTTGGATGGGTCTGTATCTTTTTAAGGGGCGTATGTAGTTCTCTTTCCTGTTTGTCGTCAGGGTGTGTGCTCCACTACTCCTCTTCTTTCCTTGTTTTCTTTGTGGGTGTGTCTTATTTCCCTCTCTCTGACTGTATCCTCTGTCCTCTCACAGGACAGTGTCCCCATGGCCTCTCCTGCCTTCCTTCTCTCTCTCTTTGTAAGTACCCAGTCTGCAGCTTATGACCTGTCAAGACTACAGCTGGGGTATTCACATTCTGGCCCCAGGTCAGATTGAATACCCCTGCTCTATATCCATTGGGCACACACTGTTTGAATCAACTTTTTTAACTTAATTTCTATGAAATGACGTTGAACCAACGTGGAAGAGACATTTGAATTGACGTCTGTGCCCTGTGGGTAGTATTTTCTCTTTCTTACACCCCATTTCCCCCCCCCCCCCCCTCCCTCCCCCTTCCCACTCTCTGTCCTACACACATGCAGGCATATAGCACAAAAACACAAATTGGCTCACTTTCATGAACACAAGCTAATAGACACAAGCATTTTGGTTTGTAATTTGCATTGAATCCAAATGTTGAACCATGTTTCCTTTAATTTACAAACACAAAAGTATGAGGGCCAGTCTGTCCAGTGTCCAGGTTACAGGTGTGAACGAGAGTGTTTTCCAGGGTGATGCTAGTTTTTCAAGCTTCTGATTGTTTTGGACCAGAGTTAACCCATCTCCTCTCTGTGCCTATCTATACAGGATGGGGGCACCAGGGGGCGCCGTTGTGCCATAGAAGCCGACCTGAAGATGAAGAAATAAGCTGCAGGGAAGTACCTAGACTGTGGAGTACGTCTGACTGGTGTCCTCCCTGGTCATGTCCCACTTGATTACCTTAGTGAAGGACACCACAGTCGGGGTCAATGTCGTTTCATGTCCGGTTACTTCAATTGGACATGGCATGTCTCGCTGAGAGATAAATGCCATTCCTGAATTGCAGTTTAGAGACAACGCATCGACAGCTGGGCGATAGACAAAAATCCATATCATGATAAATTGAATGAATTATCATAACGATAAAGGAACAATACATTTATAACATTAACGTGCACCAGTTCTTGTATATATTACCTTAACTACTACTATTACTTTGAATGTTGTAGCTATCAATTATCCCATTTAACAGTTACCCAAATTAGCAGACTAATTTAATTTGAAACTCGACATTTCTCCAGTATAGACTTCTTATCGTAATTAAAGATATCAGCAAAATGTCCACGATAAGTGGTCGGTTCAGTCGGTGTCGATAATTTCCAGTTTATCATCCCAGCTCTAAACTCAACCCCAGCAATGAGAAAGAAGCACTTACAGTTGAAGTCGGAAGTTTACATACACTTACGTTTGAGTCATTAAAACTCGTTTTTCAACCACCTCCACATATTTCTTGTTAACAACCTATAGTTTTGGCAAGTCGGTTAGGACATCTACTTTGCATGACACAAGTAATTTTTTCCAACAATTGTTTACAGATTTTCATTTATAATTCACTGTATCACAATTCCAGTGGGTCAGAAGTTTACATACAATAAGTTGACTGTGCCTTTAAACAGCTTGGAAAATTCCAGAAAATGATGTCATGGCTTTAGAAGCTTCTGATAGGCTAATTGACGTCATTTGGAGGTGTACCTGTGGATGTATTTCAAGGCCTACGTTCAAACTCAGTGACTCTTTACTTGACATCATGGGAAAATCAGATAAAATCAGCCAAGACCTCAGGAAAAAAAAATGTAGACCTCCACAAGTCTGGTTCATCCTTGGGAGCAATTTCCAAACGCCTGAAGGTACCACGTTCAGCTGTACAAACAATAGTACGCAAGTATAAACACCATGGGACCACGCAGCCGTCATACCGCTCAGGAAGGAGATGCGTTCTGTCTCCTACAGATGAACGTACTTTGGTGCGAAAAGTGCAAATCAATCCCAGAACAACAGCAAAGGACCTTGTGAAGATGCTGGAGGAAACAGGTACAAAATATATATCCACAGTAAAACAAGTCTTATATCGACATAACCTGACAGGCCGCTCAGCAAGGAAGAAGCCACTGCTCCAAAACCGCCATAAAAAAAGCCAGACTGCGGTTTGCAACTGCACATGGGTACAAAGATCGTACTTTTTGGAGAAATGTCCTCTGGTCTGATGAAACAAAAATAGAACTGTTTGGCTATAATGACCATCGTTATGTTTGGAGGAAAAAAGGGTTAGTTTACAAGCCGAAGAACACCATCCCAACCGTGAAGCATGGGGGTGGCAGCATCATGCTGTGGGGATGCTTTGCTGCAGGAAGGACTGGTGCACTTCACAAAATAGATGGCATCATGAGGAAGGAAAATGATGTGGATATATTGAAGCAACATCTCAAGACATCAGTCAGGAAGTTAAAGCTTGGTCGCAAATGGGTCTTCCAAATGGACAATGACCCCAAGCATACTTCCAAAGTTGTGGCAAAATGGCTTAAGGACAACAAAGTCAAGGTATTGGAGTGGCCATCACAAAGCCCTGACCTCAATCATATATAACATTTGTGGGCAGAACTGAAAAAGCGTGTGCGAGCAAGGAGGCCTACAAACCTGACCCAGTTACACCAGCTCTGTCAGGAGGAATGGGCCAAAATTCACCCCAACTTATTGTGGGAAGCTTGTGGAAGGCTACCTGAAACATTTGACCCAAGTTAAACAATTTAAAGGCAATGCTACCAAATACTAATTGAGTGTATGTAAACTTCTGACCCACTGGGAATGTGATGAAAGGAAAATAAGATGAAATAAATCTCTCTCTACTATTATTCTGACATTTCACATTCTTAAAATAAAGTGGTGATCCTAACTGACCTAAGACAGGGATTTTTTTACTAGGATTAAATGTCAGGAATTGTGAAAAACTGAGTTTAAATGTATTTGGCTAAGGTGTACAGTGGGGAAAAAAATATTTAGTCAGCCACCAATTGTGCAAGTTCTCCCACTTAAAAAGATGAGAGAGGCCTGTAATTTTCATCATAGGTACACGTCAACTATGACAGACAAAATGAGAAAGAACTTTTTTGTATGAATTTATTTGCAAATTATGGTGGAAAATAAGTATTTGGTCAATAACAAAAGTTTCTCAATACTTTGTTATATACCCTTTGTTGGCAATGACACAGGTCAAACGTTTTCTGTAAGTCTTCACAAGGTTTTCACACACTGTTGCTGGTATTTTGGCCCATTCCTCCATGCAGATCTCCTCTAGAGCAGTGATGTTTTGGGGCTGTCGCTGGGCAACACGGACTTTCAACTCCCTCCAAAGATTTTCTATGGGGTTGAGATCTGGAGACTGGCTAGGCCACTCCAGGACCTTGAAATGCTTCTTACGAAGCCACTCCTTCGTTGCCCGGGCGGTGTGTTTGGGATCATTGTCATGCTGAAAGACCCAGCCACGTTTCATCTTCAATGCCCTTGCTGATGGAAGGAGGTTTTCACTCAAAATCTCACGATACATGGCCCCATTCATTCTTTCCTTTACACGGATCAGTATTCCTGGTCCCTTTGCAGAAAAACAGCCCCAAAGCATGATGTTTCCACCCCCATGCTTCACAGTAGGTATGGTGTTCTTTGGATGCAACTCAGCATTCTTTGTCCTCCAAACACGACGAGTTGAGTTTTTACCAAAAAGTTCTATTTTGGTTTCATCTGACCATATGACATTCTCCCAATCCTCTTCTGGATCATCCAAATGCACTCTAGCAAAACTTCAGACGGGCCTGGACATGTACTGGCTTAAGCAGGGGGACACGTCTGACACTGCAGGATTTGAGTCCCTGCGGCGTAGTGTGTTACTGATGGTAGGCTTTGTTACTTTGGTCCCAGCTCTCTGCAGGTCATTCACTAGGTCCCCCCGTGTGGTTCTGGGATTTTTGCTCACCGTTCTTGTGATCATTTTGACCCCACGGGGTGAGACCTTGCGTGGAGCCCCAGATCGAGGGAGATTATCAGTGGTCTTGTATGTCTTCCATTTCCTAATAATTGCTCCCACAGTTGATTTCTTCAAACCAAGCTGCTTACCTATTGCAGATTCAGTCTTCCCAGCCTGGTGCAGGTCTACAATTTTGTTTCTGGTGTCCTTTGACAGCTCTTTGGTCTTGGCCATAGTGGAGTTTGGAGTGTGACTGTTTGAGGTTGTGGACAGGTGTCTTTTATACTGATAACAAGTTCAAACAGGTGCCATTAATACAGGTAACGAGTGGAGGACAGAGGAGCCTCTTAAAGAAGAAGTTACAGGTCTGTGAGAGCCAGAAATCTTGCTTGTTTGTAGGTGACCAAATACTTATTTTCCACCATAATTTGCAAATAAATTCATTAAAAATCCTACAATGTGATTTTCTGGAATTTTTTTTCTCATTTTGTCTGTCATAGTTGACGTGTACCTATGATGAAAATTACAGGCCTCTCTCATCTTTTTAAGTCAGAGAACTTGCACAATTGGTGGCTGACTAAATACTTTTTTTCCCCACTGTATGTAAACTTCTGACTTCAACTGTATACCCCAACTCCTGAATGTGTCAACAGAAAATGTATAGACCTTGCATTGTGTATGTCAATTGTTTTGAAGTCCTCTGTATAGTATTGTACAGGCATGTCCCTTTGAGTACATATGGTGGTCCAATAAATATTTGTGCATGATTGTGGTTCCCCAACTCAGCAAAGCAAGTAGTGTGATTTTGTTTTAAAGCTATAATCCTTAGTTGACACATCAATTTTTGTACTTAAATTAATGATATATCCACTGATTCTTGAAAAATATAACTTAGAAATGCCTGATAAGCTTAGTTTAACTGTTGTACCCCATCAGGATCCAAAATATAAACTTGTTGTACTCCAATGTAAATTAAAACATACTCTGTGTAGCCTGAAAATATGGTTCAAGCAAATGTATCATGGATGTTTAGTCCATCCATAGCTTGGTCTATGAATTTGAGAGTGGTTACATTTCTCCAGGCCCATCCCTCAGCTTTTCACCCAAAACATAGGCGGGGTGCCTGCTTTGTTATTGTTTCAATTAAGGTTTCTAGCTACAAAGAAATCCAACAAGGACTAAGGCTGGGATTTAATCCGATCGTGCGTTGTCGACAATGTTCCCTTGTTCGCGGAGACCGCATTCACGGTAAACGCTGCATATGTCAGCTCAATCGAACAATTTACATTGTCGACAGCGCAATCAGGCTGAAACTCTGCCTAAGCTGGGGTGTAACACCAGTAGGGAAAATGGTTGAGAGTATAGCAATCTGGATCAATGCTCTATAGACATACTAGACAAAAGCAACCCATAGACACCAAGGGATTGTTTAACTTTTTAATAAACAAGCTTGAAAACCTGCTCTGACAGTACAAATCACCAGAGTTTAGCCACGAGGCAACTGGGTCTCTAGTTAGCATCAGGTCTAATCTGTAATCCATTACAGACAACTGCATCCTGTCTGTCTGCCACTAGTGTGGCTGTTAACCCTTCGTCTGCTGGATTTATGATCTGACTAAAGGAAGGTCAAGCATTAAAAGATTGGAACTACTACTGAACAAATGTTCATTTGGAGAAATGTTTGAAAGTGCTTAGTAAAGTAACAGTTGATTACATGAATGGGCAGGATGAGTGGATTGCTCTTAATAGTCCTTTCCAAAGAGGTGTGCTGCAGCAGCTGTTGACTGAGCACCTGAGGTGTAACACAAGGCCAGGGTAAAAGAGGCAAGAATATGTGGCTTCACTCTGGGCTGCATGCATTAGAGAATAGAGACTAGGACAGCAGGTTCCAAATAAAACGGCATCACAAAGTGCTTCAGAATGAACCAGAAGGACCAAATAATGGACAAGTACGACTATAGCAATGCCGTTTGGCAAAGTCTTAGAGCACAGCAAAAGAAACAAAGTATCAATGTATTTCTGTCTTCACATAAAACAGAAATTAGATTTTAAGTGGATCTAATGTACTAGAGATATAGTATATAGCTCTGGCCTTACTTTCTTTAAACAGCAAGCACGACAAATCTACATTTTCTTCACAGTTTAAGACCATATAGATCGGTCTTTTCAAATAGAAGCTCTCGTTTGCCTCTGTGTCTGAAAACCTTTTCTAGAAGTTAGTGGTTTTCAGGTCCTTGCATTCTTTCTTCACAATTAAATGTTCTTTCCACTTAAAAAGTAACTCACTGCTCTAGCTATGTTCTTTCCCAAGACCTAAACAATATACTCCCATTTAACTCACGCCACAGAAACAAACATGGAAATAAATGAGTAACCCAGCAGCAATGCTAAACATGTTTCAAACAGGTGACTAACGGAAAGTGTACGTGTGAACAGACAACCATTTTCTCAAACCTTGTAAGCAAGCCTATATTCCTTAATGTAAGGAAGTAGAAACAAGGTACATCAATAAAACAATCCCAGAGCCAGCCAGGCTGGGCTTTATGTGGTTATCCACAGAGCCAAGGTGGGCACCTCCATTTTCTTCCATCCGAGGGGAGAGAAGGCACAATGTTTCAGATCAAAGGCTTTGGCTGCCACTGTGCTCTATCCAGAGAAGAGATATTCTTCAAAAAAGTGCCCCGATTGAATAAATTAAATAAATAAACAATATTAAATGAGTAAAGTGTAGAATTCCCAGCTGGAAAGAGATGCCTCCCTCTTCTCCTGTCTAAGCCCCTCATTCTCCTCTCTGTCGACCCACAAAGCGGTACAGCTTGTCACAGTTGTCCAGCTTCAGAGACTCAGCCTTCGCCTTCAGTCTGTCATCACGGTACAGTTGTGCAAGGTTCGCCAAGTCAGACTCTGTGAGGAAAGAGAAACACATCAGCTCATATATGGATACATTCATACTCTACAACACGAATAAACCATGTGTTGCTATCTCAGTCAACACGTCTCAGGTGGTTGTCAATGGGGACAGAGTCAAGCTGCCAGGACCTGAATGCAGCTGGACTTACTCTGCTGTTTCTCCTTCCAGCAGCTGCTCTGCAGGTGTTCGATGTAGTCACTCTCTATGGTCTTCTCCAGCTCTTCCAGGGACTCCCCACGGTACTCCTTCTGGAAGCCCTTGTCCACGTAGTAGGGCACGCCCATGTTCTGGGTCTCCCGGGATACCACCAGGCCCATGGCCCTGAAATAAACATACAGTCAGTCCAACTAAATATTTACAAAGGGTACCCAATACCCATCACACCTCACCCTCTTCAGGGTCCTCATGCACTCAGCACCCAGCATTTGACAGTTACCATGCTACCAGTCTGTGAAATAGGTTCATATGCAGTCTATTTTAGAGACAAACTTATCATCAAGAAGCTTGGTTGATGTGGTGGACTCACGGTTTGTAGAATAGACCGTAAGGAGGGTTGGTGGCCATCAGTTGGGTCACAACAGATATGAGGATCAGCACCAGAACAGGAAGAAGCTGCAGGAAGGCTGTGAAGGTGTTCTGCTGAGGAAAGGCAAAACCAGAAGAAGTTCAAACACACATCACATACCTGTAAATACATTGAATCAATCTACAGTAAAGCTAACTAACTAAAAAAAAACTAAAATCTGGTCTAGGCATGGTGAAAGACTCTTATTTTCACAGCTGGTCTGTTTCACTGGTCAACCTTCAACCCCCACCGTAACTGATCCTCTTGGAGCAGCATAAGGTTCTCCATTTAATTGCCTATTGCAGCACAATGACAAAAACAGGATCAAATCTAAACCCTCCACCCACCCAACCTTAGGGAGTGGAGTTCTTTCAAATCAAGGCCCAGCATAAATTGTAAACCCATAAGAAACCCATAAGTTGTAGCCTTGTTGGTTAATCACACAGCCACAGAACATCTATGAGTTGAACTGGTGGGAGTTTCTAGGAGATTTCTCCTCATGTGGGCACTGACTGACCTGACTGCGGTTCTCCCCCACCTCCTCCTCGCGCCTCTCATATGCACGTCGCCGACGAGGCTGGTAGAAGTTAGAGTAGGTGGCTCCTCTGTTGGTGTACACATGGATGTTGCCTGAGGGAGCAGAACAGACATGATTTACATGCTCTTAACTACTAAGCAACAACTGACAATGAGTCACTCAAATCCAAAATTCAAGTAACAAGAGAGATAAACACACACACACCAACTCTTTCTATCAGAAACAGACACACACACAAACTGACCTGTGGGAAACCTTCCTCCAAAGAAGATGTTGAAGAGTTCCTCAGGGGAGATGTCGGCCTCAAAGTCCCTGTTGAAGTTGCGGTAGTGTCCGTGGCGAGCGTGGGCTGACGGGTGGGCGGCGCTCTCACAGGGAGCCTGTTCTCCATACTGGTCATACTGAAGACGCTTCTCAGCGTTGCTGAGCACTGCATACGCATTGCCTATGGCTGTAAAGAAAATACTTATCAGGCCTACGATTGATACTCTTATGGTGTGGTGTTGTCTGACAACAGCATGAGAAGGGAGGAGCTAGTCTAATTATCTGCACCGGCAGTTTCACAAAAATACAAATCAAATCTAATTTTATTTGTTGAATGCTTTGTAAACAACAGGTGTAGTCTAACAGTGAAACGCTTACTTAAGGGTCCTTTTCCAACAACGCAGAGTTAAAGATAAAAAATCTAATACAAAATTAAAATACTGACACAAGGAATACATACACAGTGAATAACAATAACAAATAAAAATAACATGGCTATATACAGGGAGTACCAGTACTGAGTCGATATGCAGGGGTAAGAGGTAATTGAGGTAGATACAGTGCCTTGCAAAAGTATTCATCCCCCTTGGCGTTGTTCCTATTTTGTTGCATTACAACCTGTAATTTAAATGGATTTTTATTTGGATTTCATGTAATGGACATACACAAAATAGTCCAAATTGGTGAAGTGAAATGAAAAGAATAACTTGATTAAAAAAAAGCTAAAAAATGTTTACGGAAAACTGGTGCGTGCATATGTACAGTGAGGGAAAAAAGTATTTGATCCCCTGCTGATTTTGTATGTTTGCCCACTGACAAAGACATGATCAGTCTATAATTTTAATGGTAGGTTTATTTGAACAGTGAGAGACAGAATAACAACAAAAAAATCCAGAAAAAACGCATGTACATTTTTTATAAATTGATATGCATTTTGATGAGGGAAATAAGTATTTGACCCCTCTGCAAAACATGACTTAGTACTTGGTGGCAAAACCCTTGTTGACAAACACAGAGGTCAGACGTTTCTTGTAGTTGGCCACCAGGTTTGCCCACATTTTAGGAGGGATTTTGTCCCACTCCTCTTTGCAGATCTTCTCCAAGTCATTAGGGTTTTGAGGCTGACGTTTGGCAACTCGAACCTTCAGCTCCCTCTATGGGATTAAGGTCTGGAGACTGGCTAGGCCACTCCAGGACCTTAATGTGCTTCTTCTTGAGCCACTCCTTTGTTGCCTTGGCCGTGTGTTTTGGGTCATTGTCATGCTGGAATACCCATCCACAACCCATTTTCAATGCCCTGGCTGAGGGAAGGAGGTTCTCACCCAAGATTTGACGGTACATGGCCCCGTCCATCGTCCCTTTGATGCGGTGAAGTTGTCCTGTCCCCTTAGCAGAAAAACACCCCCAAAGCATAATGTTTCCACCTCCATGTTTGACGGTGGGGATGGTGTTCTTGGGGTCATAGGCAGCATTCCTCCTCCTCTAAACACGGCGAGTTGAGTTGATGCCAAAGAGCTCGATTTTGGTCTCATCTGACCACAACACTTTCACCCAGTTCTCCTCTGAATCATTCAGATGTTCATTGGCAAACTTCAGACGGGCCTGTATATGTGCTTTCTTGAGCAGGGGGACCTTGCGGGCGCTGCAGGATTTCTGTCCTTCACGGCGTAGTGTGTTACCAATTGTTTTCTTGGTGACTATGGTCCCAGCTGCTTTGAGATCATTTACAAGATCCTACCGTGTAGTTCTGGGCTGATTCCTCACTGTTCTCATGATCATTGCAACTCCACGAGTTGAGATCTTGCATGGAGCCCCGGGCCGAGGGAGATTGACAGTTCTTTTGTGTTTCTTCCATTTGCGAATAGTCGCACCAACTGTTGTCACCTTCTCACCAAGCTGCTTGGCGATGGTCTTGTAGCCCCTTCCAGCCTTGTGTAGGTCTACAATCTTGTCCCTGACATCCTTGGAGAGCTCTTTGGTCTTGGCCATGGTGGAGAGTTTGGAATCTGATTGATTGATTGCTTCTGTGGACAGGTGTCTTTTATACAGGTAACAACTGAGATTAGGAGCACTCCCTTTATGAGTGTGCTCCTAATCTCAGCTCGTTACCTGCATAAAAGACACCTGGGAGCCAGAAATCTTTCTGATTGAGAGGGAGTCAAATACTTATTTCCCTCATTAAAATGCAAATCAATTTATAACATTTTTGACATGCGTCTTTCTGGATTTTGTTGTTGTTATTCTGTCTCTCACTGTTCAAATAAACCTACCATTAAAATTATAGACTGATCATATCTTTGTCAGTGGGCAAACGTACAAAATCAGCAGGGGATCATATACTTTTTTCCCTCACTGTTTTCACCCCCTTTGCTATGAAGCCCCTAAATAAGATCTGGTTCAACCAATTAACTTCAGAAGTCACATAATTAGTTAAATAAAGTCTACCTGTGTGCAATCTAAGTGTCACATGATCTCAGTATACAGTGAGGAGAACAAGTATTTGATACACTGCCGGTTTTGCAGGTTTTCCTACTTACAAAGCATGTAGAGGTCTGTAATTTTTATCAAAGGTACACTTCAACTGTGAGAGACGGAATCTAAAACAAAAATCCAGAAAATCACGTATGATTTTTAAGTAATTAATTAGCATTTTATTGCATGACATAAGTATTTGATACATCAGAAAAGCAGAACTTAATATTTGGTACAGAAACCTGTGTTTGCAATTACAGAGATCATACGTTTTCTGTAGGTCTTGACCAGGTTTGCACACACTGCAGCAGGGATTTTGGCCCACTCCTCCATACAGACCTTCTCCAGATCCTTCAGGTTTCGGGGCTGTCGCTGGGCAATACGGACTTTCAGCTCCCTCCAAAGATTTTCTATTGGGTTCAGGTCTGGAGACTGGCTAGGCCACTCCAGGACCTTGAGATGCTTCTTACGGAGCCACTCCTTAGTTGCCCTGGCTGTGTGTTTCGGGTCGTTGTCATGCTGGAAGACCCAGCCACGACCCATCTTCAATGCTCTTACTGAGGGAAGGAGGTTGTTGGCCAAGATCGAGTTCAAACAGGTGCAGTTAATACAGGTAATGAGTGGAGAACAGGAGGGATTCTTAAAGAAAAACTAACAGGTCTGTGAGAGCTGGAATTCATACTGGTTGGTAGGTGATCAAATACTTATGTCATGCAATAAAATGCTAATTAATTACATAAAAATCATACGTGATTTTCTGGATTTTTGTTTTAGATTCCGTCTCTCACAGTTGAAGTGTACCTATGATAAAAAAATTACAGACCTCTACATGCTTTGTAAGTAGGAAACCCTGCAAAATCGGCAGTGTATCAAATACTTGTTCTCCCCACTGTATATACACCTGTTCTGAAAGGCCCCAGAGTCTACAACACCACTAAGCAAGGAGCACCACCAAGCAAGCGGCACCATGAAGACCAAGGAGCTCTCCAAACAGGTCAGGGACAAAGTTGTGGAGAAGTACAGATCAGGGTTGGGTTATAAAAAAATATCAGAAACTTTGAACATCCCACAGAGCATCATTAAATCCATTATAAAAAAATTGAAAGAATATGGCACCACAACAAACCTGCCAAGAGAGGGCCTCACACCAAAACTCACAGGCCAGGCAAGGATGGCATTAATCAGAGAGGCAACAAAGAGACCAAAGATAACCCTGTGGAGCTCCACAGCGGAGAATGGAGTATCTGTCCATAGGACCGTTTAAGCCGCACACTCCACAGAGCTGGGCTTTACGGAAGAGTGGCCAGAAAAAAGCCATTGCTTGAAGACAAAAATATGCAAACATGTTTGGTGTTCACCAAAAGGCATGTGGGAGACTCCCCAAACATATGGAAGAAGGTACTCTGGTCAAATGAGACTAAAATTGAGCTTTTAGGCCATCAAGGAAAACGCTATGTCTGGCGCAAACCCAACACCTCTCATCACCCAGAGAACACCATCCCCACAGTGAAGCATGGTGGTGGCAGTATCATGCTGTGGGGATGTTCTTCATCGGCAGGGACTGGGAAACTGGTCAGAATTGAAGGAATGCTGGATGGCGCTAAATACAGGGAAATTCTTGAGGGAAACCTGTTTCAGTCTTCCAGAGATTTGAGACTGGGACGGAGGTTCACCTTCCAGCAGGACAATGACCCTAAGCATACTGCTAAACCAACACTCGAGTGGTTTAAGGGGAAACATTTAAATGTCTTGGAATGGCCTAGTCAAAGCCCAGACCTCAATCCAATTGAGAATCTGTGGTATGACTTAAAGATTGCTGTACATCAGCGGAACCCATCCAACGTGAATAGTTATGCACGCTCAAGTTCTGTTTTTTGTCTTATTTCTTGTTTGTTTCACACACAAAAAATGTTGCATCTTCAAAGTGGTAGGCATGTTGTGTAACTGAAATGATACAAACCCCCCCAAAAAATACATTTTAATTCCAGGTTGTAAGACAACAAAATAGGAAAAATGCCAGGGGGGGTGAATACTTTCGCAAGCCACTGTATGTACATGTAGGTAGGGGCAAAGTGACTAGGCAACAGGATAGATAGACAGTAGCAGCAGCCTATATATGGTGAGTGTAAAAGTGTGAGTGTGTGTTGCGTCAGTATGCACGTGTGCGCATGTTATATGTATGTGGGAATATGTAGTGTGTGTATGTGTGTGTGTGTTGGGCACAGGAGGTTGATGGCACCTTAATTGGAGAGGACAGTCTTGTGGTAATGGCTGGAGTGGAATAAGTAGAATGGTATCAAATGCATCAAACATGGGTTCCATGTGTTTGACGCCATTCCATTCACTCCTTTCCAGACATTATAATGAGCCGTCCTCCCCTCAGCAGCCTCCACTGGTGTTGGGGTGTCAGTGTAAGAATGTGTGAGTGTGTGGGTAGAGTCCACTGTGTGTGTACAGAGTCAGTGCAAGACAGTAAGTGCAAAAAGGGTCAATGCAGTTAGTCCGGGTAGCCATTTGATTAGCTATTAATCAGTCTTGTTTAGCACTCTTATGGCTTGGGGGTAGAAGCTGTTCAGGGTCATGTTGGTTTCAAACTTGTTGCATCGGTACCGCTTTCCATGTGGTAGCAGAGAGAACAGTCTATGGCTTGGGTGGCTGGAGTCTTTGACAATTTTTTGGGCCTTCCTCTGAAACCGCCTGGTATAGAGGTCATGGATGGCAGGGAGCTCGGCCCCAGTGATGTACTGGGCTGTACTCACCACCCTCTGTAGCGCCTTGTGGTCGGGTGCCTTGCAGTTACCGTACCAAGCGGTGATGCAGCCAGTCAAGATGCTCTCAATGGTGCAGCTATAGAACTTTGAGAGAATCTGAGGGCCCATGCAAATCTTTACAGCCTCCTGAGGGGGAAAAGGTGCTGTCGTACCCTCTTCACAACTGTGTGGGTGTGTGTGGACCATGTTAATTCCTTGGTGATGTGGACACAGAGAAACTTGAAGCTCCCGACCCGCTCCACTATAGCCCCATCGATGTAGATGGTTGTGTGCTCGCCCCTCTGTTTCCTGTAGTCCTTGATCAGCTCCTTTGTCTTGCTGATGTTGAGGGAGAGGTTGTTGTCCTGGCACCACACTGCCATATCTCTGACCTCTTCCCTATAGGCTGCCTCATCGTCGTCAGTGATCAGTCCTACCACCGTCGTGTCGTCAGCAAACTTGGTGTTGGTAGTCGAGCGCGACTATGCAGTCGTGGGTGAACAGGAAGTACAGGAGCGGACTAAGCACCCCCCCGAGGGGCCCCTTGTTGATGGTCAGCGTGGCGGATGTATTGTTGCCTACCCTTCCCGCCTGGGGGCGGTCCGTCAGGAAGTCCAGGATCCAGTTGCAGAGGGAGGTGTTCAGTCCCAGGGTCCTGAGCTTGGTGATGAGCATGGAGGGCACTATGGTGTTGAACGCTGAGCTGTAGTCAGTGAACAGCATTCTCATGTAGGTGCTCCTTTTGTCCAAGTAGGAAAGGGCAGTGTGGAGTGCAATGGAGATTGCGTCATCTGTGGATCTGTTGGGGCAGTATGCGAATTGGAGTGGGTCCAGGGTGTCTGGGATAATGGTCTTGATGTGAGCCATGACATGCCTTTCAAAGCATTTAATGTCTATATATGTGAGTTCTATGGGGCGATAGTCATTTAGGCAGGTTACCTTGGCGTTCTTGGGCATGGGGACTATGGTGGTCTGCTTGAAACAAGTTTGTATTACAGACTGGGTCAGAGATAGGTTGAAAAAGGGCAGCAGGTAGCCTAGCGGTTAAGAGCGTTGGGCCAGTAACCGAAAGGTCGCTGGTTTGAATCCACAAGCCGATTAGGTGCATTTCTTTTTAGCAAGGCACTTAACCCTAATTGCTCCAGTAAGTCGCTCTGGATAAGTGTCTCCTAAATGACTAAAACGTTAAAAAATAAATAAAGAATGTAAAATGTCAGTGAAGACACGTGCCAGTTGGTCAGCGCATTTTAGGAGCACATGAGGAATGCTCACATGATCATCTAATGTGGAAGATCTGGAGAGGGCAACACAGCAGTAACAGAGGCATCCCTTTACCTTTAAATGCATCTGTGGCTCCCGGGGCACAATTCTTATCAGGGTGGAACTTCAGTGCCAGCTTCCTGTATGCCTTCTTCAGATCTTCATCACTAGCGTCTTTAGGAACACCCAGGATCTCATAGAAGTCCTTGCATTTCTTTATCCTGCATGGATCAAACAAAACACAAAGAATCTTATGAAATCTGACATTACAACAGTACAATGTGGACAATGTGCAGGTGCACTTTCACTGGGTGGAAAACTTGACAAATGTAGCTATGGTCTCTGAGTGCTCAAGATGAATGATGGCCTATCACTAAATAAAATGTAAAAACCTCTGGTAAAGTCAGTGTGAGTGTGATTTAATGCTAGGGGGCAGGTACCTGAGAACACCCTGACACTGATCCTCTGTGTAGGTCTTCTTCTCCTCACTGCCTCCTCGGCGTGCCTCCTCTCGATCCCCGTCCTCTTCATTTGATCGGAAGCCACGTGGTGGGGGTATGTGGGACTCCTCTGTAGTAGCAGAGCTCCCATTCCTCACTATGGCATCAATCAGCACTGAGGGAAGACAGAGAGATCAGGCAAGGGGGTAAATATCAATAGAAGAGACAGCCAGTCTCAGTCTGGATAAGCCTAACTTTTGGTGTGTATTAAAGCAGAGGTTCCCAACCTAGGGGGTACGGCCCCCATATGGGGCATCAACGTTTCGTGGTGGGGGGGGGGGTTGCGGGACCTTCCTTGATTTAAAGAGTAAAAAACTAAAAACAATTTGCGATTGTTTTTACCGATCTAAAACGACACATAAATCCACAATGCTTTAGGCTAGAAATAAGCAGTAAAATGCCAGTGGAAGACGTGACTAATGCACATGGGAATATCTTTGCCTAGAAGCTGAGCAACAACCAGGCCCAAATGGAATCCACGCACGCATAATTCCGGAGCCTCAGACAATGCACAAAATTAACTGCATTCGATTCAAAGCACAATACAGAGGCGTTGAATTAAAAGCAACTGCAACCCACATGTTATTGTATTGCGATTAAACATTTTATTTTATTAATTAACAACCATGAAAAACGTGAAAATGTATAAATAAATAGATCTACTGCTGGACATCTTCCCTTTTCCTCCACTGGGATTTGAGAAGGGGGCGGGGGAAAAGGAGGATGTGAGGTGCCAGACTGACAGTCACTAGTCCCGTCAGTCAGTGAGAAGAGAAATTAAAAAGTGAAACAATGCCTAGATTGATTGTCAACAGATGAGCTTAGAAGAAGACATCTCGCGACCAATCTGACTGCAAAAACAAGAGCAAGACTAAAGCTTTGTTCACACTGCAGGCCTTAATGCTCAAATCAGTTTTGTTTTTCAAATCAATTTTGGAATACTGACTGTCCAAACAGCAAGTTACAAGCAGGGGTGAAAGTATAATTAATTTATTCCCGGTACGGGACCTCCTATATGTGCACGCTCTTGCACCCCAAAAATATATGAGCCTAATCATACATATAGAATCCCTATTAATTCAATAGGATCTCTGTGGGCCTAGCCGTAAAGAATGAATGGAAATAGACATCGGTTACACAAAACACCAAAAAGTGTAATGACATTTGGCGAGTGTCAACCCACTCATCTCTGCCTTGACAAAATGTCAGTGTTCTCGTGGAACCACATCGCATTTTGGAGCGTAGGCTATACCAAACATTTTCAAATCCATTCGCTCATATTTCATGTATCTGACATGTGGTAATGATACAGTTCTCTTGAAAAAATGTAGGCTCATGTTTTACTGGTACGGCGAGCCCCCACTATTTATTTTGCCTGGACCATACTGGCCTGCCTGACGCTTCATGTCCACCAGATGCATTAAATTCTTTGCGTTCCGATGGAAATAACTCATTGTCAATGGAGTGCACAGTGGCTGATTGGTGGTGGTGCTTGTGCGTCCTATCACTCAGAAGTTATGTAGCAAACTAAGGTGACAACAATGCTTGCCATGGACGTTTCCCAGTTGCTTTGAATGATCATAATCATAGTGTAAGAATGCATTTAAAGCCTCAAAGGATAAGATGATCAAACTTTCAAAACAAGTCATTTTTGGCCAGGAACAGTAGTCAAGTAGCTAGCTATGTAGCTGTTTAACTTTCTAGCATATTCACACATTTTTTGTAAACCATTAACAAGCTAGTTAGCTACCACATGTTCTTGTCAAAACTGTTAGAGTAGCTAGCAAGCAACAATATATGCCAAATAACAGTCTAAAAAGCACTTGTGATTTGACCGTTCAGACAAGTTGCATGGCCAGGAATCAGATTTGTATCTGATTTCAAACAACCTACGAAGGTGACTTGAAATATCTGCTTCCATGTGCTTTTTGGCTGGTCAGACTTCAGGAAAAAGAACAGATTCTAATCAGATATGCAAAAAAAAATGATTTCAGTCAATTCTAAACTGCCAATGTGAACAAGGCTTAAGAGTTCCCAAATTATGTTTATGAGGACAAGGGGATCTTCTTTTGTAAAGCGTGCCAACACTATCGACCACATAAGAAAGCAAAACGGTGGTGGAGCACCTGAGATCGAATCAACACCAGACTCGAAAGGCGAGCTAACAACCTGGTAGGTATTTGGATGTAAATAACCTAGCTTACTTATTTTGATAGTAGGGTAACAGAGTAGCCCACTCGTTATGTTGCATTGTATAAGCTATCTTCACCGGTGGCAAACTGAGGTAAACTTTGCAGGCTAGCTAGCTACATTAGCTTCCTAGCTTAGTGCAAGCTAGCTATCTGAACTCTGCAGTGTGTGAACTCTGTGGTGTGTGTGTGTAACTCTGTAGTCTGTGTGTGGGGCGGAGGGGGGTTGTTGGGTTCTACCAGCGTGTGGGAGAGAGAGTGTGACTCACATCTTTGTAAAAGTTGGCTAGCTGTAGTGTGTGTGTGTGAACTCTGATGTGTGTGTGTGTGTGGGTGGGGGTGTTGGGTTCTTCCCGGGTGTGTGAGAGGGAGAGAGAGTGCTATGCACAGCTTTGTGGCACATTGATCAAAGGCAACAGTGGCGAATATTGCTAGCTTTCCTAGCCTGTATTTAATCACTGGCCTAAATAGGGTCAGGGTTACCATGGAGGAAATAATGACCAGAACAATATGAAAAGAAAATGAATGATGGGGCGTCCTTTCGTGTGCTGCGTGTTGGAATCTCTCCGTGTGTGTGTTGTATGTACAGTGCATTTGGAAAGTATTCAGATCCCTTTACTTTTTCCACATTTTGTTACGTTACAGCCTTATTCTAAAATTGATTAAATTGTTTTTTCCCCCTCAATCTACACACAATACCCCATAATGACAAAGCAAAAACAGGTTTTTAGAAATGTTTGCAAATTTATAAAAAATTTAAAACTGAAATATCACATTTACATAAGTATTCAGACCCTTTACTCAGTACAATCCAGGTGTGCAAAGCTCTTACAGACTTACCCAGAAATATTCACAGCTGTAATCGCTGCCAAAGGTGATTCTAACATGTATTGACTCAGGGGTGTGAATACTTATGTAAATTAGATATTTCTGTATTTCATTTTCAATACATTTGCAAAAAAAAATCTAAAAATGTTTTCACTTTGTAATTCTGGAGTATTGTGTGTAGATGGGTGAGACAAAATCTATAAATTTTTTATTCAGGCTGTAACAACAAAATGTGGAATAAGTCAAGGGGTATGAATACTTTCTGATCACATTTATAGCAAAATAAATGCTGCAGTAGCTGTTTTCAAAGTATTTCTACCGTTTTGTTTCATAGCTCATAAATTAATCGCATAAAGTCAAAGAACTAGGAATCCTATAGCCTATCCCACCTCGCGCAGCAACACTGCCTGGCTGGGGGCTGTGCATACGTCAAGTGCTGAGTGAAAGATTCATTTTTAGAAGCGCTGGCACAGGCATAAAAGTTGGTCTAGTTTACTTGAAATGAAATTCTACTGAAGTGAGACTTTGTCCTTGTGTTTCTTGGCTATTTACATTGTTTTGTTCACAAGCTAGGTTGTTTTTCAAATGTTTGAGTTTCAACTGCTAGGGAAGAGAAGACGAAGCGGATACTAGTCAGGCTCTCTCAATCTAACGGCCGAGACACTTTTAACGCGGAAATTCGGATAGCCACGCTTGCTTCACCCTCATGTTGGTGCTAGCAAGCTGGCTAGGTAGTGCTACAGTTGAAGTCAGAAGTTTACATACACCTTAGCCAAATACATTTAAACTCAGTTTTTCACAATTCCTGACATTTAATCCTAGTAAATATTCCCTGTTTTAGGTCAGTTAGGATCACCACTTTATTTTAAGAATGTGAAATGTCAGAATAATAGTAGAGAGAATGATTTATTTCAGCTTTTATTTCATTCCTCACATTCCCAGTGGGTCAGAAGTTTACATACACTCAATTAGTATTTGGTAGCATTGCCTTTTAATTGTTTAACTTGGGTCAAACGGGTCAGGTAGCCTTCCACAAGCTTCCCACAATAAGTTGGGTGAATTTTGGCCCATTCCTCCTGACAGAGCTGGTGTAACTGAGTCAGGTTTGTAGGCCTCCTTGCTCGCACACGCTTTTTCAGTTCTGCCCACACATTTTCTATAGGATTGAGGTCAGGGCTTTGTGATGGCCACTCCAATACCTTGACTTGGTTGTCCTTAAGCCATTTTGCCACAACTTTGGAAGTATGCTTGGGGTCATTGTCCATTTGGAAGATTCATTTGTGACCAAGCTTTAACTTCCTGACTGATGTCTTGAGATGTTGCTTCAATATATCCAAATACATTTCCTTCCTCATGATGCCATCTATTTTGTGAAGTGCACCAGTCCCTCCTGCAGCAAAGCACCCCCACAGCGTGATGCTGCCACCCCCGTGCTTCACGGTTGGGATGGTGTTCTTCGGCTTGCAAACTACCCCCTTTTTCCTCCAAACATAACGATGGTCATTATGGCCAAACAGTTCCATTTTTGTTTCATTAGACCAGAGGACATTTCTCCAAAAAGTACGATCTTTGTCCCCATGTGCAGTTGCAAAGCGTAGTCTGTCTTTTCTATGGCGGTTTTGGAGCAGTGGCTTCTTCCTTGCTGTGCGGCCTTTCAGGGGGTATGTCGGTATAGGACTCGTTTTACTGTGGATATAGATACTTTTGTACCTGTTTCCTCCAGCATCTTCACAAGGTCCTTTGCTGTTGTTCTGGGATTGATTTGCACTTTTCGCACCAAAGTACGTTAATCTCTAGGAGACAGAACGCGTCTCCTTCCTGAGCGGTATGACGGCTGCGTGGTCCCATGGTGTTTATACTTGCGTACTATTGTTTGTACAGATGAACGTGGTACCTTCATGAGTTTGGAAATTGCTCCCAAGGATGAACCAGACTTGTGGAGGTCTACCATTTTTTTCTGAGGTCTTGGCTGATTTCTTTTGATTGTCCCATGATGTCAAGCAAAGAGGCACTGAGGTTGAAGGTAGGCCTTGAAATACATCCACAGGTATACATCCACAGGTACACCTCCAATTGACTCAAATGATGTCAATTAGCCTTTCAGAAGCTTCTAAAGCCATGACATCATTTTCTAGAATTTTCCAAGCTGTTTAAAAGGCACAGTCAACTTAGTGTATGTAAACTTCTGACCCACTGGAGTTGTGATACAGTGAATAATAAGTGAAATAATCTGTCTGTAAACAATTGTTGGAAAAATGACTTGTGTCATGCAAAGTAGATGTCCTAACCGACTTGCCAAAACTATAGGTTTGTTAAAAATAAATTTGTGGAGTGGTTGAAAAATGAGTTTTAATGACTCCAACCTAAGTGTATGTAAACTTCCAACTTCAACTGTAGGTATCAATCGCCAGTCCAGTAGGGCCTGGAAACTATAGTGAGCTTTAATTGGTCAATAATGACACGGTGAATGGGCTTCCCGTTGTTTCATCGCCCCCAACATGCTATGTGGTCAAAACAAATTAAGCAATATACCACATTCCTTCTTAGTAATACATGTATTATTTTAGAAACATTACAAAGTATGCGCACCTGTTTTTTTGTGTAATTTTGGCTGGTAAAATATCTGCGTGGACCAAAAACCTAGTTTCAGGCCGTTTTTGGACAAAGTCAACTTTACAACAGTGTCCCAGGCGTTGATATCCTGTCCAAGTGCGCTTCAATCAGGTGTGGGTTGTTGTATCAGATTCAGCCAGCTGCACGACAAAGGCCTTCAAGGAGATCCTGAAGGAACTCTTTCCCAACCCAACCCATGTGACATGTGTTGCACATCTCCTAAACCTTGTTTGAGAGGTCTTGCCTGAAGTGTTTGTGGAAATGAACACCTTGTGTGCTCTTGTTAAGAGGTATTTTTGCCAGGCCCCCAGCATCGGCAGCAGCTCAGAGCGTTCATGCTGGCAAAGGACTTCAGATTGTGCTGGCAGAGCACATGGATGTCCTCTCTGAGTTACTGGACACCTTTGAACCACCTGCTAAGTGTGTCTAGGATCTGAAGGAGCTGCTGGGGAACCAATAATACTTGCTGAAGGCCCAGGCTGTGTTCATCGTTGAGCTAGTGGTTGAGCTAGTGGTCCTTCTTAAGAAACTGGAGAAGACACCAGAGCCATCAGCCCACATCATCAGCGACAAGCTGCAGGACCTCTTGGAGTATGGCAGCGGCAGATGACTGGCGCCACCACACCACCACTCAGCTGGAGGAACTTCCAGAGCAAGAGAGAGATGGGTGTGGAGAGCTCTTCAAGGCTGCCATGAGAGAATGTGCCATTAAGCTGCAGGCTTTGACGGAGAGGCACCCGAGACTAGCTGTCTTTAACTCTATTCATATATTCGACCCAGCACAAGTGGAAGGGTACAGGAAAGAGAGGAAGGATATGTGCACATCATCGCTGCGTTGAGTGAGGTGTCTGAATTTATAAATACATTTGATTGATTGATTGAAGAGGGGTGGCACAGGTACATGTCAATAGACAAAACTGATGCCAGAGAGGTGAGAGCAGTGGATCTCGCTCTCTCTCTCTTTTAATTCAGGCTGTAACAAAATGTTGAAAAAGTCAAGGGCTGTGAATACTTTGTGAAGGCACAGTCTTTAGGAAACAATGTTGGCCCTGTTCCATTCCTGTCTACACCTCTATAAGGTTTGGTTTATTTATCTGACGGCCTGATTGACTCTTCAAACAAGTGATTCAAGTGATTCAAATTCAGATGTAAGTGTTCAGGGTATTACAGTGAAACTTATTTTGTCAATGAAAATCTTGAATCTTAGTTCATACATACAAAAACATAATATGTTATTGAATTAAAGTTTACGGTCTGAGTTGTATAGGCTACATTAATTAATTATAGTTTTTTCTTTGAATTTGAAATACGTACATCCTCCAGGCAGAAAAGAGCTGACTCTTCCCACAGAACATGTATCTCTTGCTCTCTCTAGCAGAAACAGTACTCAATTCATGACACTTTATATGACACTATGTATATCTTATATTTATTTATTCATTCATTAACTTACTGTTTTCATATCCGTTTACACTGATTGTACTGAAATAAAAGTTAAATAAAGTCATTTTACATGTAACAGATTATCTTTATTTGTATAAAATTAAGTGTCCCATTCAACTGCATGACGTGTACACATACAGTGGCTTGTGAAAGTATTCACCCCCCTTGGCATTTTTCCTATTTTGTTGCCTTACAACCTGGAATTAAAATGGATTTTTGGGTGGTTTGTATCATTTGATTTACACAACATGCCTACCACTTTGAAGATGCAAAATATTTTTTCTTGTGACACAAACAAGAAATAAGACAAAAAAACAGAACTTGAGCGTGCATAACTATTCAACCCCCCCAAAGTCAATACTTTGTAGAGCCACCTTTTGCAGCAATTACAGCTGCAAGTCTCTTGGGGTATGTCTCTATAAGCTTGGCACATCTAGCCACTGGGATTTTTGCCCATTCTTCAAAGCAAAACTGATCCAGCGCCATCAAGTTGGATGGGTTCCGCTGGTGTACAGCAATCTTTAAGTCATACCACAGATTCTCAATTGGATTGAGGTCTGGGCTTTGACTAGGCCATTCCAAGGCATTTAAATGTTTCCCCTTAAACCGCTCGAGTGTTGCTTTAGCAGTATGCTTAGAGTCATTGTCCTGCTGGAAGGTGAACCTCCGTCCCAGTCTCAAATCTCTGGAAGACAAACAGGTTTCCCTCAAGAATTTCCCTGTATTTAGTGCCATCCATCATTTCTTCAATTCTGACCAGTTTCCCAGTCCCTGCCGATGAAAAACATCCCCACAGCATGATGCTGCTTGTTTGTAGGTGACCAAATACTTATTTCCCACCATAATTTGCAAATAAATTCATTAAAAATCCTACAATGTGATTTTCTGGAGAAAAAAAACCTCAATTTGTCTGTCATAGTTGACGTGTACCTATGATGAAAATTACAGGCCTCTCTCATCTTTTTAAGTGGGAGAACTTGCACAATTGGTGGCTGACTAAATACTTTTTTCCCCCACTGTACATATATATATATATATATATATATATATATATACACACACACACACACACACACACACAGGTCATGTGACACTTAGATTGCACACAGGTGGACTTTATTTAACTAATTATGTGACTTCTAAAGGTAATTGGTTGCACCAGATCTTATTTAGGGGCTTCATAGCAAAGGGGGTGAAAACATATGCACGCACCACTTTTCTGTTATTTTTTGAAAAAATTGTTTTCATTTCACTTCTCCAATTTGGCCTATTTTGTGTATGTCCATTACATGAAATCCAAATAAAAAGCAATTTAAATTACAGGTTGTAATGCAACAAAATAGGAAAAACGCCAAGGGGGATGAATACTTTTGCAAGGCACTTTACACCAGAGTTTAAAAAAAGATTTAAGCAGAATTTTCAGCAGAAATCTCCATAGAAAATATAACACATTCCAGCAGATTCCATTTGGGCCTAGCTACAACCTTCTACAGTTGTGGTGTCAAAGAAATTGGACTTTGCTTGGGAAGTAATCTTATGCAATGTGTGACTATCATTTAATTGAGGATTAATATACATTTGCGTGACATTTTTCAAATGTGAAAAAGGGGGCCCTGGGGAAAAAAGGTTGGGAACCCCTGTATTAAAGTAACATTATGTACCTGAAACATGTAACGTTATTCCCTAACCTAGTCCCTTTTTATCTTCAGAAGATGAGTTACTTATGACAGTTAACCAGAAATGATACTAGCTAACCAGTTTGGCTGGTTGCAGCTGCACCACCAGGTTGAGCAATAACACGGATAAATTAATGAAATAAACATTACTAACTATACATTGTAGTGTGGTTTACAGGCTAGCACACACGCTATAGAAAGAGATTACCTGTATTATAAGGCCGACCATATTGTACATATCATTCAGATGACATGTAGCTATAACATATGCTTAACATGTTCACTGATTCGAGGGGAGCATACATAATCAAATTCATATTTACAAGATACAGACGTTGCACTTTCTCTTTTAATATTCAAGTTGGCAAGCAAGGCTAACGTTAACAAGACGGCCATTACGGCATATTTACCTCTGGCCCGGGTGCTGGGGAATATTTTCTGGGCTTCATACAACAGTTGAAGGGCTTTTTCTCTCCGCCCTGACCGCAAGGACAGCTTTGCTTTCTCTATCAATCGATCCGATTCCTGTTTATCAATTTTGACAGCTGTTCGATGGCTAGCTAGTTAGCTTATTCTCACCGAGGCCTGCAACCCCAATAAGTTACGCTCGCTACACAAATGCGGTTGACTGCCTGAAATCGTAATAATTTTGCTAATAGCTATCTTATGTTGAGATGTACATGGGCGTTGTCTGTCAACTGAAATGAGCCGTAGCTAGCTAGCTTTGTTTACAGATAACAAGCTAGCTAGCAATAGGTAAGCTATGATATTTCGCCGTAGCTATCAGGTATCATACTAGCGATGACGCCTCCCACTTTAGAAGTCAGACATGAACACAGGTGCAAGCGCCTATTCAAGTCGTCCGAATAACGATAGAAAAACTGGAACTAGTTCAAATCCATGCAATACGGGAAGAAATGTAATACCGACATTAACCAGTCCCGTATTAACACAGAGCTTCTTTGGTAACCGCCATGCCAACAGGAAGCGGAAACGGGCAGAGTTAGCAACAACAGTCAAGTCAACCAATGGAAAACCTCTGCCCTTGACCTATTGACTCATCTGTAGTTCAGCAGTGTTACATGTAAATCATTTTGGACGTTGTTGCAGCTTCTGATTGCTACATTCTTGTAACATTATTAACAAACATGTCAGACAGAGTGATACAATGTTGTCTTGTGAACAGTATATTCTGTATTTTGTTTTATTGGCAGCTGTAATCCACAAACTAAAACATATTTTACAAAAGTAAAAAAAATATATGAACACAACATTATCTCCATAACAGCAGTTTTGATATCATCACACAAATACATGAACATTAGAATGGCAACAAAATAAATTCATCCACATAGACACATCAGACTCAACGGTAGGCCTAGTTGTAGTTTAATGGCATAATATCCCCATAGCTATGAATTCAGGTGCTGTGTGGGCTCCCGGTAACTTGATCTCAGATGTATAGAACAACCGCTGTACTATTTTGTTTGAGTAGTTTGGTGATTTCTGTGTTTTGGAACGGCACATCTAGGGTCTTTATTTTCACACCAGCTGCAAAAAATAACACAATATGCAATATTAGCTTAAATCCATTGGATATTTGCTTTTGACTATTCTGTTTAAGAAGTGGTTGTATTCATTGCAGTTAGTGCTGGTGAAAAGTTATTTCCTGAGCCCACCTTATTGTTCAGTAGGTCCCTGTTCAGCTCCTGCTCCTCAAAGTCCAGTGTTGTACTGTGAATGGAGGAGACCTGGGGGGAGTCTGTGTCTGTGGGAAAAGAGAGAGATGTTTTGCTCCCATGCTCCCTTGTCTTGTATCACTGTGAATAGCAAGCCCATTTCCCCCAATAATCATCAGCAATTATAGCTATTATAAGCAGTAAAAACAGAGGCCCCTCAATATTAGTTTGGGGACTATTTCAAAGTGAAGCACTACTGTGACCTTGTCCCCACCAGTTTCTGTGTTAATGTTCTTCATGGAGACCAAAGTGATGCTCTCTTTTTCTCCATTGGACGTGACATTGCTATGGAAAAAAATAGATTAATTACAAACATAAACAGAGACATATACAGTTTGTCGTACCCTATCAACGCTATGCATGTGCATACTTTGGTGTGCATACCTTTCAGACACCACAGAATCACTGCTCTTTTTACCTGTGGAACAGAAACTGTGGTGATTCTCATTGTCTGGCATGTTTGACAGGATGCTCTTCTCTTATTATAACTACTCTCTTCTCAAGCTGGCATGGCCATAGCTCTGGAGAACCTAAGGCATTAACAGGGCATTCTGCCTTATCCCAAGGGTTCTCAGCTATAAGTGCCACTTACCAGTGGGACCATGTGAACTGCAATCCCTACGCTCTGTTTTAATGTTTAGAAACGTCAATAATCATCGCTTGCGATACGGTTTTCCAAATATATGGAACTGATCTTTAATATCAGAAATAATTGTTCAGATAAAAAATTTACACTTACTGTAGCTGGTTTGCAAAGATGCATACAGCTGTGTGTCTCCAGCCGATGAACTACACTTCCACTACACTTCCTCCCGAGTTATGCTTACACACAGATGTTCGGAGTATTCTATATAGCTAATTAGTAGAGGTGGTCGTCTCCGTCGTATGTCTTCCTTAAACAAGTGCTGTAACATGGAAATATGGCCTTGTGGGAACACTAACCCTAACCCTATAAAGGTGTGTAATAATTTAACCATTTGTTTTTTGAAAAATAATTCTCACTGATATGAAAGATACATTCCTTATGTTACCAAAGCCATACCGCAAGCGATGTGTGTTAACGTTCAGAACGAGCATTGGGGCTCTTAACAAAACTCCTCCAGCCAGAAGATACCTTCATGAATAGACGTTAAAGGTAGTTAGCGTCTACGAAGAGAGATCTTTACAGGTGTTAACATGGATACACATAACATACATATAGATACTGTTACTCTCATGTATCCATTCTCTCACATGAATTATCATCATTTACATTTACCTTCCTCCTTTGAGTTGCTGCACCGGTCTCTTAGGTTGACCACTGTTACTAAAACCACCATGACAATGACGAGAATGAGGATTAAACTCATGACACCTGTTGGGGAGCAACATCCCAGACAGAGTTAGTTATACTCCACCTGAGTATAGGATAGTTTCATAACAATGTTTTAATCATCATCATCATGTATCGTTAAGCATACCAAAGGCAAGCATGGTGAGGCTCTTGCCCGGTGACTGAGTCGGAGGGATGTCAGTGTGTGTCCCTGTGGATCCCTCAGGAGAGGTCACATAGGTCGAAGTGGTTGCTGTTGCAGCAGCTGTTGATCCTGAGACTGAACACATAAACAGGCATGTAAGTCAACTTACAGCAAACACTACATGAGAAATATTAAGACCTGGAGATTGTTCTACAGCACACATGTAAGGTTGACAGTAAAGGCAGCTTGTGATCATAACAAACAAGTGACATCATGTGTCCTGTGAATGACACATGGCTTTCTACGAAGTCCTCAACTCTGTAAAGCACAGCTAGCAAATCAGAATTTCCTGGCTCATGATTTCCGAATACCATCCAATAACAGGATGCGCACACCATTCAGACAAAAGGCACATCAACTTGTCATCGTGTCATCAGTAGACAGAGAACAAAGACAGACAGAGAAATAGTGTTCACCTGGTCCAGTAGCAGTGTCTTGTGAGGGGCTAACAGGTATTTTAGCAGAGCTTCTGACATTAGGAGACGGTGGTCGAGGTGAGGATGTGGGTACCTCATTGTCACTGTTGGCGTTTCCTGAAACACGTCCACAACAACATCAACAAAACTCTTGCTGCCTTAGGTTTATTGTAGCCCTCTTTTGGACGCTAGTAACACAAGCATTTCGCTACACCCGCAATAACATCTGCTAAATATGTGTATGTGACCAATAACATTTGTTTTGATTTTTATTTAGTACAGAATGCTACATTTTCTCTGTATTACCAGGTGAGGTTGTTGATTGATTTGACTGCAGGACACTGTGGGTTGTCACAAGAGGGTTGTTCCCTAGAAAAACAACAAAATGAACGCAATACTTTCTCTCAGTTCTACTCAAACATTAGCAGTGAGACAACACAGCAGATAAGCCCTATAGAAGACCAGAGTTACCTGGCGCTGAGAGTGCTGGGGATGATGTCACAACATTCGTTGGATGGGCTGTAGTTGGGGTGGTTGCACTGCCAGCCACAGTAAAAGTGTTGGATGTCAGTGTCGGTGGTGAGGTCACTGTGGGTTGAAACATCTCCATCAAATAACAGTGACCTACATGGTCAGGTGATTCCTGAATGTTGACTACAGTATCAGTTTATGATGATGGTTAAACAGCTCTGGTGATCAAGCAGTTCCCCAGTCAAAATACTTTTTCCAACCAATGAACTAATTCTTAGCCAGAGTCAGAGAGTTACACCCAACAAGGCCTAAACTCACCCATGGGACCTGCTGCAGGCATGGTGGATTCTAAGGATCCACCCATAACCTCTTTCTGGTTGGTTTGATTGATGGCAGATTGGGCTGAAACTGTAACAAACAGCTCTAGTAAGGTCTGGCTTCCTCTGAACACTATAGTATCAAAACAGCTTTTGTCCTTTGGCTAATGAAACACGTGATATCATTATAAAGCACTACATTTAGTCATCGCCTGTTTTTCTAGCGTGATACTGTTAGATGTACAAGTACAATTTCTATCAAGAGAGCGGAAACTGCTCAAAGTAATACGTTAAACAAATTGGATGTCAAACAGAGAGTTAAAAGACTGTTCAAGCAATATCTATGTAAGACAAGTACCCGTAATCTGGCCGCGTTGCCTTTATTAATCTGAACCTACCTGCTGGAATGAGGAGAAACACACTCAGCAGAGGGACAGGATACAGAAGCAGATCCATGTACAAATCCACAGCGTTTCCTCTGTCTGTCTGGAGCCTCTCAGATTCCCACTGTGTGTATGTATTAGTGCGTGTATAAAATGTTTGGGGTCACCCAGGGGCAAGAGAACCCACTGTCATGAGCGTACTAGATAGCGTATGGAGTCTCTCTGAGTAATGTGTGTCCGTGTATGGAAGCAGTCTCAACTTGTGGCCTGAGTGTGTGTATTTGCGTGTGTTAATGAGAGAGTATGGTAAAGGTCCTGGTAGCGAGATGTTGCTGTCCTGTTCCATAGAGTGGTGGTTAGGAGTTACTTGCCCTCTACCGTGGGTTCAGTGTGAGGTGGGAGTGGTTGCCATGGCCTGTCTGACGCTTTTCCCAGAGTTTCCTGTGGAAGAATGGCAGGAAGCAGATGGAATGCCCTCATGGAAACTGTAGAGAAAAGAACATTCGCCCACTGTTTTGATTCAGGTTGGCTGTGAAAATGCAGCTCCCTTGAAAAACAGTGAAGCTGCCCATTTTGCACACATGCACACACACACTCCATCCCGCAGAGCATATTGTTTGGGCGTGGCCTAAATTGTGAAAAGGCTCCTATTCCCATCATGTTGCACAATGTGAGAATATATTTCCTATCTATCGATGAGAAACTGGAAGCCACACTATTGGTTCATGCATATTTTATTCAAGAGTAAAAAAAGTGATTTGTCCCATAGGGCATGCTTACAATGTGTGTATCATTTATGAAGTCAAATGCCAAAACTTAGTTCCGGAGAAAATTACAAGAAAAAATTGTCGTCACAAGTTAAAATCCATGAAATTCCTTCTTCAAAATAAACCACGTCTAGACCAAACAAGGATCAGAAAACAGTGGAAGGAAAAATAACCGTAAGCTTAATCGTGAGAATAATAAGAATATCATCAAGAATTATAATGAGAATATATTGTTTTCCTTTAAAAAGTATGTGAGACACAGGATTTTCATTGTGTCCAATTTGTTTACATTTGAACAAACCATGCGATCATGCTTTGGCAGCCTGAATGTTGCTTTTCACTGAGTAATATGTTCATTCACACAATTGAACAACTTCTGTACACCAACAGAACAGAAAAAGGCTTCACACCTTAAAAAGAGCATATGTGCCTGTACAGCAAAACAATAAAATAATAATATAATAAACAAATAATATTGATTAAAAAATGAAGAAAAAAACGAATCAAAGGAAACAACAATAAAAAATGTAAATAAAAAACAAAGGGAAACTTTACAAATCAAATTTGATGAGAGAAATAATTCAGGTCTACTATATTGAAACATCACAATTATTATTTCACATATCAATAAGGAACTTAATTGCATGCATCGATGCGTTCCATACCGTGGATGCTGTTAAAAACCATTGTCTTTGTTATTGTCCATCTTTATAATTCATTATATATATATATATTAGATCATTTTTTTACTCCGACAGAAGATTTGACGTACTATGTGAATGATCTCTCTTTAGTTACAGGCAGGAGAGAAACAATCAGGTACGGGTGGCAGAAGGTAGACCTGGAGCTGGGACTACAGCGCCTAAACATGACAGACCGTGGCTTTGGTTGGTGGAGAGGCCACAGCCAAGCCCACGTTCCACCCCTACCCCTTCCCCTGCAGGCTCATGGCATCTTACCACAAAATAAATCAAGAAATCAACGTTTTCAGGTAAGATTGCATTGCAAGAAGTAAAATCTACATATTTTTTATTTTCAAATGTCCTTTCTTACAAACAAGATTTTATTTGTATTCATTAATACTAGTAGCAAAACATTTGACTAGCGAGATCATTTCTGTATGAGATGAGTTCATGAGTGAAACTCTTAATCAAAATAGTCAAATGTGTGTGTGGCATGGGTACTGTACTGGAGTGTCTCATGTCAGACCCCATGAGGATGTACTGTAACAGACATGGGAGAAAGCTCGGGACTCCAAACTCTGCCCACTCGGTCTGTGATTGGATTGAGAGAGGGAACAGCAGACACACCCACAGGACCACACCCCTGGCCCTCATCCCAACAGGGACCCCTACATCCCGCCCCGCTGGCCTCTCCTCTCCTCCTCCCTGTCCCTGCCCTAAGCTCTGACCCCACTACCCCCCTCCCGTCTGTGCTCAGTTTCCCTTTGTGGTGACCTGCCGTCTAAAAAATAAACCACCTTACCCATTTGAATAAGAGATTTAACATTTGATTCGTTTCTCTAATTGGATGAAAGAGCAGCAGGCGGTAGATGCAGATGTTGTGTTGTGTCTGTGGGTGTGTTATGTTTTGTCTATATTCTGAGGCCTGATATCACGATTTGGCGACTTCTTGGCGCACAGCACGGCAGTCGCATGGACTCTAGGGCGGGCCACAGGACGAAGCATCACTGGCTGTTGCTGTTGTCATTGTCATTGTCTTCTGTGCCGTTGGCCTCGGACATGTTCATCTTGCCCATGGACTGTCCCACGTGGTTGACCCCGACTCTGCGGGGAGGCATACGCTCGTTGATACGGTCTAGGCCCTTGGCCTCCTCGAAGCTGGCAATCTTATGCTGGGGAGAAAACCCACGGATGGCTGCAGGGAGGACAGGTAGGAGGAGAGAGAGGACATACAGGGGATCAGTATCACTGTATCATGATATAATTTATAACTGATAAACCTTGATTTTAAATCCTTTGAAATACCTCTTTGTGCACTCTCATATGAAAATGGTTAAACATAGCCTACAGTATATGCTTTTTACATAAAATATTATTGGGAAGTACCATACTTTGGCCTGAATGCAATAGGCTGTGTTTAGACAGGCAACCCAATTCTGATATTTATTTTCACTTATTGGTCTTTTGACCAATCAAATCAGCTCTGAAAAAGATCTGCTGTGAAAAGATCTGATGTGATTGGTCAAAATATCAATTAGTGGAAAAAAATATCAGAATTGGGCTAACCTAATGTAGCAGGCGTAAAAGAAACATACTGGTCTTGAGGAGAAGAAAAAAATAACTGTTGGGGGAGGATTTGAATAGATGTAATTGTGGACAGAGTGATATCAGAAACCTTGAGATATCCACAGGCTCATCTGAGAGAATGAGTCAACGACTCAGCACCCTCCTGTCCTGTACTAAAATGACACCCATGTTTACTAGAATTGCACCCTCCTTTACTAGAATTGCACCTTTGTTTACTAGAATGGCACCTTCCTTTAATAACTTAGACAAACTTCCCCTCGTGGAAGAGCACCCTTGTTTACTAGAATAGCACCCTTGTTTACGGTTGTTATAATTATGTATCATGAAGCCAACATGACATTACAGTACCAGTTGCATGACATAATCATGTCATACTCCATACATCGTCCTGTTAGTGTGTAAGTTCATGCCCATTCACTTAACCCTGTCGTGATGCAGGCAGTTGTTTAACTGCGGCTGTCAATTGCTGCATCATGACATTGTCAGGTCATTGTGAGAGCATCAGGTGTCCAGAGACTCCGGAGACGGAAGAGGAAGCGAGACATCTCACTCGCTCCTTTTTTATGGTTCATATACAGACAATGAACTAAGCAGACCAGACCCAGCTGCTAATGCATTGGTGCCTATGGGAGAGCCACCCCTTAAGCAGACCGGAACACTGACCATTTTTTTCAACGGTAAATGGCCTGAGTGGGACTTCTTCATTTATTCACTATCTTTGGAGACTCTATTGTTCACATAGATGACACATCATGCTCATGATACCATTCAGTTGACTTCATGATGCATACTGTATTTCACCTTAGCTCTCGCCTGTGTCCTGTTCTCCCTGCATGCGATGCATCTTTGAACCAGATGGGGGTGGAAGATAAGCCAAATCCAAAAAATAAAAGAAGGAATCATGCCTGAGCATAAAAAGATACCTGAAACCATCATGCAGCTCTTGGTAGCACCTCACTTTGCATGGCTTTAATTACTTACATACAATAACAAATCCATGTGTTTATATTTATATGTGTTTACATGTGTGTGTTTGTATTTCTATGTAAGGTATTAAACTTGATCACACTTGTGAAAGGCTTTGTTTTTCCTGTGCACACCATGTAATTAATGTCAAATACATCTCTTGACACTTACATCATAACTGATATAGTTTAGATATTTACATTGACATCTCTTGTAATCAAGATACTGCAAAGTTCCGTGCTACCCATTCTAAATCCAACTGTCCCCCTGATATGTTGTTTAATGCAGGCTGAATATGCACTACTATTGTAACTGACGGGTAGTTGACCCAATGCATGTCCTGCAGGCCAGCCTGCTGAGAGGGGTGGGGTCGGGGACACAGCTTTACCTTCTCCGTCCTCAGTTTCTGTGTCGATGGCTTCGATGGCCTCGGTGGTGGCTGGGGGGGGGAAAGGAGGGGAGCGTGTTACTTCTGGCAAAGCCATGCAGATGCAGAATGCAGCCCCCGACGGTAGTTAGGCAGCTAGCTAGAGACCAGCGAGAGACCAGGAAGTGAGAGACGCATGTACCCCAGTAACACAGCCAGACTGAGTGGCCAGAGGCCTGGGGAACACCCCAGTGCTGGGCTTGAGAGACTCTTGAGGGCCACAGGACCTGACTGAACTCAACAGAGTAGAATGGTCTTGGAAATCCCAGACCTAGGTCTGGAACATTGGTAACATTGTGGGAGGCAGTTCTAGAGAGACTAGTAGTAGAAAGACACCTCATCCAGATTTTCAAAGGTCAACTCAATGGGAGTAAATACAGGTGAGATGACAGGTGAGGTGAGATGACAGGTGAGTTGAGATGACAGGTGAGGTGAGATGACTGGTGAGGTGAGGTGAGATGACTGGTGGGGTGAGATGACAGGTGAGGTGAGATGACAGGTGGGGTGAGATGACAGGTGAGGTGAGATGACAGGTGAGGTGAGGTGAGATGACAGGTGAGGTGAGATGACTGGTGAGGTGAGATAACTGGTGAGGTGAGATGACAGGAGAGGTGAGGTGAGATGACAGGAGAGGTGAGGTGAGATGACAGGAGAGGTGAGGTGAGATGACTGGTGAGATGAGATGACTGGTGAGGTGAGATGACTGGTGAGGTGAGATGACAGGTGAGATGAGATGACAGGTGAGATGAGATGACAGGTGAGATGAGATGACAGGTGAGGTGAGATGAGATGACTGGTGGGGTGAGATGACAGGTGAGTTGAGATGACAGGTGAGGTGAGGTGAGATGACAGGTGAGATGAGATGACAGCTGAGGTGAGATGAGATGACTGGTGGGGTGAGATGACAGGTGAGATGAGATGACAGGTGAGTTGAGATGACAGGTGAGATGAGATGACAGGTGCGGTGAGATGAGATGACTGGTGGGGTGAGATGACAGGTGAGTTGAGATGACAGGTGAGATGAGATGACAGGTGAGATGAGATGACAGGTGAGATGAGATGACAGGTGAGATGAGATGACTGGTGGGGTGAGATGACAGGTGAGATGAGATGACAGGTGAGATGAGATGACTGGTGGGGTGAGATGACAGGTGAGTTGAGATGACAGGTGAGATGAGATGACTGGTGGGGTGAGATGAGATGACTGGTGGGGTGAGATGACAGGTGAGATGAGATGACAGGTGAGTTGAGATGACAGGTGAGATGAGATGAGATGACTGGTGGGGTGAGATGACAGGTGAGGTGAGATGACAGGTGAGATGAGATGACAGGTGAGATGAGATGACAGGTGAGATGAGATGAGATGACAGGTGAGGTGAGATGACAGGTGAGGTGAGATGACAGGTGAGTTGAGATGACAGGTGAGGTGAGATGAGATGACTGGTGGGGTGAGATGACAGGTGAGGTGAGATGACAGGTGAGGTGAGATGACTGTCTCTCTCTCTCTCTAGTGTCGAGCTATAGCTAAAGGGGGCAGAATCTGCAGGCCTCCAGAGTCAAGGGTGGCTGCCCAAACCTGGGTCAGAAACAAAGGGACCAGAGGACGGATACGAAGACAAAGACCCAGGGAGAGAGGGAGAGCGATGGAGACTGTGACAAAGAAAAGAGTCACAGTGATAGAAAGAGGAACGGACAGACAGGGAGGGAAGGGAGGGAGGGAAGGAAGGAGGGATAAACAGCCCTGGCCTGGGCCTCTTCCTCACCACTCTGCAGGGTCTGTTTGCCCCCGGAGAGCACCCCGCTGGGCAGCATGCCAGTAGGAGTTAGACCCTTCAGCGTCAACACGTTCTCACTCTCCTCCCTGCGGGACACACGGAATAGCACCACACACAGGTCAGAGGACCACACACAGGTCAGAGGACCACACACAGGTCAGAGGACCACACACAGGTCAGAGGACATCCACACAGGTCACTCATGTACATTTATATTTACATTACATTTAAGTCATTTAGCAGACGCTCTTATCCAGAGCGACTTACAGTTAGTGAGTGCATACATTCTTTTTTATACTGGCCCCCTGTGGGAATCGAACCCACAACCCTGGCGTTGCAAACGCCATGCTCTACTGAGCTACATCCCTGCGTAGGCTTCTGGGGGGGGGCTTCTACTGTATATCCACTCTATTATAATAACTCTATATTCAGTGTTAGAGATGTGTTCAAGTGCAACAGCTACAGTAGAATGCGAGGTGGAGAACGTTCTCACCGAAGCACTTTGAACATCGTTGCCATTTTCCCAATGGCGCGGATCTTGTTCCTGATCACCTCCTTCCGAGCTGCAGCTGCGTTGGCTAGAAAGAGGCAGACGTCAGGAGTGAGTCTACGGGCCACGTTGAAATGATCCATTTACAATGCATTCGGAAAGTGTTCAGACCCCTTGACTTTTTCCACATTTTGTTACGTTACAGCCTTATTCTAAAATTGAATTAATTATTTTTTTACCTCATCAATCTACACACAATACCCCATAATGACAAAGCGAAAAAATGTTTTTAGAAATGTTTTCTAATTTAACATAAAACACATAAACACCGTATTTACATAAGTATTCAGACCCTTTTGCTATGAGACTCAAAATTGAGCTCAAGTGCATCCTGTTTCCATTGATAATCCTTGAGATGTTTCTACAACTTGATTGGAGTCCACCTGTGGTAAATTCAATTGATTGGACATGATTTGGAAAGGCACACACCTGTCTATATAAGGTCCAATCAAGTTGTAGAAACATCTCGTCCAACTCGTCCAACTCTCGTCCAACTCGTCCAACTCGTCCCACAGTTGACAGTGCATGTCAGAGCAAAAACCAAGCCATGAGGTTGAAGGAATTGTCCGTAGAGCTCCAAGACAGGATTGTGTCGAGACACAGATCTGGGGAAGGGTACCAAAAACTGTCTGCAGCATTGAAGGTCCCCAAGAACACAGTGGCCTCCATCATTCTTAAATGGAAGAAGTTTGGAACCACCAAGACTCTACCTAGAGCTGGCCACCCGGCCAAACTGAGCAATCGGGGGAGAAGGGCCTTGGTCAGGGAGGTGACCAAGAACCCGATGGTCACTCTGAAAGAGCTCCATAGTTCCTCTGTGGAGATGGGAGAACCTTCTAGAAGGACAACCATCTCTGCAGCATTCCACCAATCAGGCCTTTATGGTAGAGTGGCCAGACGGAAGCCACTCCTCAGTAAAAGGCACATGACAGTGCGCTTGGAGTTTGCCAAAAAGCACCTAAAGGACTCAGACCATGAGAAACAAGATTCTCTGGTCTGATGAAACCAAGATTGAACTCTTTGGCCTGAATGCCAAGCGTCACGTCTGAAGGAAATCTGGCACCATCCCTACAGTGAAGCATGGTGATGGCAGCATCATGCTGTGGGGATGTTTTTCAGCGGCAGGGACTGGGAGCCTAGTCAGGATCGAGGGAAAGATGAATGGAGCAAAGTACAGAGAGATCCTTGATGAAAACCTGCTCCAGAGTGCTCAGGACCTCAGACTGGGGCGAAGGTTCACCTTCCAACAGGACAACGACCCTAAGCACACAGCCAAGACAACGCAGGAGTGGCTTCGGGACAAGTCTCTGAATGTCCTTGAGTGGCCCAGCCAGAGCCTGGACTTCAACCCGATCAAACATCTCTGGAGAGACCTGAAAATAGCTGTGCAGCGACACTCCCCATCCAACCTGACAGAGCTTGAGAGGCTCTGCAGAGAAGAGTGGGAGAAACTCCCCAAATTCAGGTGTGCCAAGCTTGTTGCGACATACCAAGAAGACATCAAGGCTTTCATCGCTGCCAAAGGTGCTTCAACAAAGTACTGAGTAAAGGGTCTGAATACTTATGTAAATGTAATATTTCAGTTTTTTTATATTTAATACATTTGCAAAAATTTCAAAAAAACTGTTTTTGCTTAGTCATTATGGGGTATTGTGTGTAGATTGATGAGGTGGAAAAACAATTTAATCAATTTTATATTAAGGCTATAATGTAACAAAATGTGGAAAAAGTCAAGGGGTCTGAATACTTTCCGAATGCACTGTATATTCTTTACTGGTAATTAAATGAGCCCCTCATAACAAACAAAAACCCAGAGGTCATATAATGTACGAATACCATAATAATACATGTTCTTACTTATTTATAAGGACCTATGCCAGGGAGAGGAGTGTGAGACACTACAGTTCTAATTGACTCTTAACAGTACTGTATATCATCGACTCACCATCTAAGATCTCTTGGTCGTCTCCGTCATTCATGAGCTCGTCGTCAGAGCAGATGCTCAACACGTTCACCAGCATCTCTGTGACTGGAGAGGGGTCAAAGGTTATCAGATGAGGGCGCTGCTGTACATATTTGATTATGATAAAATGTAGCAAGAGGGTAAATATAGAAGAACACGGGTCATTGTTCATTATAAACTGGGTGTGTCGAGCCCTGAATGCTGATTGGCTGACAGCCATGGTATACCGCGGGTATGACAAAACATGTATTTTTACTGCTCTAATTACGTTGGTAACCAGTTTATAATAGCAATAAGGCACCTCGGGGGTTTGTGGTATATTGCCAATATACCACGGTTAAGGGCTGTACCAGGCACTCCGTGTTGCGTCATGCATAACAACAGCCTTTAGCCGTGGTATATTGTCCATATACCACACCCCCTCGTGCCTTATTGCTAAAGCATATCAGTCTGAGAGCATGGATGAGTCCTGCTGAACGTTTGTATTGACTAGCAAGTTAAGATGATTCTCACCACTCAGCTTGAACAGGATTAAAACAGCAGAACAGTGCAGCGTAGTCATCATTACACAAAGACATGTTCTACTAACGAATGGGAAAGGGTGGTGGCGGTACCTTTCTCCCCCACAAAAGGCAGGGACCAGGTGAACACGTCCATGAAGTTGGGCAGCCAGTAGGGATGAGGGGAGCAGTTGAACTGCCTGATGTTCATCACGTTATTTTCATACTTCAGTACTGCAGCTGTGGAGGGGGAAAAAAACACAAGGGTCATGTAAGGGTCATGTAAACATAAAAATGTCTACATCTACATGGATACACACATACTACACAAAACCTAGTAGGTTTAAAGAAACAACACAGTAAAAAATGACCATCAGTGTGTCGAGTGATACATTCATCACGCTGTACATCACTAATGCCGTGGAATTCTCCATTTTGAGCCCACTCCTATATCAATGGCGCAGCATGCGTTATTTTGCTGCAAGCATATGCATGAAAATAAGTTTTAAATCCTGTCAATTCCCAAGACGGCATTGTTTTTTCCATCTCACACCAACGATTCATGCCTTCAGTTGCGGACAGAAAACGGAGCATACGATGTGCTTCTTCTGCAGACATATTCACAGTGACTGAAAGGACCAAAGAAGGTGCTTTTGAAGAAAAATATTTTGGGAAAAAAAAGCATGTCTTTGAAACAGCAGTGGTTGATGGGAGCTAGCTCTAGGATAATTATGACTCTGTTTCAAAGACATGCTTTTTTTTCTCCAAAATATTTTTCTTCAAAAGCACCTTCTTTGGTCCTTTCAGTCACTGTGAATATGTCTGCAGAAGAAGCACATCGTATGCTCCGTTTTCTGTCCGCAACTGGAGGCATGAATCGTTGGTGTGAGATGGAAAAAACAATGCCGTCTTGTGAATTGACAGGATTTCAAACTTATTTTCTTCCACTATATACAGTATAATGATGATATGAGTTTAGTCTCTTGACAAACAGATGCTACAGGAAGGAGCCTTTTTACTCAAAGAGGTAACAGAATCCATGACATCAAACAAATAACTTTTCTAAAAAATATATATATATACAAAAATACATCTGTATAAAACAATAATCTATCAAATTACAAACAGAGCAGAGGTCTAATTATACACGGGCTCTTCAGAGTGGCCTGAAGATAGTAGGCTGGAGCAACATTCATAGTCTTATGGGGGTACACACCTTGATATGTGTTTGTGTGGGTGTGTGAGAGAGAGACTGAAACAGAGATATAAACAGACAGAGACAGAGACAGAGGAAGAGACATAGCGACAGACAGAGAGAGAAAGAGAGAGCAACAGAGCGAGAGAGAAACAGAGGCACAGGAAGACAGGCAGAGAGAGAAAGAGACAGATTAGCAGAGACAGACAGAGAGACAGAGACAGACAGAGAAAAAGACATAGCGACAGACAGGGAGAGAAAGACACAGAGACAGAAACAGAGGAAGAGACAGAAACAGAAACAGAGGAAGAGACAGACAGAAACAGAGACAGAAACAGAGGAAGAGACAGAAACAGAGACAGAAATATAGGAAGAAACATACAGAAACAGAGATAGAAACAGAGATAGAAACAGAAACAGAGACAGAAACAGAGGAAGAGACAGAGACAGAAACATAGGAAGAAACAGAGACAGAAACAGAGGAAGAGACAGAAACAGAGACAGAAACAGAGATAGAAACAGAGGAAGAGATAGAGACAGAGACAAAAACAGAAACAGAGGAAGAGATAGAGACAGAAACAGAGACAGAAACATAGGAAGAGACAGAAACAGAGACAGAAACAGAGACAGAGACAGAGACATAGGAAGAGACAGAGACAGAAACAGAGACAGAAACATAGGAAGAGACAGAAACAGAGACAGAAACAGAGACAGAGACAGAGACAAAAACAGAAACAGAGGAAGAGACAGAGACAGAGACAGAGACAGAAACATAGGAAGAGACAGAGACAGAAACAGAGACAGAAACAGAGACAGAAACAGAGACAGAAACAGAGGAAGAGACAGAGACAGAAACAGAGGAAGAGACAGAGACAGAAACAGAGGAAGAGACAGAAACAGAGGAAGAGACAGAGACAGAAACAGAGGAAGAGACAGAAACAGAGGAAGAGACAGAGACAGAAACAGAAACAGAGACAGAGACAGAAACAGAGACAGAAACAGAAACAGAGACAGAAACAGAGGAAGAGACAGAAACAGAGGAAGAGACAGAAACAGAAACAGAAACAGAAAGACAGAGACAGAGACAGAAACAGAGGAAGAGACAGAGACAGAAACAGAGACATAAACGTAGGAAGAGACAGACAGAAACAGAGACAGAAACAGAAACAGAGGAAGAGACGGAGACGCGAGACAGAAGAACGAGGAAAGAGACAGAAACATAGGAAGAACGAGACAGAAACAGAGACATACAGTAGAAGAGACAGACAGAAACAGAGACAGAAACAGAAACAGAGGAAGAGACGGAGACAGAAACAGAGACAGAGATAGAAACAGAAACAGAGGAAAAGAGACAGAAACAGAGATAGAAACAGAAACAGAAACAGAAACAGAGACAGAGACAGAGACAGAGACAGAAACAGAGACAGAGACAGAGACAGAGACAAAAACAGAAACAGAGGAAGAGACAGAGACAGAAACAGAGACAGAGACAGAAACATAGGAAGAGACAGAGACAGAAACAGAAACAGAAACATAGGAAGAGACAGAAACAGAGACAGAAACAGAGACAGAAACAGAGGAAGAGACAGAGACAGAAACAGAGGAAGAGACAGAGACAGAAACAGAGGAAGAGACAGAAACAGAGACAGAGACAGAAACATAGGAAGAAACAGAGACAGAGACAGAAACAGAAACATAAACGTAGGAAGAGACAGACAGAAACAGACACAGAAACAGAAACAGAGGAAGAGACAGAGACAGAAACATAGGAAGAAACAGAGACAGAGATAGAAACAGAAACAGAGGAAAAGAGACAGAAACAGAGACAGAAACAGAGATAGAAACAGAAACAGAAACCGAGGAAGAACAAGAGACAGAAACAGAAACAGACAAGACAGAAACAGAGGAAGAGACAGAGAAAGAGACAGAAACATAGACAGAGACAGAGACAGAGACAACAAAACAGAAAAAAAGAAACAGAGACAGAAACAGAGACAGAGACAGAAACATAGGAAGAGACAGAGACAGAAACAGATCAGAAACAGAGAAGAACAGAGAAGAGACAAAACGAGGAAGAGACAGCGAGACAAAACAGAAAAACAAGGAAGAAACAGAGAATGAGACAGAGAGAACGAGAAAACAGAGACAGAAACAGAGACAGAACAAGAAGAGACAGAAACAGAGACAGAAACAGAGAAGAGAACAGAGGAAGAGACAGAAACAGAGACAGAAACAGAGACAGAAAACAGAGCGAACAGAAACAGAGGAAGAGACAGAACAGACGAAGAGACAGAACAGAAACAGAGGAAGAGACAGAGACAGAAACAAGAGGAAGAGACAGAGACAGAAACAGAGGAAGAGACAGAGACAGAAACAGAGGAAGAAACAGAGACAGAAACATAGGAAGAGACAGAGACAGAAACAGAAACAGAGACAGAAACAGAGGAAGAGACAGAGACAGAAACAGAGGAAGAAACAGAGACAGCGATAGAAACAGAGGAAGAGACAGAAATAGAGACAGAAACAGAAACAGAAACAGAGGAAGAAACAGAGACAGAAACAGAAACAGATACAGAAACAGAAACAGAAACAGAAACAGAGACAGAGACAGAAACAGAGGAAGAGACAGAGACAGAAACAGAAACAGAAACAGAGACAGAAACAGAGACAGAGACAGAAACAGAAACAGAGACAGAAACAGAGACAGAGACAGAGAAAGAGACAGAGGAATAGACAGAAACAGAGGAAGAGACAGAAACAGAGACAGAGACAGAGACAGAGACAGAAACAGAGACTGAAACAGAGACAGAAACAGAGGAAGAGACAGAGACAGACACAGAAAGAGACAGAAAGATGCAGAGACAGAGCGAGAGAGGCAGAGACATAGCGACAGACACAGAGAGAAAGAAACAGAGACAGACACAGAAAGAGACAGAGGCACAGGACAGCGACAGAAAGACAGAGAAAGGAGATGAGACGATCAACCATTAGGTGCCCTTCTTGAGCCCCAGAAGTGAAGTGTTCCATCATGAGATATAAAGCTAGCTACATAGAGATAGTCAGCCTTACCGACAGTCCCTCCCACGCTCTCACTATGTCCCACTATCCATCTCCACCAAGCCACATATTGAACACCACTCACCAACACATATATGATCCAACATACATTCACTACGTACAGTAAGGGAAAAAAGTATTTGATCCCCTGCTGATTTTGTACGTTTGCCCACTGACAAAGAAATGATCAGTCTATAATTTTAATGGTAGGTTTATTTGAACAGTGAGAGACAGATATTTTTTTAAATAATTTAAAAAACGCATGTCAAAAATGTTATAAATTGATTTGCATTTTAATGAGGGAAATCAGTATTTGACCCCCTCTCAATCAGAAAGATTTCTGGCTCCCAGGTGTCTTTTATACAGGTAACGAGCTGAGATTAGGAGCACACTCTTAAAGGGAGTGCTCCTAATCTCAGTTTGTTACCTGTATAAAAGACACCTGTCCACAGAAGCAATCAATCAATCAGATTCCAAACTCTCCACCATGGCCAAGACCAAAGAGCTCTCCTAGGATGTCAGGGACAAGATTGTAGACCTACACAAGGCTGGAATGGGCTACAAGACCATCGCCAAGCAGCTTGGTGAGAAGGTAGCAAGAGTTGGTGCGATTATTCGCAAATGGAAGAAACACAAAATAACTGTCAATCTCCCTCGGCCTGGGGTTCCATGCAAGATCTCACCTCGTGGAGTTGCAATGATCATGAGAACGGTGAGGAATCAGCCCAGAACTACACGGGAGGATCTTGTCAATGATCTCAAGGCAGCTGGGACCATAGTCACCAAGAAAACAATTGGTAACACACTATGCCGTGAAGGACTGAAATCCTGCAGCGCCCGCAAGGTCCCCCTGCTCAAGAAAGCACATATACATGCCCATCTGAAGTTTGCCAATGAACATCTGAATGATTCAGAGGAGAACTGGGTGAAAGTGTTGTGGTCAGATGAGACCAAAATCGAGCTCTTTGGCATCAACTCAACTCGCCGTGTTTGGATGAGGAGGAATGCTGCCTATGACCCCAAGAACACCATCCCCACCGTCAAACATGGAGGTGGAAACATTATGCTTTGGGGGTGTTTTTCTGCTAAGGGGACAGGACAACTTCACCGCATCAAAGGGACAATGGACGGGGCCATGTACCGTCAAATCTTGGGTGAGAACCTCCTTCCCTCAGCCAGGGCATTGAAAATGGGTTGTGGATGGGTATTCCAGCATGACAATGACCCAAAACACACGGCCAAGGCAACAAAGGAGTGGCTCAAGAAGAAGCACATTATGGTCCTGGAGTGGCCTAGCCAGTCTCCAGACCTTAATCCCATAGAAAATCTGTGGGGGGAGCTGAACAAACGTCAGCCTCGAAACCTTAATGACTTGGAGAAGATCTGCAAAGAGGAGTGGGACAAAATCCCTCCTGAGATGTGTGCAAACTACAAGAAACGTCTGACCTCTGTGATTGCCAACAAGGGTTTTGCCACCAAGTACATGTTTTGCAGAGGGGTCAAATACTTATTTCCCTCATTAAAATGCAAATCAATTTATAACATTTTTGACATGCATTTTTCTGGATTTTTTTGTTGTTATTCTGTCTCTCACTGTTCAAATAAACCTACCATTAAAATTATAGAATGATAATTTATTTGTCAGTGGGCAAACGCACAAAATCAGCAGGGGATCAAATACTTTTTTCCCTCACTGTATATACTAGTTCACATAGACTCATACGTTAACACTACAAATACATACCCTTATATATCCAATATATAAACAATATAGAAATATACATAAACAGTACCAGTCAAAAGTTTGGACACACGTACTCGTTCAAGGGTTTTTCTTTATTTTTACTATTTTCTACATTGTAGAATAACAGTGAAGACATCAAAACTATGAAATAACACATGAAATCATGTAGTAACCAAAAAAAAGTTAAACAAATCAAAATATATTTTAGATTTTAGATTCTTCAAAGTAGCCACCCTTTGCCTTGATGACAGCTTTGCACACACTTGGCATTCTCTCAAGCAGCTTCATGATGTAGTATGCTTTTCCAACAGTCTTGAAGGAGTTCCCGTATATGCTGAGCACTTGTTGGCTGCTTTTCCTTCACTCTGCAGTCCAACTCATCCCAAACCATCTCAATTGGGTTGAGGTCGGGTGATTGTGGAGGCCAGGTCATCTGATGCAGCACTCCATCACTCTCCTTCTTGGTCAAATAGCCCTTACACAGCCTGGAGGTGTGTTTTGGGTCATTGTCCTGTTGAAAAACAAATGATAGTCCCACTAAGCGCAAACCAGATGGGATGGCGTATCGCTGCAGAATGCTGTGTAACCATGCTGGTTAAGTGTGCCTTGAATTCTAAATAAATCACAGACAGTGTCACCAGCAAAGCACCATCACACCTCCTACTCCATGCTTCACAGTGGGAACCACACATGCGGAGATCATCCGTTCACCTACTATGTGTCCTCACAAAGACACGGCGGTTGGAACCAAAAATCTCAAATTTGGACTCATCAGACCAAAGGACAGATTTCCAACGGTCTAATGTCCATTGCTCGTGTTTCTTGGCCCAAGCAAGTCTCTTCTTCTTATTGGTGTCCTTTAGTAGTGGTTTCTTTGCAGCAATTCGACCATGTAGGCCTGATTCACGCAGTCTCCTCTGAACAGTTGATGTTGAGATGTGTCTGTTACTTTAACTCTGTGAAGCATTTATTTGGGCTGCAATCTGAGGTGCAGTTAAGTGCCGATTTCTGAGGCTGGTAACTCTAATGAACTTATCCTCTGTAGCAGAGGTAACTCTGGGTCTTCTTTTCCTGTGGCGGTCCTCATGAGAGCCATTTTCATCATAGCGCTTGATGGTTTTTGCGACTGCACTTGAAGAAACTTTCAAAGTTTTTGAAGTTTTCCGGATTGACTGACCTTCATGTCTTAAAGTAATGATGGACTGTCCTTTATTTTTGCTTATTTGAGCTGTTCTTGCCATAATATGGACTTGGTATTTTACCAAATAGGACTATCTTCTGTATACCACCCCTACCTTGTCACAACACAACTGATTGGCTCAAACGCATTAAGAAGGAAAGAAATTCCACAAATTAACTTTTAACAAGGCACACCTATTAATTGAAATGCATTCCAGGTGACTACCTCATGAAGCTGGTTGAGAGAATGCCAAGAGTGTGCAAAGCTGTCATCAAGGCAAAGGGTGGCTACTTTGAAGAATCTCAAAGATAAAATATATTTTGATTTGTTTAACACTTTTTTGGTTACTACATGATTCCATATGTGTTATTTCATAGTTTTGATGTCTTCACTATTATTCTACAATGTAGAAAATAGTAAAAAAATAAAGAAAAACCCTTGAATGAGTAGGTGTGTCCAAACTTTTGACTGGTAGTGTATATAAAAACTACATGGAGCAGATAGACTGACCTTTGTTGTTGTAAACGTCAAGGTAGTTTGGCGCTGAGAAGATGGTGATGAGGGAGGGAAAGCCGGTAGTCTGGCTCTTCCGGTACATCCGGTAGCTATAGGACACCCACAGATAGAGAGTGGGAGGTGTTTTCAGATTAATCATCTGGATGAATCATGAATCGTATGAAAGCTATTGAAAGTGTGTGTGTGTGTGTGTGTGTGTGTGTGTGTGAGAGAGAGAGAGAGAGAGAGAGAGAGAGAGAGAGAGAGAGAGAGAGAGAGAGAGAGAGAGAGAGAGAGAGAGAGAGAGAGAGAGAGAGAGAGAGAGAGAGAGAGAGAGAGAGAGAGAGAGAGAGAGAGAGAGAGAGAGAGAGAGAGAGAGAGAGTACATACCCAGCATCTTGTGCTTCATGTGCTCGGATAACTGATAATAAGTTATTGTTCTGTAGGAACTCACATACAGCTGGATAACTGCACAGCAGAAAAAGGAGAAAGGGTTTTGGGATGGCATTTTTAAATTCACACTGTTTGATACATATCACAGAGCAACACAGCTAGCACTGACCCATGGAACTGAAAAACATGCAGAATACATAAGTATTGTGTAACAGCGCATAGCTGAATACACAGTGGCAAAACGTTATATGACTATATTACAGTCACGAAACAGAGAATACAATATGATACCCCTGGTCCAGCCACAGAGTAGAACATTGACATTGTCCTACAACACAACAAAACAGTGCAGAGCGTCAGCAGGCGTCAGTGTGTTGTTATCAGAGCACTGCTCAGTATGATGTAAGACAGAGCAGCCCATCCCAGCCCATCCCACGGCTCCCAGTTCTCCCAAAGCAACCTTATGCCACTCACTGGGCTCAAAAACACAACAAACCATGTCAGCTATTATTTGACTGCTAACTGGCTGTCAGTTCTACCCTGACAGGAAATGTGTGAGGATTGGTACATAACCCCATTCTTTAAGCAAACTGTTAACAAGATGGCCTGTTTGTCAGCATTGTTCACTCCTTCCCTTCCATCTCTTCCTCTTCCTATCACTTGCTCCAGTTTGGGCTGGAGGAGTGGGTTGTCATAGCAACAGCTCATTGCAGAGCCCCAGGGGGATTGTGGGATAGATGGCAGTGTTGAGCTGATACTGGCCCCTGCCCGGACTCTTGCTTTACACCCACGATGCATTTCAACCGCCTGGCTTGGAGTAGGAGGTCCCTATGTCTACTCCCCCTCTCATCTCCTCTACATTACTCTCCTTTAACCCCACAACCCCCACCTGCTGTCTCTAATGTATCACCCCTCTGTATCTCACTCCGTCCTGCTGATTCAGATAGAGATACAGTTTCAGCTAAAGCTTGATTCCATTCCAATTCCTGAAGGAATTGTGAGCTTAACAGATGCTACATAAACCCAGAATGTGTATATGGTTATATAATCGTATAGTCAAATCTATTTCGTGATGAACAGAAAAAAGAGACACTACGATCACCATGATCATAACACAAAATTATCAGATTCATAAAATAACAGGATAACAATGGTTATGAAAAAATGGAATGCACATGCTTACGACTCAAGCTCACATATTGATTGGCCCGAATGTGCATCGTTTTTTAATCCATGGCTCAGTTGGTCAGAGGAGGGGGTCTACTCATATCTGTGTCAGATTTGGCTCCTGGGGCGTTTCTCTTGACCAGTGTATTGGTAAAACCTTCAGGTGCTGAAACTTTAGGGTTACAGGGTGACTGATGAGAAGCATTACAGAGACGTTCCCTGAAGACACTATTAAAACCCCTCACTGACAAACCAGGCCATAGGCCTTTTCACCTCACCATATGAAAACAAGCTCAGTCCACCACTTAACAACATGGATGCCGGGTGGGACTACATAAAGTGTCCTGTGGCTGTCCGATAGTTCCCTTAATGTATTACTGTGGTCAGTCAGAATGATACAGCACATATAAACATGGACATAAGCCAGCTGAGATCCATCTACACCACCTACTATCACCAAGGATACCATATGCCCCCTCACAAACTGACTGACCAATGTCCTGAGAGGTGCACTTGTTTCTGTATGTAACTGCATCTAATGAGGATGTGTTAACCTAAGACAGCCATGCATTGTACCAACATCTCCACCCATCCCAGGGCCACCCCTAGCTTTTTGGGGGCCCAAAGCAAGATTTGGTTGCCCCTGTAGTTCTAAACATGTTGCCATGACTTATGCCATGTTTATATGATATCTGAGTGAGAGTGACTAACAAAATCAATGTGGGCCCCCTGGGGGTCAGGGCCCATGGGCACTTGCCCAGTTGGTAATTTGGTGATAGGTTTAGATACAGTGGGGTCCAAAATGATTGACACCCTTAATAAAGATGAGCAATTATGACTGTATGCTCATAAAATTGGGAAATTATATTATACTAATATAATTGCTCAGAGAAAGATATTCTGTTTATGAAGAAAGAAAAAACCCTCAAAGGTAGTGTTCAAAATTAGACACCCTTAACGACTCTTATAAATAAAGTAGTCAAAAGTCTAGTATTTGGTCCCATATTCGCACGCAATGATTACATCAAGCTTGTGACTCTACAAACTTGTTGGATGCATTTTGCAGTTCGTTTTGGTTGTATTGGTTGTATTTGTGCCCAATAGAAATGAATGGTAAATCTTGTATTGTGTCATTTTGGAGTCACTTTTATTGTAAATAAGAATATAATATGTTTCTAAACACTTCTACATTCATGTGGATGCTACCATGATTATGGATAATCCTGAATGAATTGTGAATAATGATGAGAGAGAAAGTTACAGAGGGTCAATGATCATATCCCCAAGACATGCTAACCTCCCCTTTTATTGGTAATGGTTAGAGGTTAGCATGTCTTGAAGTGTTTAGAAACATATTATATTCTTATTTGCAATAAAAGTGACTCCAAAATGACACAATACATCATTTACCATTAATTTCTAAAGGACACAAAATAATCTGAACCACAACCAAAACAAACTTTAAATGCATCCAACAAGTTTGAAGAGTCACAAGCTTGATGTAGTCACTGCGTGCTAGGAATATGGGACCAAATACTAAACTTTTAACTACTTTATTTCTAAGAATATTTAGGTGTATTGTCACGATCGTTGGTTAGAGAGGACCAAGGCGCAGCGTGTTGAGCGAACATACTTTAATAGTAAAGTGCAAACACGAATACAAAACAATAAACGATACGTAACGTCCTCAGACAATGACTGACAAGGAATAAAAACCCACAAACACAAGGTGAAAACAGACATTATAAATATGGCTCCCAATCAGAGACAACGAGCCAAACAGCTGACACTCGTTACCTCTGATTGGGAGTCACTCATCCAAACAAAGAAATACAACCACATAGAACAACCCAACCAAACAGAACACAACGAAACGAACACACCCTGGCTCAACATACAAAGTCCCGGAGCCAGAGCGTGACAGTACCCCCCCCTAAAGGCGCGGACTGCGACCGCGCCTCAATAAGGGCTAAACAAGGGAGGTCTGGGTGGGCATACCTCCTCGGCGGTGGTTCTGGCTCCGGCCCTGATCCCCACCTCCTCTCCAACCCCCCAAAGTACCCCTGGTCCTGTCTAGCCCCGCTGGTCGGAGCCGGACTGACGACACGCGCCCCTGGCTTGGTGCGTGGAACAGGAACGGGCCTCACCGGACTGACGACTCCATTCCCTGGTTTGGTGCGAGTAGCAGGAACGAGCTGGACCAGGCTGACGACTCGCATCCCTGGTTTGGTGCGAGTAGCAGGAACGGGCTGGACCAGGCTGACGCCTCGCACCCCTGGCTTGGTGCGAGTAGCAGGAACGGGTTGGACCAGGCTGGCGACTCGCACCCCTGGTTTGGTGCGAGTGGCAGGAACAGGCCGGGTCGGGCTGGCGACGCACACCGTAGGCTTTGTGCGTGGAGCAGGGACAGGCCGGGCTGGGCTGGCGACGCACACCGTAGGCTTTGTGCGTGGAGCAGGAACAGGCCGGGCTGGGCTGGCGACGCACACCGTAGGCTTTGTGCGTGGAGCAGGGACAGGCCGGGCTGGACTGGCGACGCACCTCGTAGGCTTGGTGCGTGGAGCAGGGACAGGCCGGGCTGGGCTGTCGACGCACACCACTGACTTGGTGGGAATGGCAGGAACCGGCCGGGCTGGGCTGACGACGTGCACCACTGACTTGGTGGGAATGGCAGGAACAGGCCGGGCTGGGCTGACGACGCGCACCACTGACTTGGTGGGAATGGCAGGAACAGGCCGGGCCGGGCTGTCGACGCACACCACAGACTTGGTGGGAATGGCAGGAACAGGCCGGGCTGGGCTGACGACGCGCACCACTGCCTTGGTGGGAATGGCAGGAACAGGCCGGACCGTACTGGGGACACACACCACTGGCCCCACGCAGGGATCAGGAACGGGCCGGACCGGACTGGTAACACACCCCAGTACCTCTCGCCGTGCCTCCACACTTTCCCTCTCCTCTGTGCCCAGTGGCCCCCCTAACCTGGCGGCCTTCTCTGCCAACGCTTTGCAGCGCTCTAACCCGTACACCTGCTGCCCCGACGTCGTGAGCCCCCCCCTAAAAATTTCCTGGGGGTCTCTCCTCCCTGTGGCCCAGGCCTCTCTCCCTCTTGCCAGACTCGCAATCATCTCCTCCCACGTCCATCCTCTCTCCTCGTCACGCTGCTTGATCTGGTTAAGGTGGGTTTTTCTGTCACGATCGTTGGTTAGAGAGGACCAAGGCGCAGCGTGTTGAGCGAACATACTTTAATAGTAAAGTGCAAACACGAATACAAAACAATAAACGATACGTAACGTCCTCAGACAATGACTGACAAGGAACAAAAACCCACAAACACAAGGTGAAAACAGACATTATAAATATGGCTCCCAATCAGAGACAACGAGCCAAACAGCTGACACTCGTTACCTCTGATTGGGAGTCACTCATCCAAACAAAGAAATACAACCACATAGAACAACCCAACCAAACAGAACACAACGAAACGAACACACCCTGGCTCAACATACAAAGTCCCGGAGCCAGAGCGTGACATGTATCAATTTTGACCCCTACCTTTTTGAGGAAAAAAGTATTACTTGTTAAACAAAATATTTTTCTCTGAGCAATTGTATTAGTATAATATTATATAGCATACAGAATTTGAATTATTTATTTTATACAGTCATTATAGCTCATCTTTATCAAGGGTCTCAATAATTTTGGACCCCACTGGCTAGACTATCTTACCTAGCAATCTAAAAATGTTTAGCTGACATGGGCTAATTGAGTGACTGACATAAAAAGTGAGTTTATTTCCAAAACTCTATATCCACCAATTTTTCACATTTGTGTTTTTTTCATCAGAAATGATTGCTTATGGGTACCTTCATGTGTGTGTAAAATATTACTGTTCTCATATTTTTAATTAATAGATTTGAGATGTGTATGAAAAGTTTTTTTTTTGCTAAACGCGATATATCCATTGTTTATATCCTGTATATTTGAATGTGATATGGTTGTCTCACCTAGCTATCTTAAGATGAATGCACTAAGTAAGTCGCCCTGGGTAAATGTCATATGTACACTCCCGGTCAAAAGTTTTAGAACACCTACTCATTCAAGGGTTTTTCTTTGTTTTTACTATTTTCTACATTGTAGAATAATAGTGAAGACATCAAAACTATGAAAAAAAAGTGTGCAAAGCTGTCATCAAAGCAAAGGGTGGCTATTTGAAGAATCTCAAATATAAAATATATTTTGATTTGTTTAACACTTTTTTGGTTACTACATGATTCCATATGTGTTATTTCATAGTTTTGATGTCTTCACTATTATTCTACAATGTAGAAAATAGTAAAAAATAATGAAAAACCCTTGAATGAGTAGGTGTTCTAAAACTTTTGACCGGTAGTGTAAATGTTTTACATACAGATCTCATATTACTGTACTGAATTATTATTTAAAATGTGTTAAATAAATATTGGTGTCACAAATCTATTATTGGTACATTTATTTATAAAAAATGTCGTTATTTGTTACATTTGACCGTGTAAAACCTAGCAGTACTACTTATTTCTCTGAGAGTGAGGCAGCTATATAACATTTTGCAAAAACAAACATGAATATTTGTCTCTCTGAAATGAAACCATCAAGTGATAGATTTTAAACAAATACTTTTCTGTCATTGAACAACCCCATGCCATGATTAGAGAGTGAAAAAACACACCAATCTCTTTCATAATTTCTTTAAACAATAAAAATGAATTTACCAACATTTCTGAAAATGGACATAGCGTTTTGAAATGAAACTCTTCAATTGGAAACCTGCTGATGCAATACCACATTTTTTAATTGCACATTATGTATTCTACTTTTCTAACTCTCCAAACTAAGTTGAGACCCAGATGGAGTTTATTTTTTTGGGGTCGGGGGCCCCCTAGCGGCTTTGGGGCACAGCAGTCTACGCGCAGTAGTCTGTAGTCTGTGTATAGGGAGAGGTTGAGCTGACCCATCCCATCCTGCCGCCAACCCCTCTACCCCTCCCCACAGCCACTGCCATCCACAGCCCCATCAAAGGTTAATCAGCGTGTGAAATATTTAAGTGTTAGAAGGTTTACGCAATAAATATCTTTAAGGAATACCTGGGATAGGATAAAGTAATCCTTCTACCCCCCCCCCCCCAAAAAAAAAAATAAAAATAAATAAATAAATAATAATAATAATAATAATAATTTGGAAAGTGGTTATCCCACTGGCTATAGGGTGAATGCACCAATTTGTAAGTCGCTCTGGATAAGAGCGTCTGCTAAATGACGTAAATGTGCCCTTGAGCAAGGCACTTAACCCTAATTGCTCCTGTAAGTCGCTCTGGATAAGAGCGTCTGCTAAATGACTAAAATGTAAAGAATAACAGAATAACGGCCGTGCCCTGAGCTCCTGGAGAGCCTACTGTATGAAGCCCATAGATCCAGGGCTTTCCACCCAAATTCCCTCGGCACCCAGAATGTAGGTCAGGGCAGCGGCTGCATCTCACACAGACATGACATACACTATTGCTTACAGGATACAGAGCCGAGGCAACACAGATGCACATAGGTGGTGTGTATTTACAGTGCATTCGGAAAGTATTCAGACCCCTTCACTTTTTCCACATTTTGTTACGTTACAGCCTTATTCTAAAATGGATTTAAAAAAAAGAATCCATCATCAATCTACACACAATACCACATAATGACAAAGCGAAAACAGGTTTTTAGAAATGTTAGCAAATGTATAAAAAATAAAAAACAGAAATACCTTATTTACATAAGTATTCAGACCCTTTGCTATGAGACTCGAAATTGAGCTCAGGTGCATCCTGTTTCCATTGATCATCCTTCAGATGTTTCTACAACTTGATTGGAGTCCACCTGTGGTAAATTCAACTGATTGGATATGATTTGGAAAGGCACACAGTTGACAGTGCATGTCAGAGCAAAAACCAAGCCATGAGGTCGAAGCAATTGTCCGTAGAGCTCCGAGACAGGATTGTGTCGAGGCACAGATCTGGGGAAGGGTTCCAAAAAATGTCTGCTGCATTGAAGGTCCCCAAGAACACAGTGGCCTCCATCATTCTTAAATGGAAGAAGTTTGGAACCACCAAGACTCATCCTAGAGCTGGCCGCCCGGCCAAACTGAGCAATCTGGGGAGAAGGGCCTTGGTCAGGGAGGTGAACAAGAACCCAATGGTCACTCTGACAAAGCTCCAGAGTTCCTCTGTGGAGATGGGAGAACTTTCCAGAAGGACAACCATCTCTGCAGCACTCAACCAATCAGGCCTTTATGATAGAGTGCCCAGATGGAAGCCACTCCTCAGTAAAAAGCACATGACACCCCGCTTGGAGTTGGCCAAAAGGCACCTAAAGGACTCTCAGACCATGAGAAACAAGATTCTCTGGTCTGATGAAACCAAGATTGAACTCTTTGGCTTGAATGCCAAGCATCACGTCTGGAGGAAACTTGGCACCATCCCTATGGTGAAGCATGATGGTGGCAGTGTCATGCTGTGGGGATGTTTTTTTCAGCGGAAGGGACTGGGAGACTAGTCCTTGATGAAAACCTGCTCCAGAGCGCTCAGGACCTCAGCACACAGCAAAGACAATGCAGGAGTGGCTTCGGAACTAGTCTCTGAATGTCCTTGAGTGGCCCAGCCAGAGCCTGGACTTTAACCCGATCTAACATCTCTGGAAAGACCTGAAAATAGCTGTGCAGCGACGCTCCCCATCCAACCTGACAGAGCTTGAGAGCATCTGTAAAGAAGAATGGGAGAAACTCCCCAAATACAGGTGTGCCAAGCTTGTAGCGTCATACCCCACAATACTTGAGGCTGTAATCGCTGCCAAAGGTTCTTCAACAAAGTACTGAGTAAAGGGTCTGAATACTTATGTAAATGTGATATTTCAGTTTTTATATATTTAATACATTTGCAAAAATGTAAAAAAAAAAAAAACAGTTTTTGCTTTGTCATTATGGGGTATTGTGTGTAGATTGATGAGGGGGAAAAAAACGATTAAGTCCATTTTAGAATAAGGCTGTAACGTAACAACATGTGGAAAAAGTTAAGGGGTCTGAATACTTTCCGAATGCACTGTATGTGCTGTATATCCGTGTGTCTATACAATTGTGTTTGTGTGTGTGAGATAGGATTCATTCATTTTGGTTTGGAGGTACAGATGTAGGATCTTAATTTGAGCCAGTCTGCTACAGCAGGAGAATACTCCTGATACAACAGGACATGTGATTCATTATGTGGATTATAATTAATTGACATTTTTTGTAGGGGTTGATACATTTTTCCTTAGGGGAAATCAAGTCTGACATTTTAAAGTGGACATGACAAACTTTAGAAGCATTTTTAAACCTCAAATACACTACAAATGTGCACTTCTCAGCAACAAAAGAGTGATCTTGATGGCTCAAAAACATGAGGAACAGTGATGAGAGAAAGTGTTGAAAAGGAGAGTGAGAGAGCTGACCTGTAGAAGTAGGAGCAGCCTCGGACTGTGTTGTGGCTGAAGAACTCCTGTGTCTTCTCGTTGCCAAAGTCCTCCAGAGGATCAGACCACAGTAGGTCACACATGGGCCCAAATGCTGGAGGCTCCTTGAACCGGTCTATCTACAGCAGAGAGAAACATGCTGAATTCAGACAAATGCAAATACACACATTTTCAGACATAAAAACATAAAAACATGCACACACATAGACACAGACACAGACATACACACACACACACTGGTTGGTAGGCACACACACACACACACACACACACACACACACACACACACACACACACACACACACACACACACACACACACACACACACACACACACAGACAGACAGACACACACAGGCACACACAAACAAACAAAATGCACATGTACTGTACTCAAGTATGCAAAGAAAAAAGACACAGTCAATGTGATTTTCCTATGCATGGCTTGGTACTGCCATGGTGTGGTTAAGTACCTTCTTTATGTCATCTAAGGTGTGTATTTCCGGTGAGAGTCCTCCGTGGACACACAGGAACTGCTGGTTCATGAGGGCAGCCAGGGGAAGGCAGTCAAAGGCGTCCATGCATGAATCATAAACCTGCTCCGAGTACTTGATTTTACCTGATCACCACAGAGAGGGGCAGACATAGAGACAACTGGATCAGTAGAATGATACACATAGGGACTCATCATTAGTAAAGGTGGAATCCTGATGTGAGATATGGGTTAATAGCTTCAATTGTTATTGACATTAATTCATGATTCAAACGTAAGAGAGATTTCAGCCTGCAATGGATACTCCAAGAAAGAACTAACACAATATCTCATCCTCAAGAACATCCAACCATCCTCTTTCTACACTCACACACACATAATATATGCTCTATTGTGTGATGAGACTGAGCAGAGAACAAGATGACCCCCATCATGCACTTCTTCATGAATGTATGACTAGAGACCCAGAGAACACCTCTACCTTCTGTCCCATTCCTCCCCAGAGAACACCTCTACCTTCTGTCCCATTCCTCCCCAGAGAACACTTCTACCTTCTGTCCCATTCATCCCCAGACAACACCTCTACCTTCTGTCCCATTCCTCCCCAGAGAACACCTCTACCTTCTGCCCCATTCCTCCCCAGAGAACACCTCTACCTTCTGTCCCATTCCTCCCCAGAGAACACCTCTACCTTCTGTCCCATTCCTCCCCAGAGAACACTTCTACCTTCTGTCCCATTCCTCCCCAGAGAACACCTCTACCTTCTGTCCCATTCCTCCCCAGAGAACACCTCTACCTTCTGCCCCATTCCTCCCCAGAGAACACCTCTACCTTCTGTCCCATTCCTCCCCAGAGAACACCTCTACCTTCTGTCCCATTCCTCCCCAGAGAACACTTCTACCTTCTGTCCCATTCATCCCCAGACAACACCTCTACCTTCTGTCCCATTCCTCCCCAGAGAACACTTCTACCTTCTGTCCCATTCCTCCCCAGAGAACACCTCTACCTTCTGTCCCATTCCTCCCCAGAGAACACCTCTACCTTCTGCCCCATTCCTCCCCAGAGAACACCTCTACCTTCTGTCCCATTCCTCCCCAGAGAACACCTCTACCTTCTGTCCCATTCCTCCCCAGAGAACACTTCTACCTTCTGTCCCATTCATCCCCAGACAACACCTCTACCTTCTGTCCCATTCCTCCCCAGAGAACACCTCTACCTTCTGCCCCATTCCTCCCCAGAGAACACCTCTACCTTCTGTCCCATTCCTCCCCAGAGAACACCTCTACCTTCTGTCCCATTCCTCCCCAGAGAACACCTCTACCTTCTGTCCCATTCCTCCCCAGAGAACACCTCTACCTTCTGACCCATTCCTCCCCAGAGAACACCTCTACCTTCTGTCCCATTCCTCCCCAGAGAACACCTCTACCTTCTGCCCCATTCCTCCCCAGAGAACACCTCTACCTTCTGTCCCATTCCTCCCCAGAGAACAACTCTCCCCATTCCTCCCCATCTCATCTCAGGGATCTCTGATATTGATCACAACTTCTCCTCAGATAAGCCTCTGTTTCATCTTTGTTTGTGTGTGTGTGTTTATGTTTGTGTGTGCTTATATGCGATGCAGTGTTTCATCATTAACTCTCAATCACCAACTCAGTCCTCCTCACCTCCTGCCTGCTCCTCTCCCAGATTTAACTGTCCTCCTCACCTCCTGCCTGCTCCTCTCCCAGATCTACCTGTCCTCCTCACCTCCTGCCTGCTCCTCTCCCAGATCTACCTCTCCTCCTCACCTGCCTGCTCCTCTCCCAGATCTACCTGTCCTCCTCACCTCCTGCCTACTCCTCTCCCAGATCTACCTCTCCTCCTCACCTGCCTGCTCCTCTCCCATATCTACCTGTCCTCCTCACCTCCTGCCTGCTCCTCTCTCAAGGAACAAGGCATGATATCTTTTTTCATCAATAGTGCTCCAGGTGAGACATGGTATTGATAAGTCATGGGAGAAGTAAACAGAAAGAAATAGAACATCTCTGGAGAGACAGTACTCACATTCTTGTTTGAAGGTGAAATATTCTGTCAAATGTCTACATTCGTGGTTTCCTCGCAGTAAAAATAGCGTCTTTGGGTAGAGGATTTTCAACGACCAAAGATACAAAACACACTGTCAAGAGAGTGGATAAAGAGGGTTATTAGCTCAGTTTATATACACACAAATACACACCATGATAAAATACACAGTTCGGGGCCTAAGAAAAAAGGCCTGCACCAGGCTGCAGCTTGACGATAACAAAATCAACATTATATAACATGACATGGGAATTATAAAATCAGACTGTATCACGATCAATGACTGCCCAAAGCTCAAATCAGAAAAAGCATAAAATTGACCTTTATTTGAACTCTAACAGGCCTCCATTTAATCATATATGATTATGGATGATCTCAGATGAGGGACCCCAAGCCATTGATTTGGTGACAGCTGATAAAGGTAGTGTGATAATCATGAGAATTGGTGGAGCCAGTCTGTTTAAGGATAATCAACCCCTCATGCCAACGGGAAAGCCCTCCTTTATGCAAATGCAGCGTGTCAGCATCGATTGCATTGTGACTGGATGATTCCCCCTTCCTCCTCACGGTTTTTCCGGGGCTTCAGTGCACTATAGCTCCTCGTCACGCAGAGCATGGAAGCAGCACAGTGCACGGAGTGGCACAGGGAGGGAGGCAGCAGGACAGAGATTCCATCGATCTCATCTCAGTGGAAACAGCAGAATGCCTTCAGTTTAAAGGTAGCCTCAGCAGAGAGAATGAGCTCCTGATGGCTCCTAATAGGAAAGCCCTCCAGTCAAAGCCAACCAGGTAGAGTGATAATATTGGGGATTGGTAACCTGGGGCAGAAGTCATCATAACCAGGTCTGGAGTGTGTACAGCACATTCGGAAAGTATTCAGACCCCTTGACTTTTTCCACATTTTGTTGCGTTATAGCCTTATTCTAAAATGGATTAAATTAAAACATTTCCTCATCAATCTACACACAATACCCCATAATAACAGGTTTTTCGTTTTTTTTGCAACTTTATAAATAAGTATTCAGACCCTTTGCTATGAGACTCGAAATTGGTTCGAGTCTCATAGCAAATTCAATTGATTGGACATGATTTGGAAAGGCACACACCTGTCTATATAAGGTCCCACAGTTGACAGTGCATGTCAGAGCAGAAACCAAGCCACGAGGACGAAGGAACTGTCCGTAGAGCTGTGAGACAGCATTGTGTCGAGGCACAGTTCTGGGGAAGGGTACCAAAACATTTCTGCAGCATTGAAGGTCCCCAGGAACACAGTGGCCTCCATCATACTTACATTTAAAAAGTTAGGAACCACCAAGACTCCTCCTAGAGCTGGCCGCCCGGCCAAACTGAGCAATGGGGGAGAATGGCCTTGGTCAGGGAGGTGACAAATAACCTGATGGTCACTCTGACAGAGCTCCAGAGTTCCTCTGTGGAGATGGGAGAACTTTCCAGAAGGATAACCATCTCTGCAGCACTCCACCAATCACTCCATCAGTGGCCAGACGGAAGTCACTCCTCAGTAAAAGGCACATGACAGCCCGCTTGGAGTTTGCCAAAAGGCACCTAAAGGACTCTCAGACCATGAGAAACAAGATTCTCTGGTCTGAAGAAACCAAGATTGAAGTCTTTGGCATGAATGCCAAGCGTCACGTCTGAACGAAACCTGGCACCATCCCTATGGTGAAGCATGGTGGTGGCAGCATAATGCTGTGGGGATGTTTTTCAGCGGCAGGGACTGGGAGACTAGTCAGGATCGAAGGAAAAATGAATGGAGCAAAGTACAGAGAGATCCTTGATGAAAACCTGCTCCAGAGCACTCAGGACCTCAGACTGGGGCGAAGGTTCACCTTCCAACAGGACAACGACCCTATGCACACAGCCAAGACAACGCAGGAGTGGCTTTGGGACAAGTCTCTGAATGTCCTTGAATGGCCCAGCCAGAGCCTGGACTTTAAACCGATCGAACATCTCTCGAGAGACGTAAAAATAGCTGTGCAGCGACGCTCCCCATCCAACCTGACAGAGCTTGAGAGGCTCTGCAGAGAAGTGGGAGAAACTCCCCAAATTCAGGTGTGCCAAGCTTGTTGCGTCATACCCAAGAAGACTCAAGGCTGTAATTGCTGCCAAAGGTGCTTCAACAAAGTACTGGGTAAAGGGTCTGAATACTTACAGAACCTGTCAAAGGTTTGGACACACCTACTCATTCAAGGGTTTATCTTAATTTTTTACGATTTTCTACATTGTAGAATGAAATAACACATATGGAATCATGTAGTAACCCAAAAGGTGTTAAACAAATCTAAATATATTTTATATAGCCACCCTTTGCCTTGATGACAGCTTTGCACACTCTTGGCATTCTCTCAACCAGCTTCATGAGGAATGCATTGCAATTAACAGGTGTGCCTTGCTAAAAGTTAATTTGTGGAATTTATTTCCTTCTTACAATCAGTTGTGTTGTGACAAGGTAGGGGGGGGTATACAGAAGATAGCCCTATTTGGTAAAAGACCATTTACATTTACATTTACGTCATTTAGAAGACGCTCTTATCCAGAGCGACTTACAAATTGGTGCATTCACCTTATAGCCAGTGGGATAACCACTTTACAATATGTTTTTTTATTTTTTTTATTTTTTGGGGGTGGGGTAAGGGGGGGTAGAAGGATTACTTTATCCTATCCCAGGTATTCCTTAAAGAGGTGGGGTTTCAAGTGTCTCCGGAAGATGGTGAGTGACTCCGCTGTCCTGGCGTCGTGAGGGAGCTTGTTCCACCATTGGGGTGCCAGAGCAGCGAACAGTTTTGACTGGGCTGAGCGGGAACTGTGCTTCCGCAGAGGTAGGGGGGCCAGCAGGCCAGAGGTGGATGAACGGACCAAGTCCATATTATGGCAAGAACAGCTCAAATAAGCAAAGAGAAACAACAGTCCATCATTATTTTTAAGACATGAAGGTCAGTCAATATGGAACATTTCGAGAACTTTGAAAGTTTCTTCAAATGCAGTCACAAAAACCATCAAGCGCTATGATGAAACTGGCTTTCATGAGGTCTGCCACAGGAATGGAAGGATAAGTTCATTAGAGTTACCAGCCTCAGAAATTGCAGCCCAAATAAATGCTTCACAGAGTTCAAGTAACAGACACATGTCAACATCAACTGTTCAGAGGAGACTGTGTGAATCAGGCCTTCATGGTCGAATTGCTGCAAAGAAACCACTACTAAAGGACACCAATAAGAAGAAGAGACTTGCTCGGGCCAAGAAACACGAGCAATGGACATTAGACCGGTGGAAATTTGTCCTCTGATCTGGAGTCCCACTGTCCAAATTGGAGAGTGGGTGAACGGATGATCTCCACATGTGTATTTCCCACCGTAAAGCATGGAGGAGGAGGTGTTATGGTGTGGGGGTGCTTTGCCGGTGACACTGTCTGTGATTTATTTAGAATTCAAGGCACACTTAACCAGCATGGCTACCAAAGCATTCTGCAGCGATACGCCATCCCATCTGGTTTGCGCTTAGTGGGACTATCATTTGTTTTTCAACAGGACAATGACCCAACACACCTCCAGGCTGTGTAAGGGCTATTTGACCAAGAAGGAGAGTGATGGAGTGCTGCATCAGATGACCTGGCCCCCACAATCTCCCGACCAATTAAGATGGTTTGGGATGAGTCGGGCCGCAGAGTGAAGGAAAAGCAGCCAACAAGTGCTCAGCATATGTGGGAATTCCTTCAAGACGGTTGGAAAAGCATTCCATGTGAAGCTGGTTAAGAGAATGCCAAGAGTCTGCAAAGCTGTCATCAAGGTAAAGGGAGGCTATTTGAAGAATCTCAAATATAAAATATATATTGATTTGTTTAACAATTGTTTGGTAACTACATGATTCCATATGTGTTATTTCATAGTTTTGATGTCTTTACTATTATTCTACAATGTATAAAATACTAAAAATAAAGAAAAACCCTTGAATGAGTAGGTGTGTCCAAACTTTTAACTGGTAGTGTATGTAAATGTGATATTTCTAAAAACCTGTTTTTGCTTTGTCATTATATGGTATTGTATGTAGATTGATGAGGGGAAAAAAACAATTTAATAAATTTTAAAATAAGGCTGTAACGTAACAAAATGTGGAAAAAGTGAAGGAGTCTGAATACTTTCCGAATGCACTGTATATGGTATATCTCTATGTGCATTGGATTAAATTGAGGTGTTGAAGTAAACACGTACAGACAAAGATACTAACAGTTTATGAGCATTAAGGGAGGAGGATGTTCAGTGGGTGTCTCTTACCTCGATACTGAAGTATCCCCGGTCCACATAGTCTCCCAGGAAGAGGTACCGTGTCGTGGCCGGCGAGCCACCCACTTCAAACAGCTTCATAAGGTCAAAGAACTGCCCATGGATGTCCCCACACACTGCAAAACATCACATCCCACACCATGAGAACACATAAACACATTATCACTGGGTCTGTTAGCACTACTACATACTGTACATAACAGAGGGAATTTTATAGATGATAAAGGATACAAAGGTTTGTGTGTGTGTGCTTGTTAGTCTGCCTGTGTGTGTGGTACAAAGAAATAAAGAGAGTGTGTGATGCATGCATTCCCTGTGTAAGTTAGAGTAGAAGATTTGTGCTGCTTCTCGGCTCATTGATTCTCTCAGAGAGGGAGAGAGAGAGAGAGAGAGTAAGAGAGAGAGAGAGAGCTGTAGAAGTTGCAAACTCCTGTTGCCATGGCAATGTGATTTTTATGAGAATAAATAGTTTTCATTTCTCTCGCCCTCGCGCAGTGTTGGCATGGAGATGCTGCCTGGGTTTTTGCCCCAGAGGCCTCTCTCTCTCTACCCCCAGTAGGAAGTGTGGGTGGCTCAGGGACCCTGGGCCTGGTTGAGGGAGCCTGGGAGCTTGGGACTCTGGCTGGCTGGCTGCTCCACTCCCTGCAGACAATAACAACTGGACTCTGGGAGCTCAACACTGGCACTACAGAGCAAACCTGCATCTTATTTTTTCATCTTTCCCCTGTTTTCTACTCTTTCACTCTATTTCTCTCCCACTCGCCCTCCTCCTCTCCTCTCCTGTCCTCTCTTGTCCTGTCCTGTCCTCTCCTCTCCTCTCCTCTCCTCTCCTCTCCTCTCCTCTCCTCTCCTCTCCTCTCCTCTCCCCTCCCTCCCTCCCTCCCTCTCCTCTCCTCTCCATGTCTCCTCCTATCAGCTCCACTGTGGCCTTCGCCCACTCAAAGCTCAGAGCAACGTGAGTATGTGGGAGCCTCTGCTTGTGTGACTAAAGGAATCAAACAAACACACACAGACACATGCACAAATAGCATATGTGCACAGCACATACAGTAGTACACACACAGACACACATTCATGCACATGTATGCACAGACATTTACACACAGTGCTAGGGAGAGCACAACAGTCCTACATAGAGCACCACAGTTGCAGCTCCATGCTCACAGATGTCCATGCACTGATACACACATCATCATCCATATTTCATGCTCAATAAATAAAGCATGTTAGCCTCCTTTTTGTGGTGCTAGTTTACCGGAGGGGGCAAGGACTACTCCTGTACTGTAACTAAGGTATCCTGTCTCCATTTACCATCTCCCACCAATCACTCAACCATTTCATCAGTCAGTCCACCAATCAGTCAAGGTTAGTCTACCGATTAGTCAGTCCCAGGGGGAGGAGCCAGTCTACCAATTAGTCAGTCCTGGGGGGAGGAGCCAGTCTACTAATTAATCAGTCCCAAGGGGAGGAGTCATCTGTGTGCTATGTTAATTCATAATGTGTACAACTGGCATGATGTGTACAATGGTAACCAATACCTTTCAGAGCAGGAATTAAATGAAAATGGGTACTGATAACAAATTAAACAAATATTTTTAAGAAACTATGACCCATAATGTCAGTGATACACAGTGTGCCTATTTTAAAGTAAATCATAGCACAGGAACAGGACAGACCCTGCCCCCTGTACAAATAGACTTCTACTCTCAATGGGATCACCTGTATAAACACAAGATAAATATACAATTGGCAGTTATCCGACAAAGCAAATTGGTTGAGTCTCATGTTACAGCCCAGTCTCATTGGTGCTGGATGAACACTGAACACTAGCTATACTGATGTAACATGGTGAACCTCTCCCTCCATCTCTAATACCTTACTCCAGCCCTCCTCTCCCTCCATCTCTGATACCTTACTCTCCCTCCATCTCTAATACCTTACTCTCCCTCCATCTCTAATACCTTACTCTCCCTCCATCTCTAATACCTTACTCCAGCCCTCCTCTCCCTCCATCTCTGATACCTTACTCTCCCTCCATCTCTAATACCTTACTCTCCCTCCATCTCTAATACCTTACTCTCCCTCCATCTCTAATACCTTACTCCAGCCCTCCTCTCCCTCCATCTCTAATACCTTACTCTCCCTCCATCTCTAATACCTTACTCCAGCCCTCCATCTCTAATACCTTACTCTCCCTCCATCTCTAATACCTTACTCTCCCTCCATCTCTAATACATTACTCCAGCCCTCCATCTCTAATACCTTACTCTCCCTCCATCTCTAATACCTTACTCCAGCCCTCCATCTCTAATACCTTACTCTCCCTCCATCTCTAATAACTTACTCTCCCTCCATCTCTAATACCTTACTCTCCCTCCATCTCTAATACATTACTCCAGCCCTCCATCTCTAATACCTTACTCCAGCCCTCCTCTCCCTCCATCTCTAATACCTTACTCCAGCCCTCCTGTCCTCCATGGCCTCAGTATGGGAGGAGATTCAGACATGGGGGAGGGGAGAAGAGGCTGAAGTGACCAGAACAGAACCACCATTACCACCCCCTCCTCTCTCTCTCTCTTCCCTGCTATTCCCTCTTCCATTATCTCTCTATCTTTTTCTCTCTACTACCATTCTGTTATTCACTCGTCCACATTTCCCCCATACCCACTATTTCTCTGTTTCCCTCTATTTCTTTCCCTTCTCTGTCACTCTCTCACACCATTCTTCAATCTCTTCATTTCTGGAGGCAGTATTATGTAAGTTTGTCTGCATCTACCATCCCATGACTACTGGGCTTAATGACAGAGGAACGACTAAATCCGATAACAACGAGGATGTGTATGTGATCCAGCATCCAGAGATGCGCGAGTGAGTGTGCATTTGCTGCGCTGTTGTGTGTTTTCAGGTTTATGTGTGTGCGTGCGTGTTTTTACAGTAAGCGCCTTTGTGTGCGGATTGGTTGTGTGCACGTGTTGATGGTTAGTCTAACACCTTTGTTCATAATGACTTGCTCAGATTAGCCAAAACTAGGGCAAATTAAACCTTGAAAACATGTATTATTAATGTCAAGACTGTATTAAATATGCAAGAAGCTATGTGCATGCTTAGTAGCTGTCATAGTAAATAGGTCTACCTCCTATGTGATTGGACGTAATGGCAAATACATTTACTCTTGCTATTGTTTCCCAGTACCATCAAAAAGCAGTGTAGCTATACCACATGTCTATCTACAACAAACAAACATGCATGCACGCACACGTAAACTCTCTCCCTCTCTCGCAATTGCATCTAAATGGCTTCTCACATTTAAAATATCCAAAGGAGCATAGTATTTTTGAAAGGGTATATCAGTCCATTTGGACCACCTGGGTGCTCCAGCAGGCAGGCAGCTATGGCTGGGATGTAATCATGCTCTGTGGTGTGGATGAGTCAGGACTGAGGGGTTGATCAGCACTACCATCACTGTGGGCTGGATGGCTATCAGCCCAGGGACAAAAGGTGCCACTGGGCTCCTGGTAGAGTCAGTGTATAGGCAGGCTGAACTAGGGGAATCCAGAGGGGTCTTGTGTGACCTTGTCGCAAAAGTAAAAATGTCCAATGGTGCTAGAGTAAACAAACAAGCAAATAGAAATCCCACGGCTTAACAAACCTGCACTTGTCTTTTTGTACTAGCACTGACTTTGCTGATACCAACACTCTTAGAAAAAGGGTGCTATCTAGACTCTAAAAGGGTTCTTCGGCTGTCCCCATAGGAGAACCCTTTCAAGAACCCTTTTTGGTTCCCGGTAGAACCCTATTGGGTTCCATGTAGAACCCTTTCCCAGAGGGTTCTACATGGAACCCAAAATAGTTTATCCTGAACCAAAAAGGGTTCTACCCAGAACCAGAAAAGGTTATCCTATGGGGACAGCCAAATAACCCTTTTTGAACCCTTTTTTCTAAGAGTGTACTTTATTGAGGGAAAATGTACTTGCTACGACTGTGATATGTGATCCCTGCAATAGGAAAGGCCAGAAGGGCTGCTAGCATTAGCTAGCGGTAGTTGTTGATGTTAGCATATGTTAGCTAGCTTGCTTGCTAATATATGAGTAGGGCATACCTAACAACGTGTACCATTTGAATATAAGCAAGCTAAAAGCCTGAAGAATCCCACACAAACTATGTGCTGGACTGTTCAGCCATATTGATTTAAAAAGGAAACACATCTACAGATGTAGGATCTTAATTTGAGCCAGTTTGCTACAGCAGGAAAATAATCCTGCAGCAACAGGACATTTTAAATATTATGTGGATTGTAATTAATGGACATTTTTGTAGGGGTTGATACATTTTTTAGAAAGGGAAAATCAAGTCTGAAATTTCAAATTGGAAATTACAAACTTCAGAAGCCTTTTTAAACCTAAAATACACTACATGTTTTAAATGTCCTTCATTTCAGGACTACAGTGCGATCAAATTAACATCATACATCTGTACTCATATTGAGTTGAGTTATCCCAACATGATGGTGAGGTCATATGCAGGTGAGGTGACGATCTTCCACTACGGCTCATAAGATAAACTGCTGCATTGATTGGTTGAACAAGCCTCAATGTACTGTGTTCCTCATCACGTATAAGTGCCTGTCCATCCATGTCTGTCTGAGAGGCAAAACAACACTCAACATTGATCTGATCCTTGAAAAGAAAGATGAAGAGAGATGCAGAGCGCTTGATGTGCTGATGTGCTTAAGGAATATATTATTGTTCCATGACCATAATGCAGATGATACTGAAAGTGACAGCTACCTGCTATGGGACGCTGCATATAGAGTCCTGCTTTGATGTCTCTACCATTCATCTTCATTTCAACTCCTGTCAGGTACTTTGGAGTTTATTTTTGTATTTCAGGTCAAGAACTCACTCCCAGTCTCTCTTGTCTTCCTGTTTCACTTTTTCAGACACTCACACTCCTACTAGCCTACTAGTATTTGCTTACAGTCATACACCTTCGTACACAGACATACATCTATACACCAAACGAAAGTACTTTCTCCCAGAGTTTACTCCAGAGCTCAGACTCACTCTCAGACTAACCTGCTCATAAAATAGTCCCTCAATCGGAAGCACTTTAAGCCCACGGACCCACTTTCACAGCTACCACAGGCATAATACTCTTTCTCACTCGCCACTGGACAAAATAACCAGCATAAATCATACCCATTCTGACAGCAGGTCTTCAACATTTTGATACTACACCCTTCCTTCTCACTGTTGATGTGAATGCTGTGAATGCTGTGAATGCTGTGAATGGTGTGAATGTTGTGAATGTTGTGAATGCTGTGAATGCTGTGAATGCTGTGAATGCTGTGAATGCTGTCAATGCTGTGAATGTTGTGAATGCTGTGAATGTCAGTCAGTGTGTTTCACCAGAGTGTAAGTTAAAGGTGATCCCTGCTTCTAACCTGTGACTGGTGCTTCTATGTCCAGCATGGTTTTCTCCTGGCGCAGGATGGCGGCACCCTCGTTGACGATGCGTAGTGCCACAGCCTCCTCCACGCGGCCCTCCTTGGTGAGGTGGGCTTTGAGCAGGTCCACCCTGGGCTTCCCCTCACAGTCAAACACCTCCTTCAATGTGAGGCGATGACTCAGGGGGAAGGGCACGGCTGTGGAGAGAACAGAGACAACCCAGTGAGACAACCCAGTGAGACAACACAGTGAGACAACACAACTCAATGGTCCACAGAACACAGTGAAACTACGGAAAGCCATTCATTTTCAACTGAAGTGAAGTGAAGTGAAGTGAAGTGAAGTGGGCGATGTGAGCATGGGCGACGGAGTGTGAACACGGCGGGACCTAATTTGGGGAAAGCAGAACTTTATGCAAATACTCAGCGATCGCGCCGCGTTTCACCAATCGAAGCTCACTATAGCTTCCAGCCCCTACTGGATTAGCTGTTGATACCTAGCACCACAAATGCTAGTTAAGAGCTGCGGCGTGGCGCTGTTAGTGGCCATGGTGCTGAACCGGTTTACCAGTCCCTTGTTTAAGTCTGCTCAGATCGTGGTGCTGTCTGCGGTGCTGAATGTTTGTGCGCAGCTATAAGGACACAACAAAGCCTACATAGATACTCTATCCTCCAATACTGTAGATGAAACTGCTCAACCCGCTTTTCAATTATGGTGTTTATATGCATAACGCTAACCCTGCCCTTAGAGACACCTAAAAGTGTCTCATAAATTGTAGAGGGGGAAAAGTTCTGTCTCAGATTGCATGACTGTAAACAGAGTGCGTGAGGTCTGCCGTCAGTCTGAAACCAGTTCTGTCTCAGATTGCATGACTGTAAACAGAGTGCGTGAGGTCTGCCGTCAGTCTGAAACCAGTTCTGTCTCAGATTGCATGACTGTAAACAGAGTGCGTGAGGTCTGCCGTCAGTCTGAAACCAGTTCTGTCTCAGATTGCATGACTGTAAACAGAGTGCGTGAGGTCTGCCGTCAGTCTGAAACCAGTTCTGTCTCAGATTGCATGACTGTAAACAGAGTGCGTGAGGTCTGCCGTCAGTCTGAAACCAGTTCTGTCTCAGATTGCATGACTGTAAACAGAGTGCGTGAGGTCTGCCGTCAGTCTGAAACCAGTTCTGTCTCAGATTGCATGACTGTAAACAGAGTGCGTGAGGTCTGCCGTCAGTCTGAAACCAGTTCTGTCTCAGATTGCATGACTGTAAACAGAGTGCGTGAGGTCTGCCGTCAGTCTGAAACCAGTTCTGTCTCAGATTGCATGACTGTAAACAGAGTGCGTGAGGTCTGCCGTCAGTCTGAAACCAGTTCTGTCTCAGATTGCATGACTGTAAACAGAGTGCGTGAGGTCTGCCGTCAGTCTGAAACCAGTTCTGTCTCAGATTGCATGACTGTAAACAGAGTGCGTGAGGTCTGCCGTCAGTCTGAAACCAGTTCTGTCTCAGATTGCATGACTGTAAACAGAGTGCGTGAGGTCTGCCGTCAGTCTGAAACCAGTTCTGTCTCAGATTGCATGACTGTAAACAGAGTGCGTGAGGTCTGCCGTCAGTCTGAAACCAGTTCTGTCTCAGATTGCATGACTGTAAACAGAGTGCGTGAGGTCTGCCGTCAGTCTGAAACCAGTTCTGTCTCAGATTGCATGACTGTAAACAGAGTGCGTGAGGTCTGCCGTCAGTCTGAAACCCTCCCAAAATGTAGCCTACTTTAATTCCAGAGTCTATTATCATTTATTCATCGCTGTAAATTGACAATGTGGTGGGTGGAATAAAAATGGACTCTTTTTATGCGAGACTCAAAAATCCATATTCTGAAATATGTATAAACAGTTTAATAAAGTCTGATCAACAGAGAGTAAAAAGGTCTTACATTTACCACCACTATCCGAATGAGTAGTTCCTGTACGTATTTCTAAACCCTAATATGAGGGAAATTATTGTATTGTATCTCAACATGGGATGCAGTGTTTTCTGATTCAAAGCTAATAATACTGTAATACCACAGGAAACAATACTTGAATTTGAAGTAATCACTTCACTGGGTCATTAATGAAATCTCAGTCCACGAATAAAGTAGTACGTAACTACCAGGCAACCTCTGAAAACATCACATCCAACTCATGTTCATTGCTTTGGGAGCAACAAAGGTCATTTTCTGCTTTGGTTGGCTTTTTTGTGCTGCATAATATAAAAGTATCCAACCAAAAATCATAAAGTAGCCACGCTTGCTGATGCAGCAGCCTTTCTCATTGCTGGACCTGAGGCCTTACTATGAACTCAGGTTTGCATTCCAATCAATCATAGACAATTATGTTTGATTCAGATTGGATACTAAACTAAATGTGACACCATTGTGCTCGTAAGTATACAGTGCATTCGGAAAGTATTCAGACCTCTTGACTTTTTCCACATTTTGTTACGTTACAGCCTTATTCTAAATTGGATTAAAAGTAATGAATATTTGTGTAAATAAGGTATTTCTGTTTTTTATTTGTAATACATTTGCACACATTTCTCAAAATGTTTTCGCTTTGTCATTATGGGGTATTGTGTGTAGATTGATGAAGAAAAAAACTATTTAATCAATTTTAGAATAAGGCTGTAACGTAACAAAATGTGGAAAAAGTCAAGGGGTCTGAATACTTTCCAAATGCACTGTATCTCAGGGACCAGTTAGAATGAAAATCAGCACACATCAGGTAGGTCCTTTGACCAATAGCACAATGTACCTGTGAACTCACAGTTATATAGAGCCTTGATGGTTTTCATCAGTGTTGGGGAAGCTACTTTGAAAATATAAGCTAACCATTACATCACACTGGAAGAAGTTAAGCTACACAAGCTGCTCTTCAGAAAAATATAGTTTACTTACATCCACAACTATTTAGTGAAAGATTATCATATGTAAATCTGAAATGTCTTAGACTACAAAATGAAAGACAGATCACTTTGGGGTAATATGTTAACAGAGTGTGTAGCCTAATTTTACCTATCAAGCACACAGAAAACTGTTTTTCAAGTGAGAATTAGGCAGGTCTGATGCCAGAAAATAAAGAACATTATAGCCTACATCGTCCAGAGTTTATTTTTGTGTTCCAGTAGTTAGCTACAGTGCTACATTGCTAAAAAGTAATTAACTACACAAAACACTACCTAGATTTGAATTTAGTTCAACTACCACAAAGCTACTGCAAAATGTAGTTAGTTTAACTAAATGTAGTTCACTACTCCCCAACAATGGTTTTCATCACCCAATAACACTACTGTACAAACCTATAAAAGTATTTGATTGGATAGAGATTCCTCTAACCAGTGTCTGAGCTCCAAAGCTGTTGCTGACTGAAGTGCAATAATGAAAAACAACAGATATCATGACCTTTCATGCCTATAAAGCGGAGATGTCTTCCAACTCCTGCTATATGTGTCACACACACACACACACACACACACACACACACACACACTAGATATACACTACCGTTCAAAAGTTTGGGGTCACTTAGAAATGTCATTGTTTTCCATGAAAACATACATGAAATGAGTTTGAATAGGAAATATAGCAAAATGAATAGGAAATGTAATCATTGACAAGGTTAGAAATAATGATTTTTAATTGAAATAATAATTGTGTCCTTCAAACTTTGCTTTTGTCAAAGAATCCTCCATTTGCAGCAATTACTGCCTTGTAGACCTTTGGCATTCTAACTGTCAATTTGTTGAGGTAATCTGAAGAGATTTCACCCCATGCTTCCTGAACATCTCCCACAAGTTGTATTGGTTTGATGGGGACTTCTTACGTAACATACGGTCAAGCTGCTCCCACAACAGCTCAATAGGGTTGAGATCCGGTGACTGTGCTGGCCACTCCATTATAGACAGAATACCAGCTGACTGCTTCTTCCCTAAATAGTTCTTGCATAGTTTGGAGCTGTGCTTTGGGTCGTTGTCCTGTTGTAGGAGGAAATTGGTTCCAATCAAGCGCCGTCCACAGGGTATGGCATGGCGTTGCAAAATGGAGTGATAGCCCGTTTAACCTGTACAAATCTCCCACTTTACCTCCACCAAAGCACCCCCAGACCATCACATTGCCTCCACCATAATTGACAGATGGCATCAAGCACTCCTCCAGCATCTTTTCATTTGGTCTGCATCTCACAAATGTTCCTCTTTGTGATCCGAACACCTCAAACTTCGATCAGTCTGTCCATAACACTTTTTTCCAATCTTCCTCTGTCCAGTGTCTGTGTTCTTTTGCCCATCTTAATATTTTCTTTTTATTGGCCAGTCTGACATATAGCTTTTTCTTTGCAACTCTGCCTAGAAGGTCAGCATCACGGAGTCGCCTCTTCACTGTTGACGTTGAGACTGGTGTTTTGCGGGTACGATTTAATGAAGCTGCCAGTTGAGGACCTGTGAGGCGTCTGTTTCTCAAACTAGACACTCTAATGTACTTGTCCTCTTGCTCAGTTGTGCACCGGGGCCTCCCACTCCTCTTTCTATTCTGGTTAGAGCCAGTTTGCACTGTTCTGTGAAGGGAGTAGTACACAGCGTTGTACGAGATCTTCAGTTTCTTGGCAATTTCTCGCATGGAATAGCCTTCATTTCTTAGAACAAGAATAGACTGACGAGTTTCAGAAGAAAGTTATTTGTTTGTGGCCATTTTGAGCCTGTAATCGAACCCACAATTGCTGATGCTCCAGATACTCAACTAGTCTCAAGAAGGCCATTTTTATTGCTTCTTTAATCAGCACAACAGTTTTCAGCTGTGCTAACATAATTGCAAAAGGGTTTTCTAATGATCAATTAGCCTTTTAAAATGATAAACTTGGATTAGCAAACACAACGTGACATTGGAACACAGGACTGATGGTTGCTGATAATGGGCCTCTGTACGCCTATGTAGATATTCCATTAAAAATCAGCCGTTTCCAGCTACAATAGCCATTTACAACATTAACAATGTCTACACTGTATTTCTGATCAATTTGATGTTATTTTAATGGACAAAAAAATTGCTTTTCTTTTGAAAACAAGGACATTTCTAAGTGACCCCAAACTTTTGAACAGTAGTGTATATACAGTGCATTCGGAAAGTATTCAGACCCCTTTACTTTTTCCACATTTTATTACGTTACAGCCTTATTCTAAAATGGATTAAATAGTTTTTTCCCCTCATCAATCTACACACAATACCCCATAATGACAAAGCCAAAACTGGTTTTTAGACATTTCTGCACATTTATTAAAAATAAACAACTACATTTCACATTTATATAAGTATTCAGACCCTTTACTCAGTACTTTGTTGAAGCAAGCAATTACAGCCTTGAGTCTTCTTGGGTTTGATGCTACAAGCTTGGCACACCTGTATTTGGGGAGTTTCTCACATTTTTCTCTGCACATCCTCTCAAACTCTGTCAGGTTGGATGGGGAGTGTCGCTGCACAGCTATTTTCAGGTCTCTCTAAAGATGTTCGATCGGGTTCAAGTCCGGGTTCTGGCTGGGCCACTCAAGGACATTCAGAGACTTGTCCCGAAGCCACTCCTGCGTTGTCTTGGCTGTGTGCTTAGGGTCATTGTCCTGTTGGAAGGTGAACCTTCACCACAGTCTGAGCGCTCAAGAGCAGGTTTTCATCAAGGATCTCTTCTGTACTTTGCTCAGTTCGTCTCTCCCTTGATCCTGTACAGTCTCCCAGTCCCTGCCACTGAAAAACATCCCCACAGCATGATGCTGCCACCACCATGCTTCACCGTAGGGATGGTGCAAGGTTTTCTCCAGACGTGACGCTTGTCATTCAGGCCAAAGAGTTCAATCTTGGTTCCATCAGACCAGAGAATCTTGTTTCTCATGGTCTGAGAGTCCTTTAGGTGCCTTTTGGCAAACTCCAAGCGGGCCGTCATGTACCTTTTACTGAGGAGTGGCTTCCGTCTGGCCACTCTACCATAAAGGCCTGATTGGTGGAGTGCTGCAGAGATGGTTGTCCTTCTGGAAGTTTCTCCCATCTCCACAGAGGAACTCTGTGGAGTGTGCAAAGCTGTCATCAAGAGTGTTCAAAGATGTCATCAAGGCAAAGGATGGCTACTTGAAGAATCTAAAATATAAAATATATTTTGATTTGTTTAACACTTTTTTAGTTACTACATGATTCCATATGTGTTATTTCATAGTTTTGATGTCTTCACTATTATTCTACAATGTAGAAAATAGTAGAAATAAAGAAAAACCCTTGAATGAGTAGGTGTGTCCAAACTTTCGGCTGGTCCTGTATATATATACGTATGTGGACACCCCTTCAAATTAGAGGATTCGACTATTTCAGCCACACCAGTTGCTGACAGGTGTATAAAATCGAGCACACAGACATGCAATCTCCATAGACAAAAATTGGCAGTAGAATGGTCTTACTGAAGAGCTCAGTGACTTTCAATGTGGCACCGTCATAGGATGCCACCTTTCCAACAAGTCAGTTCGCCCTGCTAGAGCTGCCACGGTTAACTGTACGTGCTGTTATTGTGAAGTGGAAACGTCTAGGAGCAACAACGGTTCAGCCCCGAAGTGGTAGCCCACTCAACTTCACAGAACGGGACCGCCAAGTGCTGAAGCGTGTAGCGCGTAAAAATCGTCTGTCCTCAGTTGCAGCACTCACTACCGAGTTCCAAACTGCCACTGGAAGCAACGTCAGCACAAGAACTGTTCGTCGGGAGCTTCATGAAATGGGTTTCCATGGCCAAGCAGCCACACAGAAGCCTAAGATCACCATGTGCAATGCATAGTGCCAACTGTAAAGTTTGGTGGAGGAGGAATACAGTGAGGGAAAAAAGTATTTGATCCCCTGCTGATTTTGTACGTTTGCCCACTGACAAAGAAATGGTCAGTCTATAATTTTCATGGTAGGTTTATTTGAACAGTGAGAGACAGAATAACAACAACAACAAATCCAGAAAAACGCATGTCAAAAATGTTATAAATTAATTTGCATTTTAATGAGGGAAATAAGCATTTGACCCCCTCTCAATCAGAAAGATTTCTGGCTCCCAGGTGTCTTTTATACAGGTAACGAGCTGAGATTAGGAGCACACTCTTAAAGGGAGTGCTCCTAATCTCAGCTTGTTACCTGTATAAAAGACACCTGTCCACAGAAGCAATCAATCAATCAGATTCCAAACTCTCTACCATGGCCAAGACCAAAGAGCTCTCCAAGGATGTCAGGGACAATATTGTAGACCTACACAAGGCTGGAATGGGCTACAAGACTATCGCCAAGCAGCTTGGTGAGAAGGTGACAACAGTTGGTTCGCAAAAGGAAGAAACACAAAATAACTGTCAATCTCCCTCGGCCTGGGGCTCCATGCAAGATCTCACCTTGTGGAGTTGCAATGATCATGAGAACGGTGAGGAATCAGCCCAGAACTACACGGGAGGATCTTGTCAATGATCTCAAGGCAGCTGGGACCATAGTCACCAAGAAAACAATTGGTAACACACTACGCCGTGAAGGACTGAAATCCTGCAGCGCCTGCAAGGTCCCCCTGCTCAAGAAAGCACATATACAGGGCCGTCTGAAGTTTGCCAATGAACATCTGAATGATTCAGAGAACTGGGTGAAAGTGTTGTGGTCAGATGAGACCAAAATCGAGCTCTTTGGCAACAACTCAACTCGCCGTGTTTGGAGGAGGAGGAATGCTGCCTATGACCCCAAGAACACCATCCCCACCATCAAACATGGAGTTGGAAACATTATGCTTTGGGAGTGTTTTTCTGCTAAAGGGACAGGACAACTTCACAGCATCAAAGGGACGATGGACGGCACCATGTACTGTCACATCTTGGGTGAGAACCTCCTTCCCTCAGCCAGGGCATTGAAAGTAGGTTGTGGATGGGTATTCCAGCATGACAATGACCCAAAACACACGGCCAAGGCAACAAAGGAGTGGCTCAAGAAGAAGCACATTAAGGTCCTGGAGTGGCCTAGCCAGTCTCCAGACCTTAATCCCATAGAAAATCTTTGGAGGGAGCTGAAGGTTAGAGTTGCCAAACACCAAGGCTCGAAACCTTAATGACATCTGCAAAGAGGAGATGTGTGCAAACCTGGTGGCCAACTACAAGAAACGTCTGACCTCTGTGATTGCCAACAAGGGTTTTGCCACCAAGTAGTAAGTCATGTTTTGCAGAGGGGTCAAATACTTATTTCCCTCATTAAAATGCAAATCAATTTATAACATTTTTGACATGCGTTTTTCTAGATTTGTTGTTGTTATTCTGTCTCTCACTGTTCAAATAAACCTACCATTAAAATTATAGACTGATCATGCCTTTGTCAGTGGGCAAACGTACAAAATCAGCAGGGGATCAAATACTTTTTTCCCTCACTGTAATGGTCTGGGGCTGTTTTTCATGGTCTGGGCTAGGTCCCTTAGTTCCAGTGAAGGGAAATCTTAACGCTACAGCATACAATGACATTCTAGATGATTCTGTGCTTCCAACTTTGTGGCAACAGTTTGGGGAAGGCCCTTTCCTGTTTCAGCATGACAATGCCCCCATGCATAAATTGAGGTCCATACAGAAATGGTTTGTCGAGATCGGTGTGGAAGAACTTGACCGGCCTGCTCAGAGCCCTGACCTCAACTCCATTGAACACCTTTGGGATGAATTGGAACGCCAACTGTGAGCCAGGCCTAATCGCCCAACATCAGTGCCCGACCTTACTAACGCTCTTGTGGCTGAATGGAAGCGGGTTCCCGCAGCAATGCTCCAACATCTAGTGGAAAGCCTTCCCAGAAGAGTGGAGGCTGTTATAGCAGCAAAGGGAGAACCAACTCCATATTAATGCCCATGGTTTTGGAATGAGATGTTCGACGTGCAGGTGTCCACATACTTTTGGTCATGTACTGTCTATATAGCAATATTGCAAAGTTTTTTTCTGTGATTTGTGTTGCTCTGTGCATGTGGCTATGGGGGAATGGAATGGAACAGAAAGAGGAGAGAGATCTGCGACTTGAGGCTCAACGTGATCAACATGCTGCTAAATAATGGATGTTTGACTAGAGGGGGAAAAAGAGAAATCTCATGTTGCTACTGCTGGGATAATGAGCCAGGAATGGCATGGGGTAAAGACATCCCATTCAACAGAGTGTGTGTGTGTGTGAAAGTAGGATTGTTAGTGTGTGTGCCTACAGTGCCTTCAGAAACTATTCACACCCCTTGACTTATTCCACATTTTGTTGCGTTACAGCCTGAATTCAAAATGGATTAAATATATTTTTTCTCACCCATCTACACACAATACCCCATAATGACTAAGTGAAAACATGTTTTTAGAAATGTTTGCAAATGTATTGAAAATGAAATACAAAAATAACTAATTTACATAAGTATTCACACCCCTGAGTCAATACATGTAAGAATCACCTTTGGCAGCGATTACAGCTGTGAGTCTTTCTGGGTAAGTCTCTAAGAGCTTTGCACACCTGGATTGTACAATTATTAATACATTATTATTTTTGCTAGACAACCATTTTCAAGTCTTGCCATAGATTTTCAATTAGATTAAGTCAAACCTGTAACTCGGCCACTCAGAAACATTTTCTTGGTAAGCAACTCCATTTGTCCTTGTGTTGTAGGTTATTGTCTTGCTGGAAGGTGAATTCATCTCCCAGTGTCTGGTGGAAAGCAGACTGAACCAGGTTTTCCTCTAGGATTTTGCCTGTGCTAAGCTCCATTCCGTTTCTTTTTTATACTGAAAAACTCCCCAGTCCTTAATGATTACAAGCATACCCATAACATGATGCAGCCACCACTATGCTTGAAAATATGGAGAGTGGTACTCAGTAATGTGTTATATTGGATTTGCCCCAAACATAACACTTTGTATTCAGGACAAAAAGTGATTTGTTTTGCCACATCATTTGCAGTATTACTTTAGTGCCTTGTTGCAAAAAGGATGCATGTTTTTGAGTATTTTTATTCTGTACAAGCTTCTTCCTTTCCACTCTGTCAATTAGGTTAGTATTGTGGAGTAACTACAACACATCCTCAGTTGTCTCCTATCACAGCCATTAAACTCTGTAACGGTTATTTATGTAGTTAAAAAAAATAAAATTGTACTTTTTACCCCTTTTTCTCCCCAATTTCGTGATGTCCAATTGGTAGTTACAGTCTTGCCCCATTGCTGCAACTCCCGTACAGACTCAGGAGAGGCGAAGGTCGAGAGCCATGCATCCTCCGAAACACGACCCTGCCAAGACGCACTGCTTCTTGACACACTGCTTGCTTAACCCGGAAGCCAACCGCATCAATGAGTAAACGCCGTACAACTGGCAACTGAAGTCAGCGTGCATGCGCCCGGCCCGCCTCAAGAAGTCGCTACAGCGCGATGGGACAAGGACATCCCAGCCGGCCAAACCCTCCCCTAACCCGGATGGCGCTGGGCCAATTGTGCGCTGCCTCATGGGTCTCCCAGTCGCGGCCGGCTGCGACACAGCCTGGGATCGAACCCGGGTCTGTAGTGATCCACTCGGCAGAAACTCTGTAACTGTTTTAAGGTCACCATTGGCCTCATGGTGAAATCCCTGAGCGGTTTCCTTCCTCTCCGGCAACTGAGTTAGGAAGGACACCTGTATCTTGGTAGTGACTGGATGTATAGATACACCATCCAAAGTGTCATTAATAACTTTACCATGCTCAAAGGGATATTCAATGTAGGCCTTTTTTTTAAATCTACCAATAGGTGCCCTTATTTGTGAGGCATTGGAAAACCTCCTGGTCTTTGTGTTTGAATCTGTGTTTGAAATTCACTGCTCGACTGAGGGACCTTACAGATAATGGTATGGGGTACAGAGATGAGGTGGTCATTAAAACATTCTGTTAAATGCTATTATTGCACACATAGTGAGTCCTTACGACTTATTATGTGTCTTGTTAAACACATTCTTACTCCTGAACTTATTTAGGCTTGCCATAACAAATGGGTTGAATACTTATTGACTTAAGACATTTCAGCTTTTATGGGGTATTGTGTGTAGGCCAGTAACAAAAAAATTGCTATTTAATCTATTTTTACTTCATGATTTAACACAACAAAATGTGGAAAAAGTCAAGGGGTGTGAATATTATCTGAAGGCACTGTACTGTATGTGTTTTGGGCTTGTGTATTTGCCGGAACTGTGAATGTTAATGTGTTTGTTTCTGAGCTTACATAGACTGTAGGTGTGTATGCCTGACTGTATTGTGTTTCCACATATAGGCCTATGTACAAATTTGTGCAACTACTTGGAGCGAATAAATGTGCCTGTGTCTTCATGTTTGTAAAAGGACACGCTGTACATTCTACTGAATTTGGAGGCTCCTAAGTGTTCCCCCTCGACACTATGAAGCAGATAGTGTTGTCATTGTTAGCAGGAACAGGATGAGGCAGATCTGTTTAATCAAGAGAACGTGTCACAATCTCAGTGGTCTGTCTGATGCATCTGTGACTCAGTCTAACCAACGGACGTCACTGAAAAGCCATTCTAATGGACCTAAAGAGCCCGAATGATAGAACTGTAATGGTAGAGACCTAATAAAGATACTAGAGATACTGATACTGCATGTCCTGTATGATTGTAGACTTGTGTTTGAGTATGTGAGTGGGCGTCATTGATTTAGTGTATTAACTCAACAGCTCTTCAACTCTAATAGACTGAGAAGAGAGAGAGAGAGAGAGAGGAGAGAGAGAGAGAGAGAGAGAGGAGAGAGAGAGAGAGAGAGAGAGAGAGAGAGAGAGAGAGAGAGAGAGCTCACTTCGACTGGGAGCCCAGGCTGAGTTTAACTGTGGTGCCGGGCAACAGCAGCTGACTATTGGAGTACAGCCAGTGCTGTATACTGTGATTTGCTCACATAGATAACCTACACATAATGTACAGAGACACATACAGTGGGGAAAAAAAGTATTTAGTCAGCCACCAATTGTGCAAGTTCTCCCACTTAAAAAGATGAGAGAGGCCTGTAATTTTCATCATAGGTACACGTCAACTATGACAGACAAAATGAGAAAAAGAAATCCAGAAAATCACATTGTAGGATTTTTAATTAATTTATTTGCAAATTATGGTGGAAAATAAGTATTTGGTCAATAACAAAAGTTTCTCAATACTTTGTTATCTACCCTTTGTTGGCAATGACACAGGTCAAACGTTTTCTGTAAGTCTTCACAAGGTTTTCACACACTGTTGCTGGTATTTTGGCCCATTCCTCCATGCAGATCTCCTCTAGAGCAGTGATGTTTTGGGGCTGTCGCCAGGCAACATGGACTTTCAACTCCCTCCAAAGATTTTCTATGGGGTTGAGATCTGGAGACTGGCTAGGCCACTCCAGGACCTTGAAATGCTTCTTACGAAGCCACTCCTTCGTTGCCCGGGCGGTGTGTTTGGGATCATTGTCATGCTGAAAGACCCAGCCACGTTTCATCTTCAATGCCCTTGCTGATGGAAGGAGGTTTTCACTCAAAATCTCACGATACATGGCCCCATTCATTCTTTCCTTTACACGGATCAGTCGTCCTGGTCCCTTTGCAGAAAAACAGCCCCAAAGCATGATGTTTCCACCCCCATACTTCACAGTAGGTATGGTGTTCTTTGGATGCAACTCAGCATTCTTTGTCCTCCAAACACGACGAGTTGAGTTTTTACCAAAAAGTTCTATTTTGGTTTCATCTGACCATATGACATTCTCCCAATCCTCTTCTGGATCATCCAAATGCACTCTAGCAAACTTCAGACGGGCCTGGACATGTACTGGCTTAAGCAGGGGGACACGTCTGGCACTGCAGGATTTGAGTCCCTGGCGGGGTAGTGTGTTACTGATGGTAGGCTTTGTTACTTTGTTCCCAGCTCTCTGCAGGTCATTCACTAGGTCCCCCCGTGTGGTTCTGGGATTTTTGCTCACCGTTCTTGTGATCATTTTGACCCCACGGGGTGAGATCTTGCGTGGAGCCCCAGATCGAGGGAGATTATCAGTGGTCTTGTATGTCTTCCATTTCCTAATAATTGCTCCCACAGTTGATTTCTTCAAACCAAGCTGCTTACCTATTGCAGATTCAGTCTTCCCAGCCTGGTGCAAGTCTACAATTTTGTTTCTGGTGTCCTTTGACAGCTCTTTGGTCTTGGCCATAGTGGAGTTTGGAGTGTGACTGTTTGAGGTTGTGGACAGGTGTCTTTTATACTGATAACAAGTTCAAACAGGTGCCATTAATACAGGTAACGAGTGGAGGACAGAGGAGCCTCTTAAAGAAGAAGTTACAGGTCTGTGAGAGCCAGAAATCTTGCTTGTTTGTAGGTGACCAAATACTTATTTTCCACCATAATTTGCAAATAAATTCATAAAAAATCCTACAATGTGATTTTTGGATTTTTTTCCCTCAATATGTCTGTCATAGTTGACGTGTACCTATGATGAACATTACAGGCCTCTCTCATCTTTGTAAGTGGGAGAACTTGCACAATCGGTGGCTGACTAAATACTTTTTTTCCCCACTGTAGTTCTTATTTTTCTCCTTATCCGAAGCACACTTTACCCAAGACAATGCTCGAAGCCACTGGTTCTCAACTGGTTTTGCCTCGAGACCCAAATTGAACCAGGTTGTCTCAGTCGTGATCCAATATTCGCATCGTTATTGTTTTTGTTGCCTAAATGCAATCTGGAAAACTGTTTTTAATACTATATTGATAGTAAATCTACAAATGGTATGACAAGGGAACAGTCACACCTTTCTCATTGTAGTAATTCCATTTTCCCATATTCTTGATGAAGAATGTTAAGGTCACTGGTTTGAGACCACAAAATCAACCAAATGCACTAAATAGCACTGCTAATAACTCTACATTGAAAATACTGTGATAGAAGAAAAATAGTTCAGAGGTTAAATTATATAAACAAAAAATAGGTTCATTATCATTTCTACACACCTTCTACCTGGTTTTAGTCATTTAAATTCAGACTGGAGTATTTTTCATCAAACATTTAAAATGAGTGTATACAGTGCATTCGGAAAGTATTCTGACCCCTTCACTTTTTCAAAATGTTGTTAGGTTACAGCCTTATTCTAAAATGGATTAAATTGTTTTTTCCCCTCATCAATCTACACACAATACCCCATAATGAAAAAGCAAAAACAGGTTTGAAGAGTTTTTTGCTGATTTATAATAAAAAAAAACAGAAATATCACATTTACATAAGTATTCAGACCCTTTACTTAGTACTTTGTTGAAGGACCGTTGGCAGTGATTACAGCCTCGAGTCTTCTTCGGTATGACACTATAAGCTTGGCACACCTGTATTTGGGGAGTTTATCCCATTCTTCTCTGCAGATCCTCTAAAGTGCTATCAGGTTGGATGGGGAGCGTTGTTGCGCAGCTATTTTCACGTCTCTCCAGAGATGTTCCATCGGGTTCAAGTCCGGGACACTCAAGGACATTCAGAGACTTGTCCCAAAGCCACTCCTGCGTTGTCTTGGCTGTGTGCTTAGGGTCGTTGTCCTGTTGGAAGGTGAACCTTCGCCCCCAGTCTGAGGTCCTGAGCACTCTGGAGCAGGTTTTCATCAAGGATCTCTCTGTACTTTGTTCCGTTCATCTTTTGACTCAATCCTGACTAGTCTCCCAGTCCCTGCCGCTGAAAAACATCCCCACAGCATGATGCTGCCACCACCATGCTTCACCATAGGGATGGTGCCAGGTTTCCTCCAGACGTGACGCTTGTCATTCAGGCCAAAGAGTTCAATCTTGGTTTCATCAGACCAGAGAATCTTGTTTCTCATGGTCTGAGTCCTTTAGGTACCTTTTGGCAAACTCCAAGCGGGCTGTCGTGTCTTTTACTGAGGAGTGGCTTCCGTCTGGCCACTCTACCATAAAGGCCTGATTGGTGGAGTGCTGCAGATATGGTATTCCTTCTGGAAGGTTCTCCCATCTCCACAGAAGAACTCTGGAGCTCTGTCAGAGTGACCATCGGGTTCTTGGTCACCTCCCTGACCAAGGCCCTTCTCCCCCGATTGCTCAGTTTGGCCGGGCAGCCAGCTCTAGGAAGAGTCTTGGTGGTTCCAAACTTCTTCCATTTAAGAATGATGGAGGCCGCTGTATTCTTGGGGACCTTCAATGCTGCAGACATTTTTTGGTACCCTTTCCCAGATCTGTGCCTCGACACAATCCTGTCTCGGAGCTCTACGGACAGTTCCTTCAACCTCATGGCTTTGTTTTTGCTCTGACATGCACTGTCAATTGTGGGACCTTATACTATTTACCAAGAGAGTTTTATCTATATTTTTTGTAGCTGTCTATTTACCACCACAAACCGATGTTGGCACTAAGACCGCACTCAACGAGCTGGCGCTTGTAGAGCATGGCGCTTGTAATGCCAGGGTAGTGGGTTCGATTTCGTAAAAATGTATGCGCACATGACTGTAAGTCGCTTTGGATAAAAGCGTCTGCTAAATGGCATATTGTATTGTATTGTATTGTTATATAGACAGGTGTGTGCCTTTCCAAATCATGTCCAATCAATTGAATTTACCACAGCTGGACTTCAATCAAGATGTAGAAACATCTCAAGGATGATCAATGGAAACAGGATGCAATTTTGAGTCTCTAAATAATTAAATAATACTAATAATAATAATAATAATAATAAATAAATAAAAAATTAACAAATGTCGAGTATCATAGCAAAGTCTGAATACTTATGTAAATAAGGTATTTCTGTTATAAATTGTTTATTGTGTGTAGATTGCTGAGGATTTTTTATATATTTAATCCATTTTAGATTAAGGCTGTAACGTAAGAAAATGTGGAAAAAGTCAAGGGGTTTGAATACTTTCCGAAGGCACTGTATATATATATATATATATATATATATATATATATATATATATATATATATATATATATATACACTACCGGTCAAACGTTTAAGAACACCTACTCATTCAAGGGTTGTTCTTTATTTTTACTTTTTCTACATTGTAGAATGAAAGTGAAGACATCAAAACTATGAAATAACACATATGGAATCATGTAGTAACCAAAAAAGTGTTAAACAAATATTTTATATTTGAGATTCTTCAAATAGCCACCCTTTGCCTTGATGACAGCTTTGCATACTCTTGGCATTCTTTAAACCAGCTTCATGAGATAGTCTCCTGGAATGCATTTCAATTAACAGGTGTTCCTGCTTAAAAGTTAATTTGTGGAATTTCTTTCCTTCTTAATGCGTTTGAGACAATCAGTTGTGTTGTGACAAGGTAGGGTATACAGAAGATAGGCCTATTTGGTAAAAGACCAAGTCCATATTATGGCAAGAACAGCTCAAATAAGCAAAGAGAAACGACAGTCCATCATTATTTTAAGACATGAAGGTCAGTCAATACGGAAAACTTCAAGAACTTTAAAGTTTCTTTAAGTGCATTCGCAAAAACCATCAAGCGCTATGATGAAACTGGCTCTCATGAGGACCGCCACAGGAAATAAAGACCCAGAGTTACCTCTGCTGCAGAAGATACGTTTATTAGAGTTACCAGCCTCAGAAATTGCAGCCCAAATAAATGCTTCACAGAGTTAAAGTAACAGACACATCTCAACATCAACTGTTCAGAGGAGACTGCGTGAAACAGGCCTTCATGCTCAAATTGCTGCAAAGAAACCACTACTAAAGGACACCAATAAGAAGAAGAGACTTGCTTGGGCCAAGAAACACAAGCAATGGACATTAGACCGGTGGAAATGTGTCCTTTGGTCTGGAGTCCAAATTTGAGATTTTTGGTTCTAACCACCGTGTCTTTGTGAGACGCGGTGTGGGTGAACGGATGATCTCCGCATGTGTATTTCCCACCGTAAAGCATGGAAGAGGAGCTGTTATGGTGTGGGGGTGCTTTGCTGGTGACACTGTCTGTGATTTATTTAGAATTCAAGGCACACTTAACCAGCATGGCAACCACAGCATTCTGCAGCGATACGCCATCCCATCTGGTTTGGGCTTAATGGGACTATCATTTGTTTTTCAACAGGACAATGACCCAACACACCTCCAGGCTGTGTAAGGGCTATTTTACCAAGAAGGAGAGTGATGGAGTGCTGCATCAGATGACCTGGCCTCCAAAATCCCCCGACCTCAACCAAATTGAGATGGTTTGGGATGAGTCGGACCGCAGCCAACAAGTGCTCAGCATATGTGGGAACTCCTTCAAGACTGTTGAAAAAGCATTCCAGGTGAAGCTGGTTGAGAGAATGCCAAGATTGTTCAAAGCTGTCATCAAGGCAAAGGGTGGCTATTTGATGAATCTCAAATATAACATATATTTTAAAGTATTTAGTCAGCCACCAATTGTGCAAGTTCTCCCACTTAAAAAGATGAGAGAGGCCTGTAATTTTCATCATAGGTACACGTCAACTATGACAGACAAAATGAGAAAATAAATCCAGAAAATCACATTGTAGGATTTTTAATGAATTTATTTGCAAATTATGGTGGAAAATAAGTATTTGGTCAATAACAAAAGTTTCTCAATACTTTGTTATATACCCTTTGTTGGCAATGACACAGGTCAAACATTTTCTGTAAGTCTTCACAAGGTTTTCACACACTTTTGCTGGTATTTTGGCCCATTCCTCCATGCAGATCTCCTCTAGAGCAGTGATGTTTTGGGGCTGTCGCTGGGCAACATGGACTTTCAACTCCCTCCAAAGATTTTCTATGGGGTTGAGATCTGGAGACTGGCTAGGCCACTCCAGGACCTTGAAATGCTTCTTACGAAGCCACTCCTTTGTTGCCCGGGCGGTGTGTTTGGGATCATTGTCATGCTGAAAGACCCAGCCACGTTGAGATTATTGGTTCCAACCGCCGTGTCTTTGTGAGACGCGGTGTGGGTGAACGGATGATCTCCGCATGTGTATTTCCCACCATAAAGCATGGAAGAGGAGCTGTTATGGTGTGGGGGTGCTTGCTGATGGAAGGAGGTTTTCACTCAAAATCTCACGATACATGGCCCCATTCATTCTTTCCTTTACACGGATCAGTCGTCCTGGTCCCTTTGCAGAAAAACAGCCCCAGAGCATGATGTTTCCACCCCCATACTTCAAACAGGTGCCATTAATACAGGTAACGAGTGGAGGACAGAGGAGCCTCTTAAAGAAGAAGTTACAGGTCTGTGAGAGCCAGAAATCTTGCTTGTTTGTAGGTGACCAAATACTTATTTTCCACCATAATTTGCAAATAAATTCATAAAAAATCCTACAAATGTGATTTTCTGGATTTTTTTCCCTCAATTTGTCTGTCATAGTTGACGTGTACCTATGATGAAAATTACAGGCCTCTCTCATCTTTTTAAGTGGGAGAACTTGCACAATTGGTGGCTGACTAAATACTTTTTTTCCCCACTGTATATGATTCCATGTGTGTTATTTCATAGTTTTGATGTCTTCACTATTATTCTACAATGTAAAAAATAGTAAAAATAAAGAAAAACCATTGAATGAGTAGGTGTGTCCAAACTTTTGACTGGTAGTGTATATATACTTATACAGTTGAAGTCAGAAGTTTACATACACTTAGGTTGGAGTCATTAAAACTCATTTTTCAACCACTCCACAAATTTCTTGTTAACAAACTATAGTTTTGGCAAGTCGGTTAGGACATCTACTTCGTGCATGACACAAGTAATTTTTCCAACAATTGTTTACAGACAGATTATTTCACTTATAATTCACTGTATCACAATTCCAGTGGGTCAGAAGTTTACAGACACTAAGTTGATTGTGCCTTTAAACAGCTTGGAAAATTCCAGAAAATGATGTAATGGCTTTAGAAGCTTCTGATAGGCTAATTGACATAATTTGAGTCAATTGGAGGTGTACCTGTGGATGTATTTCAAGGCCTACCTTCAAACTCAGTGCCTCTTTGCTTGACATCATGGGAAAATCTAAAGAAATCAGCCAAGACTTTTTGGAGAAATGTCCTCTGGTCTGATGAAACAAAAATAGAACTGTTTGGCCATAATGACCATCTGTTTGGAGGAAAAAGGGGATGCTTGCAAGCCGAAGAACACCATCCCAACCGTGAAGCACGGGGATGGCAGCATCATGCTGTGGGGGTGCTTTGCTGCAGGAGGGACTGGTGCACTTCACAAAATAGATGGCATCATGAGGAAGGAAAATTATGTGGATATATTGAAGCAACATCTCAAGACATCAGTCAGGAAGTTAAAGCTTGGTCACAAATGGGTCTTCCAAATGGACAATGACCCCAAGCATACTTCCAAAGTTGTGGCAAAATGGCTTAAGGACAACAAAGTCAAGGTATTGGAGTGGCCATCACAAAGCCCTGACCTCAATCCTATAGAAAATCTGTGGGCAGAACTGAAAAAGCGTGTGCGAGCAAGGAGGCCTACAAACCTGACTCAGTTACACCAGCTCTGTCAGGAGGAATGGGCCAAAATTCACCCAACTTATTTTGGGAAGCTTGTGGAAGGCTACCTGAAACATTTGGCCCAAGTTAAACAATTTAAAGGCAATGCTACCAAATACTAATTGAGTGTATGTAAACCACACCAGCTGCTGACAGGTGTATAAAATCGAGCACACAGACATGCAATCTCCATAGACAAATATTGGCAGTAGAATGGCCTTACTGAAGAGCTCAGTGACTTTCAACGTGGCACCGTCATAGGATGCCACCTTTACAACAAGTCAGTTCGTCAAATTTCTGCCCTGCTAGAGTGCCCACCAGTTGAGAATCGCTGCTCTAGGCAGAAAGGGCAGGAAGCTTATACTTGACAGTACAATAAATTGAAAAAAGGATTTCAATAACACTGGAGACCAACAGCATCCTGTCAAATCTGTCCACACCTACAGCACTACTCCCCTCTAGATGCACCTGTCTGTCAGTCTGTCAGTCAGGTCTTTATGTCTGTCAGGTCTGTCTGTCAGGTCTGACTGTCTGTCTGTCAGGTCTATCTGTCTGTCTGTCTGTCAGGTCGGCCAGGTCTGTCCGGTCGGTCGGTCAATCTGTCAGGTCGGTCGCGGTCGGTCGGTCGGACGGACGGACAGATCTGCCTGTCTGGTCTGTCTTTCGGTCTGTCTGTCAGGTCTGTATGTCCTTCTGTCTGTCAGGTTTGTCTGTCTGTCTGTCAGACAGGTCTCAGTCCTGCTTCTACCACACCTGCTGACCCCCTCTGTCTGAGCCTGTGACATCTTCATTAACACCCAAGAATGTGGCAGGGAGGGATGTTTCTCCAGGACTACAGCTCTTGTGGTTTATGTCATCCTAACTTTGTAATGTCCATAATAACTAGGAGTAGAATTAAAAACCTCAATGCACTCTGCACACAATTGAGGGAATATGCAATATGTCTAATATTACAAGTTGCTGAATCATACTACTTGGCTACAGATGCCCTAAACCATATGCAGTGCTGACAGCATTCCATTTACTGAACAGACACAGAGACACATGGAGATATTATAAATAACTTGGCAAACAATGTTGCACAATCATTTGGGTGACAAGCTGTTTTGCTGTGGTTCCATTTCCAGTGCACTGTGAATAACTCTGACCTTTAAGAGTCCAGACAATACCAATTTTGTTCAGTCTGTTTGTATTGTCGTGATTAACTGGTTCCTCCATTTAATTGGGATAGTGTAGCTGTTGGGCTAACTGACGGGTTTGTTATCATAGCACTCAACAGCCTGAGATGCAAATGTTTGAAATTTCTAAATGTGTGTGTTCACCCATTGGACCTACACCGAAACCATTTATTTCCTGTGTAAAGCCCCAAATGCGCAGAGCCCCTAAAGTGAGTGCATCCTTCCTGCCTGCTTGCACAGTCTGCCTGGCCGAATGGCAGCTTGCAGCCCTCAGATCAGCCCATGCATGAAACCCCAATATGCTAAAGACTGGGAGGAGAAGGAGCCAATGAGGAAGAAGGGATCTGAACAGAGAAGCCAGGACAGGGCAGGCATTAGGCAGTGTGTGTTTGACCAGTCTACATTACTGATGATGACCCATAACCACAACAGGTAAACTCAGTTGGATTAGAGCATACATTTGGATATTCACAAAATGTCAGAACAGAACTCATTATTCGGTTGTTATGTCTCTTTTTGTCAGGTAGTATGAGGGTTGGGGCTGAGGCTGTGTGGGGGGGAGGAAGTTAGTATGAGGGTTGGGGCTGAGGCTGTGTAGGGGGGGGAGTTAGTATGAGGGTTGGGGCTGAGGCTGTGTGGGGGGGAGGAAGTTAGTATGAGGGTTGGGGCTGAGGCTGTGTGGGGGGGAGGAAGTTAGTATGAGGGTTGGAGCTGAGGCTGTGTGGGGGGGATGAAGTTAGTATGAGGGTTGGGGCTGAGGCTGTGTGGGGGGGGAGGAAGTTAGTATGAGGGTTGGGGCTGAGGCTGTGTGGGGGGGAGGAAGTTAGTATGAGGGTTGGGGCTGAGGCTGTGTGGGGGGGAGGAAGGTAGTATGAGGGTTGGGGCTGAGGCTGTGTGGGGGGGAGGAAGTTAGTATGAGGGTTGGGGCTGAGGCTGTGTGGGGGGGGAGGAAGGTAGTATGAGGGTTGGGGCTGAGGCTGTGTGGGGGGAAGGGGGGGGGAGTTAGTATGAGGGTTGGGGCTGAGGCTGTGTGTGTGTGGGGGGGGGGGGGGGTTAGTATGAGGGTCACTAGCCCATTCAAGCTTAACATCCTTGTCATTTATCGCCCTCCAGGTTCCCTTGGAGAGTTCATCAATGAGCTTGACGCCTTGCTAAGTTCCTTTCCTGAGGATGGCTCACCCCTCACAGTTCTGGGTGACTTTAACCTCCCTACGTCTACCTTTGACTCATTTCTCTCTGCCTCCTTCTTTCCACTCCTCTCCTCTTTTGACCTCACCCTCTCACCGTCCCCCCCTACTCACAAGGCAGGCAATACGCTTGACCTCATCTTTACTAGATGCTGTTCTTCTACTAATCTCACTGAAACTCCCCTCCATGTCTCCGACCACTACTTTGTATCCTTTTCTCTCTCGCTCTCCTCCAACACTACTCACTCTGCCCCTACTCAGATGGTAATGCGCCGTCGCAACCTTCGCTCTCTCTCTCCCGCTACTCTCTCCTCTTCCATCCTATCATCTCTTCCCTCTGCTCAATCCTTCTCCCTCCAATCTCCTGATTTTGCCTCCTCAACCCTCCTCTCCTCCCTTTCTGCATCCTTTGACTCTTTATGTCCCCTATCCTCCCGGCCGGCTCGGTCCTCCCCTCCTGCTCCGTGGCTTGACGACTCATTGCGAGCTCACAGAACAGGGCTCCGGGCAGCCGAGCGGAAATGGAGGAAAACTAGACTCCCTGCGGACCTGGCATCTTTTCACTCCCTCCTCTCTACATTTTCTTACTCTGTTTCTGCTGCTAAAGCCACTTTCTACCACTCTAAATTCCAAGCATCTGCCTCTAACCCTAGGAAGCTCTTTGCCACCTTCTCCTCCCTGCTGAATCCCCCCCCTCCTCCCTCTCTGTGGATGACTTCGTCAACCATTTTGAAAAGAAGGTTGACGACATCCGATCCTCGTTTGTTAAGTCAAATGACACTGCTGGTCCTGCTCACACTGCCCTACCCTATGCTTTGACTTCTTTGTCCCCTCTCTCTCCAGATGAAATCTTGCGACTTGTGACGGCCGGCCGCCCAACAACCTGCCCGCTTGACCCTATCCCCTCCTCTCTACTCCAGACCATCTCCGGTGACCTTCTCCCTTACCTCACCTCGCTCATCAACTCATCCTTGACCGCTGGCTATGTCCCTTCTGTCTTCAAGAGAGCGAGAGTTGCACCCCTTCTCAAAAAACCTACACTCGATCCCTCCAATGTCAACAACTACAGACCAGTATCCCTTCTTTCTTTTCTCTCCAAAACTCTTGAGCATGCCGTCTTTAGCCAACTCTCTTGCTATCTCTCTCAGAATTACCTTCTTGATCCAAACCAGTCAGGTTTCAAGACTGGTCATTCAACTGAGACTGCTCTTCTCTGTGTCATGGAGGCTCTCCGCACTGCTAAAGCTAACTCTCTCTCCTCTGCTTTTGTCCTTCTAGACCTGTCTGCTGCCTTTGATACTGTGAACCATCAGATCCTCCTCTCCACCCTCTCCGAGTTGGGCATCTCCGGCGCGGCTCACTCTTGGATTGCGTCCTCCCTGACCGGTCGCATCTACCAAGTGGTGTGGCGAGAATCTGTCTCCGCACCACGTGCTCTCACCACTGGTGTCCCCCAGGGCTCAGTTCTAGGCCCTCTCCTATTCTTGCTATACACCAAGTCACTTGGCTCTGTCATATCCTCACATGGCCTCTCCTATCATTGCTACGCAGACGACACACAACTAATCTTCTCCTTTCCCCCTTCTGATAACCAGGTGGCGAATCGCATCTCTGCATGTCTGGCAGACATATCAGTGTGGATGACAGATCACCACCTCAAGCTGAACCTCGGCAAGACGGAGCTGCTCTTCCTCCCGGGGAAGGACTGCCCGTTCCATGATCTCGCCATCACGGTTGACAACTCCGTTGTGTCCTCCTCCCAGAGTGCAAAGAGCCTTGGCGTGACCCTGGACAACACCCTGTCGTTCTCCGCTAACATCAAGGCGGTGATCCGATCCTGTAGGTTCATGCTCTACAACATTCGGAGAGTACGACCCTGCCTTACACAGGAAGCGGCACAGGTCCTAATCCAGGCACTTGTCATCTCCCGTCTGGATTACTGCAACTCGCTGTTGGCTGGGCTCCCTGCCTGTGCCATTAAACCCCTACAACTCATCCAGAATGCCGCAGGACGTCTGGTGTTCAACCTTCCCAAGTTCTCTCATGTCAAACCGCTCCTCCGCACACTCCACTTGCTTCCAGTTGAAGCTCACATCTGCTACAAGACCATGGTGCTTGCCTACGGAGCTGTGAGGGGAACGGCACCTCCGTACCTTCAGGCTCTGATCAGTCCCTACACCCAAACGAGGGCATTGCGTTCATCCACCTCTGGCCTGCTGGCCCCCCTACCTCTGCGGAAGCACAGTTCCCGCTCAGCCCAGTCAAAACTGTTCGCTGCTCTGGCACCCCAATGGTGGAACAAGCTCCCTCACGACGCCAGGACAGCGGAGTCACTCACCACATTCCGGAGACACTTGAAACCCCACCTCTTTAAGGAATACCTGGGATAGGATAAAGTAATCCTTCTACCCCCCCTTACCCCACCCCCAAATAAAAATAACAAAATAAAATAAAAAATACATATTGTAAAGTGGTTATCCCACTGGCTATAAGGTGAATGCAACAATTTGTAAGTCGCTCTGGATAAGAGCGTCTGCTAAATGACGTAAATGTAAAATGTAAATGGTTGGGACTGAGGCTGTGTGGGGCGGAGGAAGTTAGTATGAGGGTTGGGGCTGAGGCTGTGTGGGGGGGAGGAAGTTAGTATGAGGGTTGGGTCTGAGGCTGTGTGGGGGGAGAGGAAAGTAGTATGAGGGTTGGGGCTGGCTGTGTGGGGGGGAGGATGTTAGTATGAGGGTAGGGCTGAGGCTGTGTGAGGGGGAGGAAGTTAGTATGAGGGTTGGGGCTGAGGCTGTGTGGGGGGGAGGAAGTTAGTATGAGGGTTGGGGCTGAGGCTGTGTGGGGGGGGAGGAAGGTAGTATGAGGGTTGGGGCTGAGGCTGTGTGGGGGGGGGGGAGTTAGTATGAGGGTTGGGGCTGAGGCTGTGTGGGGGGGAGTTAGTATGATGGTTGGGGCTGAGGCTGTTTGGGGGGAGGCAGATAGTATGAGGGTTGGGGCTGAGGCTGTGTGAGGGGGAGGAAGTTAGTATGAGGGTTGGGGCTGACGCTGTGTGGGGGGGGGAGTTAGTATGAGGGTTGGGGCTGAGGCTGTGTGGGGGGGGATTTAGTATGAGGGTTGGGGCTGAGGCTGTGTGGGGGGAGGCAGATAGTAAGAGGGTTGGGGCTGAGGCTGTGTGTGGGGGAGGAAGTTAGTAGGAGGGTTGGAGCTGAGGCTGTGTGGGGGGGAGGAAGTTAGTATGAGGGTTGGGTCTGAGGCTGTGTGGGGGGAGAGGAAAGTAGTATGAGGGGTGGGTCTGAGGCTGTGTGGGGGGTAGGAAGTTAGTATGAGGGTAGGGGCTGAGGCTGTGTGGGGGGGGTAGTATAAGGGTTGGGGCTGAGGGGTGATCTTCACCTGCACTAATCTCACTGAAACTATCCCGCTCCATGTCTCCGACCCACAGTGACGATTTTACACTGTTCTCTCTCGCATGCCGGCTCCTCGGCAGAACCACTACTCACCCTCTTCCCCCTACTCGGATAGGTAATGTCAGGACCCAGTCCAACCTCGCGTCATCTCTCCTCTCCCCTCTACTCTCTCCTCTTCCAGCTATCATCATCTTCCCTCTGCTCAACCTTCTCTCCCTCCAATCTCCTATTTTGCCTCCGCTCAACCCTCTCTCCTCCCTTTTCTGCATCCTTTGACTCTTCTATGTCCCTATCCATCCCCACCTGCTCGGCTCGTCCTCCCCTCCTTCCTCCGTGGCTGACGACCATTGCGAGCTCACAGAACAGGGCTCCGGGCAGCCGACGGAAATGGAGGAACTAGCTCCCTGCCGGACCGTCATCTTTTCAGCTTCCCTCCTCTCTACTTTTCTACTCTGGTTCTGCTGCTAAAGCCACTTTCTACCAATCTAAATCCAAGCATCTGCCTCTAACCCTAGGAAGCTCTTTGCCACCTTCTCCGCCGCTCTGAATCCCCCCCCTCCTCACCTCCTCTGTGGATGCTTCGTCAACCATTTGAAAAGAAGGTGTTGACGACATCCGACCTTTTGTTAGTCCCCAAATGACACTGCTGGTCCTGCTCCACAATGCCCTACCTATGCTTGGACTCTTTGTCCCTCCTCTCTCCCATGACATCTTGTCCTACTTTGTAGACGAGCCGCCGCCCAACACCTGCCCGCATTCGACCCTATCCCTCCTCTCTACGTCCCGATCAGACCCATCCTCCGGTTGAACACCTTCTCCCTACCCTAAACCGTCGCTCATCAACTCATCCTTGACCCGCTGGCCTATGTCCCTTCTGTACTTCAGAGAGCGAGGGTTGCACCCCTTCCTCAAACTACACTCGATCCCTCCATGTCAACAACTACAGACCAGTATCCCTTCTTTCTTTTCTCTCCCAAACTCTGAATCCATTGCCCGTCTTTAGCCACTCTTCTTGCTATCTTCTCAGACTTACCTTCTTTTGATCCAACCAGTCAGGTTTTCAAGACTGGTCTTCAACTTAGGACTGCTCTTCTCTCTCTGTTCATGGGGCTCTCCTCCGCACTGCTAAAAGCTAACTCCTCTCTCCTCTGCTTTTGTCCTTCTAGCCTGTACATGCTGCCTTTGCTACTGTGAACCATCAATCCTCCTCTCCTCCACCCTCTCCGAGTTGTGCAATCTCTCCGGGCGCGGCTCCACTCTTGGATTGCGTCCTCTCTCCACCCTGACCGTCGCATCTAACCAAGTGGTGTGGACAGAATCTGTCCTCCGCACCACGTGCCGTCCTCACCGCACTTGTTTCCCCCAGGGCTCAGTTCTAGGCCCTCTCCTATTCTGCTATAGACACACCAAGTTCACCTTGTCTCTGTCATATCCTCCACACTGCCTCTTCCTCTCAATTGTCACGCAGTACTACCACAACTACGCTTCTCCTTTTTCCCCCTTCTGATAACCAGGTTTCGAATCCATCTCTGCATGTCTTGCTACATACTCATTGTGGATGACAGATTCACCACCGTCACATACGCATGAACCTCTGCAAGACGGAGCTCTCTTCCCCCTCCGAGGGAAGGACTGCCCTTTTCTCCATGACTCATCGCCATCGAACGGTTGACAACTCCGTTTGTCCTCCTCCCCAGAGTTCAAATTAGCCTTGCGTGAACCCGTGACACAACCCTTCCTTCGTCCGCCTACAACATCAGGCGTGAATACCCGATCCTGTAGGTTTCAGGCTCTACAACATCGGAGAGGTACGACCCTGGTGTCTGCCTTATACACAGGAATCGGCACATTCCTAATCCAGTCCAGGCACTTGTCATCCCCGTCTGGAAGTACTGCAACGCGCTGTTGGCTGGGGCTCCCTGCCTGTGGCCATTAAACCCCTACAACTCATCCCGAATGCGCATCCGTCTGTGTTCACCTCCCCAAGTTCTCTCATTCAAACAACCGCTCCTTCCGACCACACTGCCACTTGCTTCCAGTTGAAGCTCACAATCTCTACAAAGACCATGGTGCTTGCCTACGGAGCTGTGAGGGGGACGGCACACCGTCCGTACCTTCATGGCTCTGATCATCCCTACACCCAAACGAGGGCATTTTGCGTTCAGCCACCTCTGGCCTGCTGGCCCCCCTACCTCTTCGGAGCCCAGTCCCCGCTCAGCCCTTCAAAAACTGTTCCTCTCTTGGCACCACCACCAATGGTGGAAGACACGCAAGACCACTTGGCCCGGGACCACCACCCGCTCACACCTCATCCTGGCGATCCCTCCCCAGACACCGACACAAAAGAAAGCATTACAAGACACCAACACAAGAGACACCAACACAAGAGACACCAACACAAGACACCAACACAACAGACAGCAACACTAGACACCAACACAGGAGACATCGACACAAGACACCAACACAAGAGACACCAACACAAGGGACACCATTACAAATGATGCCAACACATAAAAGACAGAAGAGACACCGACACAAGAGACACCAACACAAGACACCGACACAAAATACAGCAACACAATACACCAACACAAGAGACACCAATGCAAGAGACACCAACACAAGAGACACCAACATAATACACCAACACAACAGACAGCAACACTAGACACCAACACAGGAGACATAGACACAAGACATCAACACAAGAGACAACAACACAAGAGACACCAACACATAAAAGACACAAGAGACACCGAGACAAGACACCAACACAAGAGACACCACCAACACAAGAGACACCAACACGAGACACCAACCCAAGAGACACCAACACAAGAGACACTGACAAAAGACACCAACACAAGAGACAGTGACACAAGACTCCAACCGAGACACCAACACAAGAGGCACCGACACAAAAGACACAAGAGGCACCGACACAAGACACACAACAGACACCGACACAAGAGACACAAGAGACACAAGAGACACAAGAGACACAAGAGGCACCGACACAAGAGACACAAGAGACACCAACACAAGAGACACCGACACAAGAGAAACCAATACAAGATACATAGGGAGGTTGGGGATTTCAACCTCCCTATGTCCACATTTGACTCATTTCTCTCTGCCTCCTTCTTTCCACTTCTCTCCTCTTTTGACCTCACCCTCTCACCGTCCCCCCCTACTCACAAGGCAGGCAATACGCTTGACCTCATCTTTACTAGATGCTGCTCTTCTACTAATCTCACTGCAACTCCCCTCCATGTCTCCGACCACTACTTTGTTTCCTTTTCTCTCTCGCTCTCCTCCCACACTACTCACTCTGCCCCTACACAGATGGTAATGCGCCGCCGCAACCTTCGCTCTCTCTCTCCCACTACTCTTTCCTCTTCCATCCTATCATCTCTTCCCTCTGCTCAATCCTTCTCCCTCCAATCACCTGATTCTGCCTCCTCAACCCTCCTCTCCTCCCTTTCTGCATCCTTTGACTCTCTGTGTCCCCTATCCTCCCGGCCGGCTCGGTCCTCCCCTCCAGCTCCGTGGCTTGATGACTCATTGCGAGCTCACAGAACAGAGCTCCGGGCAGCGGAGCGGAAATGGAAGAAAACTAAACTCCCTGCCGACCTGGCATCTTTTCACTCCCTCCTCTCTACATTTTCTTCATCTGTTTCTGCTGCTAAGGCCACTTTCTACCACTCTAAATTCCAAGCATCTGCCTCTAACCCTAGGAAGCTCTTTGCCACATTTTCCTCCCTCCTGAATCCTCGTTTGTTAAGTCAAATGACACTGCTGGTCCTGCTCACACTGCCCTACCCTATGCTTTGACTTCTTTCTCCCCTCTCTCTCCAGATAAAATCCTGCGACTTGTGACTGCAGGCCGCCCAACAACCTGCCCGCTTGACCCCATCCCCTCCTCTCTTCTCCAGACCATCTCCGGTGACCTTCTCCCCTACCTCACCTCGCTGATCAACTCATCCTTGACCGCTGGCCATGTCCCTTCCATCTTCAAGAGAGCGAGAGTTGCTCCCCTTCTCAAGAAACCAACACTCGATCCCACTGATGTCAACAACTACAGACCAGTATCCCTTCTTTCTTTTCTTTCCAAAACTATTGAGAGTGCCGTCTTTAGCCAACTCTCTTGCTATCTCTCTCAGAATGACCTTCTTGATCCAAACCAGTCAGGTTTCAGGACTGGTCATTCAACTGAGACTGCTCTTCTCTGTGTCACGGAGGCTCTCCGCACTGCTAAAGCTAACTTTCTCTCCTCTGCTCTTGTCCTTCTAGACCTGTCTGCTGCCTTTGATACTGTGAACCATCAGATCCTCCTCTCCACCCTCTCCGAGCTGGGCATCTCCGGCGCGGCTCACTCCTGGATTGCGTCCTACCTGACCGGTCGCTCCTACCAAGTGGCGTGGCGAGAAGCTGTCTCCGCACCACGTGCTCTCACCACTGGTGTCCCCAGGGCTCAGTTCTAGGCCCTCTCCTTTTCTCCCTATACACCAAGTCACTTGGCTCTGTCATATCCTCACATGGCCTCTCCTATCATTGCTACGCTGACGATACACAACTAATCTTCTCCTTTTCCCCCTTCTGATAACCAGGTGGCGAATCGCATCTCTGCATGTCTGGCAGACATATCAGTATGGATGACGGATCACCACCTCAAGCTGAACCCTGGCAAGACGGAGCTGCTCTTCCTCCCCGGGGAAGGACTGCCCGTTCCATGATCTCGCCATCACGGTTGACAACTCCGCTGTGTCCTCCTCCCAGAGTGCGAAGAGCCTAGGCGTGACCCTGGACAACACCCTGTCGTTCTCCGCCAACATCAAGGCGGTGACCCGCTCCTGCAGGTTCATGCTCTACAACATTCGGAGAGTACGACCCTGCCTTACACAGGAAGCGGCACAGGTCCTAATCCAGGCACTTGTCATCTCCCGTCTGGACTACTGCAACTCGCTGTTGGCTGGGCTCCCTGCCTGTGTCATTAAACCCCTACAACTCATCCAGAATGCCGCAGCCCGTCTGGTGTTCAACCTTCCCAAGTTCTCTCACGTCACCCCCCCTCCTCCGCACACTCCACTGGCTTCCAGTTGAAGCTCGCATCCGCTACAAGACCATGGTGCTTGCCTATGGAGCAGTGAGGGGAACGGCACCTCTGTACCTTCGGGCTCTGATCAGTCCCTACACCCAAACGAGGGCATTGCGTTCATCCACCTCTGGCCTGCTGGCTCCCCTACCTCTGCGGAAGCATAGTTCCCGCTCAGCCCAGTCAAAACTGTTCGCTGCTCTGGCACCCCAATGGTGGAACAAGCTCCCTCACGACGCCAGGACAGCGGAGTCACTCACCACCTTCCGGAGACATTTGAAACCCCACCTCTTTAAGGAATACCTGGGATAGGATAAAGTAATCATTCTACCCCCCCCCCCCAAAATTGTAAAGTGGTTATCCCACTGGCTATAGGGTGAACGCACCAATTGGTGAGTCGCTCTGGATAAGAGCGTCTGCTAAATGACGTAAATGTGCCCCTGAGCAAGGCACTTAACCCTAATTGCTCCTGTAAGTCGCTCTGGATAAGAGCGTCTGCTAAATGACTAAAATGTAAATGTAATGTAAAATGTAAATACACCAACACAAGACACCAACACAAGAGACACCTACACAAGAGACACAGACACAAGAGACACCAACACAAGAGACACCTACACAAGAGACACCTACACAAGAGACACCAACACAAGACACCAACACTAGAGACACCAACACAAGACACCATCACAAGAGTCACCAACATAAGAGACACCAACACAAGAGACACCAACACTAGACACCAACAAAAGAAACAGCTAAACTAGACACCAACACAAGAGACACTGACACAAGAGACACCAACACAAGAGACACCGACACAAGAGACACCGACACAAGACACCAACAGAAGAGACACCGACACAAGACACCAACACAAGAGACACCGACACAAGACACCAACAAAAGAAACAGCTAAACTAGACACCAACACAAGAGACACTGACACTAGAGACACCGACACAAGAGACACCGACACAAGAGACACCGACACAAGACACCAACAGAAGAGACACCGACACAAGACACCAACACTAGAGACACCAACACAAGAGACACCGACACTAGAGACACTGACACAAGAGACACCGACACTAGAGACACCCGACACAAGACACCAACACAAGAGACACCGACACAAGATACCAACACAAGAGAAACCAACACAAGAGACACCAACACAAGACACCAACACAAGAGTCAACAACCTAAGAGACACCAACACAAGAGACACCAACACTAGACACCAACACTAGAGACACCAACACAAGAGACACCAACACAAATGGCACCGACACAAGAGACACAAGAGACACAAGAGACACAAGAGACACAGACATTAATAGTTCCTGGAAATAGAATCCAATCATAGACAGAGGGCAAAGAGAGAAAAATGAGAGCAGAAGAGGAGAAGAGAGAAAGAGTGCAGGAGGTATTGAAGGAGTGAATGTGTTGCGGAGAGAGAGAGAACTCATAGAAGGCAGGAGGTGTGAGAAAGAAGGGAGGTGTGAAACGAAAGAGGGAGGAGAAGCTAAATGAACCTGCTCGTTTTTTTGACAGGCTGGGATTAGGCCCTGAAACACATCATTCAGCCAGCTAGCAGCCAGTCTTGAGATAGAAGTTAGACAATCTCTATCCTGCAGAGTGTCAGTTTGACGAGAAACCGAGACAATAATTATTAGAGGCGCTCATTAGAGACGCTTTAGCTACATTACCGGAGTCACCGTGTGAAAACGTCTGTTTATTTCATATCAGGCCGCAGTAATGCACTTTCCTGTAGAATCCTGCAGTCAGAGAATCAATGTGTTTGTTTTGCAGCATTAATATAATCTCCTACAGGAAAATAGGTTCAAAGCATGTGTAAGTTTCATATAAACAAACTGATGTTGCTGTTTACCAAAGTAAAATTATATAAACTATAGATTCTAGTATTTACAGTACTTAAGCATCTATTCTGTCTCAGTGTGTCCTACACCATGTAGGACACACATTTATGGACCATGCAGGATAGGATTATTAACATCTATTCTGAAAAATGGGCTGAGTTGATCTGGACATTTCTGACAAGTTATAAATAGCTCTCTGAGGTATGCAATGACTGACATGACAAGAGGAACTGATGATGTACGACCCAATTTAGAAACTGCACGTTGTGCATTCTGCTATTACAACTGTCAGGAGTAAGTTGACAGCCGGACTGAGTTGGTTCAGAGCTATAGCTACTGCGTGGTAACGCCTGCAGTCTACTGTTAGCTCAGAGGTCACATCTCATCTCCCCTTCCCTCCTACTCTCTACCTCCATCCTCCTCCCCTCTCTCCCCCCTCTCTCCCCCTCTATCCTCACCTCCCTCCCTCCCTCTACCTCCATCCTCCTCCCCTCTCTCCCCCTCCCTCCTCCCCTCCCTCCCTCTACCTCCATCCTCCTCCCCTCTCTCCCCCTCTCTCCCCCTCCCTCCCTCCCTCTACCTCCATCCCTCTACCTCCATCTTCCTCCCCTCTTTCCCCCTCCTTCCCGTCCTCCCCTCCCTCTCTCTACCTCCATCCTCCTCCCCTCTCTCCCCCTCCCTCCCTCCCTCTACCTCCCTCCCTCTACCTCCCTCCCTCCCTTTCCCCCTCCTTCCTCCCCTCCCTCCCTCTCTCCTCCATCCTCCCTCCCCCTCCCCTCCCTCCCCCTCCCTCCCTCCCCTCCCCTCCTCTCCGCTCCATCCTCCTCCCCTCTCTTCCCCCTCCCTCCTTCCCCTCCCTCCCTCCCCCTCCCTCCACTCCTCCTCCTCATCCCCTCTCCCCCTCCCTCCTCCCTCCCCCCTCCCCTCCCTCCTCTCCATCCTCCTCTCCCCTCCTCCCCTCCTCTCCCCTCCCTCCCCCCTCGTCCCTCCTCCCCTCCCTCCCACCTCCTCCCCCTCCCTCCCCTCCCTCCCTCCTACCTCCCTCCTCCCCCCTCCCCCTCTCCTCCCTCCTCCCTCTCC